ACTTGTTCGTCGATCCATGACGGTTGACAACAGATATGTGACGACACTGTATTGCAAAAAAATTCAGATTCATATGCTCAATTATGTCAGACATATGCAACAATTAATAACAAGAAATTTTGAATGAATAAATCTAAGCTGTGATATTTTTTAAATTAATTCAATCAAAAGTGTTTTGATTTTTTACCAAAATTTTCTGTCCATTTTAATAAATTAAATAAATTTAAACTTTTCATTACATAAAGCATAAACTTATTTAATATTTTTTAGACCAAGATTGATATAAAGAAATTGATAAGAAGCCTGAAATTGATGAATATCAAATGGAATGAAATTTAAAAATCTGTATATCATGAAATGAGTGAATTTATTTATAACTACTGACGATAATGTTTATGGATGATAATAAAAATCAGTTAAGAGTGGTAAGGATGCCTAAGGTTTGTCACATATGGTAAGAGAAAATAATTTATTCGGTCTTGTTAATATTAATTTCAAGCCGCATAGTTTCAAGGAGCTGGCTAGTGTACGTGGTCAGAATAATAACCAACAATGATCTTTCGATTATGTTTGAATCCACCCATGCGTCTTATATACGGTATAGGTATCCACACTCTTGTTCTTCTTTTTTATATTCGTATTCATACCTGCTTGCCTAGTTGAGCTTTTGCATGCTACTTTATTTTTTTTTTAAACAATCATCATCATGATTGATTTTATTTGTCGAAAAAAAATGAAATGAGAAAGCATTAATGACTGTTGAATAAATAAATACTTTTTAAAAAATGACAAATATTCATCAGAATAATAAGCTTGCTGCATTTTACGCCTACTTAACACCCATTCAAATTTCCTACGAGGCAAAGACCCAACAAGTATTGCGTTAAGTGAACGACTCTTGACTTTTCTCTGCAAACTGCCGAAGAGATGTCACGACTTGAAAAAAAGAAAGATGGAATCGAATAAAATGAAGAAAAGAGAAAAACAAAAGATTAAGAGATAGAAGACATGAGAAGTGAAGAAGAATAAGAAAGGGAATCAACCTGCAGGTCTTCCTGTACAACCTTTTAAGGAAGACTACCGGTCTCAATAAAAACCGCAAAAGTTACCACTTTGTCTTTTATCAAAACTACCTCTTTTTTATAGCTTTACCGAATCATTATTTTTTACAGTTTAATTACATTTGTATAAATAACTAGGATATTATTTTAATGCTTTCACAAATTTAACAAAAATCTTGGATGATAAATAGTCTCATCGAAAATTAGACTTACATACATAAATTTAATAGACAGAGAGATTTATTGCAAAAAATATTGCTCGGAATTATGTAAATTAAATATAAGATAATGTCATGATCATAAGTTCTCTGTCTGGATATCGATAGACAGATTTATTTTTGATTCAACTAATCACACAGATGTATGATATAAAATAATAATAAAAGTTTATTGAATAAAAATAAAATTAAGTAAATTTAATTATCATCACGTTCAGGTCATGAAGTTGTATATAATCTTTAATAGTAATTTTTTATTCGAAAAAAAATATCAAAATAAAAATTAATCATTGCTTTTAGAAACTAAATGATAAATTTATTTAAAAAAATTAAATTTAATTAAAACCTAACTAGAAGTAAGAATTTTTTATTTCATAAAAAATGTAAATAACATATTAAATTCAAAGTAAATTTCAATGTTATTGATTAAAATTAAAAAATTTCAGCTATGATTGATGAAAGATAAAAAAATTTTTTTAAATGAAAGACAGATTAATAAGTAATTGAAAAAAACTACTGTGTATTGAAATGAAATGATGTGAATCACACCCGAGATGTATTGGTCGGTTCAGTCGACATAAAAGAGCACTTGCATGTACGCGTGGCAAATATAATAGTTGGGTGTGTGCCTTGGTTACATGACTCTGGCGGGAGCTCTATTATATACTACCAGTGGCTTGACCGGCCCCGCAACGAGTATACTGTATGTATAGCAAGGAAGCCACGATACCGCCGTTCACGAGAAGGAATGCGGCCGTGTTGGCAGGGCCAAGTTAATACTAAGGGAAGAGGACTGAAGTCTCGTCGGAAGAGAGGGAGAAGAGTACTGAACGAAGGTCTGAAACGCTGAGTGAAGGGACCACGTAAGAGGGGTGAGGATTAACTTCTAGACTCGACATCCAACAGAATAAGGACTACTTGACATTTACAACAATATCTTTCTTTTCTTTAACAAGCATCTCAAACAAAAAAATCATCACAGAGATTCGTTGGAAATTCATCTAATTAATATGTTGGTAAATTAAAAATTATAACTCGTAGGTTAATATTTATTCAATGATAATAACTCTCAAGATCAAACAATTTATATGTACCTGTTTTTATCTGATAAATGAAAAGTAAATATATTTTAAAACTTTCAAAAAAATAAAAACAAACTACAATGACTATTATATTGTAATAATTACTATAAATATATTATGTAAATTATTACGAATGAGTGTTAAATTTTTTTCATGTGAGAATTAAGTTGTTTTTGAAACTGTAAATAATGATTACTAAATTTTTAATGAATTCAATAAACGTTGAGTTTTAAAAATAATTAGTAAGATATTGCAGTTAATGAGATTTAAAATGTATTGATTAAAGAAAAATATCTCAATTATATTTAAAAAGTTATGAATTATTCGAAAATTTAATTATCAATTAAAGAAAAAATGTAAATTTTATTAGTAATTTTTTCTTTGATATTTTAATGAGAGACATTTAAGACAATGACAAGAAGTAAAAGCTAATGAGAATTAAATTCACAAATTAGTTTAATAGTTAACATGCAAGAGCTGGAGGAAAAGAATATTGTAATCCCAAGAGAGGAAGCCCTTACATGAACAGTCGTGTATTCCAGCTCCAAGTCTTGTACACAGACTTGATAGGCAAATTACTGTTTGAGGATCATAGTAAGCAGTGAAACATTTTGAGAGGGGCCAATAAGTGCTTTAACATTAACTTATCCATTACTAAATACATTTATCGAAGTCATTAGATAATTAATAGTGACTTTCTGAATGAAACTGAATTAAAAACCTTAATAAAATATTACTTCTAACACAATGAATTTATTTCTCACACTTAGTAATAAGTAAGAAGAATAAACAACATGGACAGCATGTGTCACATCTACGTAAATAAAGAAAGCAATATATATATATATGTTGTTATTGTGTGCAATGTGAATTCTTGGAACTATCAAAAGAATAATATTGTCGTAGGATGGAGTTAGTATTAATAAACTCGGAATTACTTTTTATGTTTGTCTACGAAATAAGGTTAATTAATTTCTTCAATATGTTGGAATAAAGGATTTATTGATTAATAGCCTCGTTTTTTATTTGAAACCTTTATTGGCCTAGTAACTAAATTCAGTGATGTTTTTGACCTAATTTCTGACCTCCCTCACAGAGTTATTAACTACTGGTTTCTCACTTATTTTATTATAAAAACATCATCTGTATTGTGAATTGTGCTATTTTTAACAACTCACTCAACGTCACTATTGCATTTGGATAATTTTTTGGAGAAAAAAATTTTTTAGCTTTGATGATGGATGTGTTTAAAGTAATTACGTGATTTTTTCAAACAAAATTATTAATAAATCATACAGAAAAAAAATTTAATTTTTGGAAGAGTTGCCAGTGAGAATTAAGTGTAATATTCTGTAAAAACAAGTGCCATTTTTTGCACAACACAACTACCACTTGGTGCAAACATCAGAACTAACATGATGAGATATTTCCGGGCTCAGTTTTTTTTTCATCATTATCTCTTTTATTATTTCAATATCAAAAACATGAAAAATTTTATCTGAATGTTTAATTAAATTTTAAATGTTATTTTACTTTAGAATATTAATTTATTATCATTAATAATGATAATCTGATAGTAAACAATGTGCTCCAAATAGGAGTTTGAATATTTTTCTCACAAACTTCAATAAAAAATGTCCGTAAATAACACTTTAAAAGTGATATTTTTAGACGTAACATCATTTAATGGTTGTCTAGAAAAATTTTTTATCAATATTATCAGAGAAATACGAGAAATGTCTAGAGCTAATTAGAATAAAGTTAAGAATGACAGAAAAAGTCATGCAAAGCCTAGTAGCTTGAATGTGTCATTTTCACACAAGGTATAATATTTGCTGAGCACACAGATATGCCTCCAACTAACCACAAGAAATATGTCAGTCAATCTGCTTCCTCTTACTCATTCATTACAATTTTTTTACGAAATTGTTAATTATAAAAAGAATATTTTCTTTAATTAAAAGTTAAAATGATTTATTCATAGATTATCATAGAGTTTAAAATTCTATTAAAGAGCTGAACACAAAAGAGTGTGTTTTTAAATATTTTTTAAGTTTGGTATTGTATACGTGAGATAACTAAGGCCAAGGTTTATTGTTGGGCATTGACTCTTTTTCTAAATGACGTTTCCAATGGCCTTGTAAACAAATTCTTAGATACAAGTGGGAATTTCTATATAAACTTTGAGAAAGTTTTCAACGGTCAAATGAATGTTAGCAGATCAGCCACGTGACTTTGAATGATCATAAGTATTTAAGATGACTCATAAACTAACTTCAACATTTTTTTAACTGAAAAAAGGAAGAAACATCAAATGATTTTTATGTAGGAGAAGAAAAAGAAGTTATTTAAACTCATTTTATAATCAACCTTGACGATGGAGTCATGGTACATTTCTATCCAACCAATAGCTAATTTACCAAGTAACGAAAGATAGTTTGAACACGTGTTCAGATTTTCTCTTCTCAGAACTGCGAGTTCACAAAAAATTAATGTTATATATCAAAGTATACAGAATGAAAGGAGTGAAGAATGTGAACCACCGTTAGATCTCACATCTTGATGTTTTGGTTCCAAAACGACGACTTTGGAGCAAGTTTAAGCTTAAGAAAAATAATAATTATTAAATACACACTCACCTTCATCCAAAAGCCGTTCAACATGAATAAAGACATTAGGAAAAGCAGCAAGCTGTTTCCTGTCTTTCAGCAACTGTGACAGATAGTCCGCTATGCTTTGCGTCGTTGGATTGGTATCACACATATTTGATAAGTTTTACCAACGTGAAGTATTAAGAAGAAAAAAATAATTGAAATATTTTAATGTAATATTTAGCCCACGATAGAAATTCTCACTGGTGTATGTTGGATGATATAAATATATATAAATATATATCTATGTACATACATATATATGTATATATATATAATATATATAGTCTGTTGAATTGAATATATAACCGTTGGTGCGCAAATAACACGTCCGGCGCGCGTGTGGTCTCTATCCTCGTTGGAAAGTTTCTCTCTCTGTTCGCGGATTCGTTCGCGGACGGAATCGTTGTATGTCAGAGGAACAAGAGACGGAGGGCACAGTCCTTCTCTCGCGCCTCTAGGCTCTTGTTTCACCAACTAATGTTTTACTACTATTGCTTCGTTATCTTTGCTTCTTCAATGACACTCAAGGCTTCGTTGCACCAGAATATTATTGCAACAAAACGATGTAATCACGTTAGAGATATTAAAAAAAACAACACGCGCACACTACTAAACTCCTGACTCTCTACTGCACCGCATGTGCTAACCTACCGCTATTCTTCGCGTCTGAAGACCCTCATTTCCCTGCGTTCCACTTCTCTTTTCTTTTTCCACTAGTACGCATGCGCCAACGTATTAAAGCGCATGCGCACAACGATGCGTCGTTGAGCTGCGTAAAAACACAAAATTGTGAAGAGATCCGTCCACCATGCCTTCCCGCCCACTACCATATACGGCCTCCGCGTGGTTACAAACCGTGGTACCAACAGCAACCAAGTACACAACACGCAGAGATGAAGAGAGAATGCCAGCGAATGTGAGACGAAATTTACGTATGTGTGTGAGCTTGGATTCTTTTGCAACGATGTTAAGCATAATGAGAAAACTTGTAAAGGAATTGGGTATGCCTTTACGACCTTCAAGTACTCTTCATTCTTTAAGATAAATAATCTTTTAATTATTATTTGTTTTAACTCATTCAATATTAGCAAGTGTAATTATTCGTGCACTTGCTTTTTTTCTCTTAAATTCGGGTCATTCTTGTTATGTTTATGTAATAAAAAATACGATTTTAGGCACAAAAAAACGAAGAATGAAGAACATACATTTCCTGCTTACGTTGTAATAAAGCTTTAGTTATATACGAGTGTAAAAAAAATTCTTAACGATTTCATTTGGAATTTTAAAACTAATCTTTATATGAGGTATATTAATTAATTCTATTATTTTAATTATTAATACTTCAAAATTAATATTAACATTTATTTTCTTCAATAATTCATCAATATACAATTTATTGTATAACGATTCTTCATGTTACTGATCGTTGACGCAATGCAATTTCGATTGTGGCAGGTTATATGGACGATACTCCTGTTTCCTGTTGATACAAATCTATATAAATATCTCAAATTTAAAAGACAAGCTGACTTAACGATCAATCCTTTTGCAGGAATGTAAAATATTTCATAAAGTTGTGACGAACTTTATGAAATTTGGAGATGAGCCATACTAAATGGTACAAAATCTGTATAAATCTCTGCTAAACAGTATCACCTTGATTGCACATACAACTGAAAAGTCGTATATATTTCATGGTCGGTGAGGCGTAACGTGCCGGTATTACGCTTGTTAAAAAACGAATGCAAACATCCGAGGAAGCTCCCTCCGTTGGATGACCTACATCTTTTGATGTGTCTTTTCCTCCTACATAACATCTCCAAGCTCCACCTGTAGCATTACTAAGGTAAAAGGAACATGAAGAAGAAGTATTCTAAGATAACTAGAAAGTATTTCATTTCGCAATGTACCAGAGCCAAATCCAAGATTCAATGATACTTTTATGAGAGCTGTTTGGAACATGCTGTCTAGGAATACTTCAAAAGAAATTATAGTTTTGTTTAGACAAATGTGGAGGAAGAAAAAAACTTGAAACCAACTATTGCTAATGCCACAGAGTGACTTTTCTGAGAGAATTAGAAATTTTCACAAGAATTCTTCTCTTTATGGTTCCATAAAAGTTACTTAATTCTAGATTAAAAGATGATGTCATGAACAATAATTCTCTATTTCATCAAGGATTTTGTTATAATTACTCACAGGATTTACTGACATTCTATTAATATTACACTTATTTATTAGAATGACTTAATATTTGGAGAAAATATTATAAGACGATTGGATCAAGATGCAAAATAGAGAAAGTTAATGCAAAGGTAAATATACGATTTAAAAACAGTTGATCGAATGGAGTAACAATCGATTTTATTATCAATATCCGGCATTTTGAGCATGACAAACCTTATTCTCTATTTACCGTTGACTGTTAAGTGATTTCCTAATAAAAATTTTTAGAAAAGGCTCAAGTGCAAGAAAAGATACATGATGAGTTGTCGAAGCAGGTAGAGCTCATTCAGCCACCGCCCGTGAGTTTTTCTTCTCTGAACCAGCTAGTCTCCTTCATTATTCTTGAATATATTAGTTGACGCACTACATAGAACCTCATCATAATCACAGTGTGATATATACCAGTATATGTATTATTTATAGAATCAACCTACTCGAGTACCAATCTGCGTTGTGCAGTGAACTACGTTTCAAGTGGAGGGTGCACAAAGTAGGCAGACCTCAGCTCAACATAACATATACATTAAAACTCAAACAAGTTGGTCAACGAGCAAAGAATTTGCCATTTCTTCACGCACACTTGATGAAATTACTGAACATAAATTGCTGTGTGAGTTATAAAATTACCATAAGAAATTACGCATGAAGTAAAATAAGGTAATTTTCCGGATTATATCACTCGATCATAGTTGTTAAAAAGTCATCGAATGCTAGATTTAGAGAGTAAAAGGAGAATTTAGCTTCCAGATTTGGTTTATATATTGATACTCTAAAATTGGACTTGATGCTGTGTCAACAAGACTAACGAGTCATTCGATATAAATCTAGTATAGTCAACATTTTACCTTTTAAAGTGATTGAAGCCTATAAGAGCATAAAATATGCGTAGGCACTTGTTGTAGCTTGTTGTTTTATATATCTCTAACATTTAAAATGATTGTCCAAGAAGTCTGTCAAAATGATTATACACTTTTGGAATTTAAACAACCCAAAGAATCGTTATTCTCCATTATAGTCAACTTGTGTAACAGAGATTAGATTCATCAACAACACAATTTCTATTTGAAATATTTCTTACTTGCAGTAATATCCGGCCAATCCAGTTTTGCTGTACATCTCGAGGTGATTTTTGTATCTTAAGACAAGTAATTGCTACATAACTTTACCTCAATAACTTTGATCATAATCAGGTAATTTTCTAGGTAAATTGTTCTTTTTAAACATATGATTGTTAGATTCATTTACACTGAATTGTATATTAATCAAGTCTACACAGTTGAAATTACTGAAAGTCATCAACAGAAATGGATAATAAGTTGAGATCATCGACCACAATTTATAATAGTTGTACTGTCATAATGATTATCAATGACAGCCCTTGAATTATTCACTTTTCCGAGATTTTTCTTTTATACTAAAAGAGGTATTTATAAAAAATACTCATCTTGATAATTATAGAAATTCATGTCAAGAATATTTAATGAGGCAAAATCAATTGACTAATAATTATCATAGAAACTGAAGATATCTGTATACGGGAAGAATTTTTTAAAAGATTAGATAGGATTGTGATAAATACATAATAACATTCATTTAGTAATAACTTTGTAGAATTTTGTTAATATTATATTAAATTAAATTATCCTTTTATCAGGTAATGGTATTCATCCAATAAATGTTATAAATGATGCAAGATTAGAAAAAATAAATTGATAAATCAGAGTAAACCTATTAAAATAATTGGAAATGTAAGATTGTCGTATCATTAACTATATAGGTACATGACATGAAAAATTTTATAATTTACGATAAAAATAGTCCTTGTTTATGTTATGTATGAAAGTAATGGAATATAAAACAACCTACAGTGCTAATTGAATATTGCTACTCGAGGGAGTAGATAGATAAACTAGTTGGATCAGTTAGATTTAGTCAATGAGGTTCTTTATTTTCTGTATTCTAAGTTGTATGAAATAATTATTGTAAAAAAGACAAGAAGTGTGATCATTGATAGAAATACTTTGACAATGTCAAACTCAAGTGTTAATATATTAAAATCTATATTATATCTACAACAGTTTCAGTAGCACAAGAAAAATATTTAAATATCTATTTTATAAAGAAATGAAATTCTATATGTATTTTTGAGCAATACCTATTGCAAACTGCCTTCTGAATGGCAGACGCATGATTCTAATCGCAATAATTCGCATTTTACATAGATGTATGTGGGCATCGATTGAGCCTGTTGATCCTTGAGAGCCGCCTCGGTAATATCCCACGGGCGTTACCTTCTATGCCCCGTCCGGCGCCTACACATATATTGGTTAATATAAAGTAACGTTGACGTCACGTTCTTTGACCGTAGAAGGTTGGTACTGTAACCACGTGGGCGCAACAGCAGGCATACGTTATAAATTATATGCCTATTTTCCTAAACGACATTCTCTTGAAGCTTGAGTCTTACTTGTTCTTTCGTTTACTTCACATAAGAAACTTCTAAACCTCACTGCCAACGAAGACATTTTCTTTCAACTGATCCTATCTGATTCAGTCGCGTGGGTAGGCTTGACAGCCGCTTTGGATTCTTCAATTTTTACTTTCTTTCTCTTTCTAGTATCATTGGTTAAACTCTTCCTTGAAATTAGTGGTGATTCGCGCAAAGAATAATAACCGACCATTAAAATTTACTTTTTAAATCAGAATAACTCAGAACTCATACAAAGTAGTATATTTTAAAGTGTAATTAAAGAAATAACTTTCAATTTAAACAGTAATTTAAAAAAATACACGAGTAGTTCTCGGTAGCTGTTCAACCTTTATTTTTTTTAAAAATGTAACACTGCTTTATTAATATTATACACATTATTTCAAATAAAGAAATTCAAAGTATTTTCATGGACATCATTATAAGTAGTTAATTACTTACATGGTTGTCAATGGATTTTCTTTTTTTTTTTAATTTATTATATTTTATGTTTAGATTGAACTAAACAAGTGTAAAATTTTTATTATAAGAACAGTTGTTAAATTTCAGTCCTATCATCTTGAATGTTGTTTGGGGTTATTCTTTTTTGATATATGTCGAAAAGTTTTACTTTTCTGTATCTGTTTTCCAGCACTTGGATTGTTCATACTCTTGAAGTAGCCATAGCCTCCTCCTCCAAGTCTCTTTCGCGGTCGTGACTCTCTACTTACTCCCACTTCTAAAAAAACACGTGTTAATGTTCTTGTTAAGGAAATAATGATGAAAATTCCATGTGAAAGAGAAAACAAGTTTGTATAAATATTCACATCTATTCATAGTTAATAAAGTTACTACAAAGAAAGATTTTTCAATGAGTCAAAATATTAATAATTAAGAGGCTTGGAAAACTTTTCTGAATAATTTTTCAAAAGCCTCAGTATAGACTAGAAATTTTTATCATTAATGACTTGATAGATTTCACTGTAAGACTTTTACTAAAAAAAATTGAAATAATTTCAAAAATTTTAATTAAGAGAAATTTCGAAATCAACTCTCTGAAGGTTAGTGTAGAAAAGTTTATAAAAAAAAACTGTACTGACTAGAATCAAGTAAAAATAATGTATAAAACGATTTAGAATAATATATTGCTACAAACAGAACTTTTTGAAGTCTAAATAGTACCTTATAGTTCATGTTTGGCATAGTAACTTTGCTCTAATAAATCAGTATCAAATCTAAAATTAGATTTCTTTTAATAAATAAATTAAATTGTTATGCTATTTCTGAATAAATAGTAAATTGAGAAAAGCAAAGTAGCATTAGTGTAAGTTACGAGGAGAGATAGAACAATGTTTTGGCAAATATTTTGGCAACTATATCAATAGCTATTAGTCACAATGAGCAAAGCACAACGACTTTGTCACGGCAGTAAGCATTATTCAGAAAGGATACTCAAATCAACTGCAGGCGGCACTGTGAATCCGAATGATTTGCCAACTTGGACAAGATCCAAAGTTTCTATGTCAAATATTTGCTTCAGATGATGAGAGTCATAGGCTCTTACATATCCCTTGAAAGCTTCCTTCGCAGACATATTGAGAAAGTAATTCTTTGATATCAATTTTTCCAACTAAAAAAAAAAAAAAATAAAAAATAATTAATCACATTCCATGAAATTGACGCTTTACGAAATTAATAGAGGGGCATTAAAAATAACTTTGGAATATAATTAATGCATGAGTTATATCATTAAAAATTTTCCACAGCAATATTTTACTTTGATGTAATCATCATATGTTTCATATCTTAATCTTTAGGTAAAGCTCCAAGCAATCACACATGGAACAATTGTTTGTATTCTTCTCAAGAATTCATCCAAAGGATGATGGATCTCAACACGGAAGTCATTCAAAATTCAAATGATGTGTGTGGTTACTCTTTTACAGCTATCAAGTTGTAAGATTCATGCTTGAAATATAAAGCAGGCTAAGCTGTTATCAATCTTTTAATAAATAAAAATAATAGTTTCAATTGCAATAAAGAAAAAATAAATAAATAATGTATTTTAAAATTCAATCAGTAGTGAGATATCACAAAAAAATATTCAAATGTATAATAATTCATGCCATCATAATATAGTAACTGTGTATAAACCCATCTTGTAGAACAATTGATACAAGTGTTGTGTAAGATGATATCAATAACTGAACATTTATTATAAATATCTACAATTTGACAAAAGTAAATAAAAATGAAAGGAACAATTAAGCAAATTAATCAGAGAACTGACAAAGTTAACCAGAATTTGTCAGACGTATGTCGCAAAAACACATAAGTATTTGCTGTGTTCTTGACTTAGATTAATATTAGTCACATAATTCATAAATTGGCTATTCGCCGAGGTAAAAAGAGTTAGACTTAGTGAAATTCGGTGGGTTGTAAACAGAATTAAACATAGTACTAAAAAAGTCCAGAAAGTTAAGTAGATCATAAACGTATATTTGTGACGACCATCATGGTTCTAAAATATGATGCCTAGACTTAATTCGTGATGATTCTCAAATGAATCTGGTGCATTCATAAAGAGGGAGTGGTACTACTCTCTATTGCATGAATCATTTGTGTGGGCGCCATGCTCCTTCTTTTCGGCTCTTTTCTCTTGCTTCTTATCATCATTTATTTAACCATCGTCTCTCTGACTGCGCAGCTAAAAAGCGAAACACCGACCTCGAGCGAGTTAAATTACAGAAGAGATTGGCTTTAAAAAAATTTACATTACGCAACTGGTAATAAGTTCTTAGCAGAAAATATGTCTGCTTTTTCAATAATAATTTAGTATCATTCTTAAGTTTTGACGTTTAGCTATACTGATAACTAAGATCTTTATAAATATACTTAATTTTTCACTTATTTTTAGAAATTGTAAAACTTTCCATAAAAAATACAATCTGTGAAACGTCAATCAAATCAAGGAAGTTACGTTTGGATCGTTAAATGTTCAAAGAAGAAACCTACATTCATTACAAGTTCAAAGATGTATTTATGTTGATTATTTCTGATAAACCGGCTTGTACGATCATATATTTCGATAATATTCAATGTAATTTGCTCCTTAGTAAATGATTTCGGTAACACAGATTCTTCCTATCGACATTATTAATCAGTACTGCACTTATTACTTATGACTTCTGTGTCAAGAATAAACATGTTCTCAAATTTGCAATTAATGATGCATGAACAACACACGTTATATCTTGAATGCTATAAATTAAATATACTTCAATATCCAACTATAAGTATATTGAGAATTAATTTTAAATTTAAATAAAAACTTATCCATTTTATTTATATATTCTGTTCATTTGTTTATTCATTAATGTAACATTTTCTTATATTTTTTATTTTTAAAACAATAAATAATTATGAATGATTGCATTTTTATTCATGAAGCATCAAAATAGATTAATTGCAACTTCCTGCTAAGAATGCTATTGTTTAGAATGAATATCAGGATAAGAATGGCAATATTTATCCTGATGATCTTTTATTCAAAATTGTGATGATGAAAAGAATTTTTATTCTTTTTCATATTCCTTATAATTAGTATGTGAAGACCAGCATCAAGGAAGTTTTGTTTCAGGTTTAATAAAACCACGTGTTACTCAGTAATAAGTGCATCCATCCAATGAAAGAATCGATTCATCCATTACTGTCGCTCTTCACCCTTCTACCATTAACGAATTTTAGAACCTACTCCACATCAATTAGACACCACTGACTAATCAAATCAACTACCCTATCATTTTTTTTCTTTCTCAATTATCGTTAAACGTACTTTTTTTTTAGAATTCATTGAAGCCATCACTTCATCAACTAATTACTTTACAGAAAATACTATTACATCATAAAGATTACTGGTAACTGCATATCTAAGTCATGCTCAATTATTTTTATAACGATGTTTATTATAAAATTAAGAAACAATCTATTTTCGAGAAGAATAAATGATAAAAAGAATTCTAGTTTAATTAATTTCATTTCTAGTTAATGCGATCAATACAAAAAATTAATGAAAAATAAATGACATTTTTGTTCGTCATGTTTTTAACATACATTCACTGAACAGAGACTACACGAGAATAAATTCCACATTAGATCGGACATAATTACCATTCACATTTATTACAAAGCTTTTGCATTTGCGAACATCCTGAGTAATGCAAAGAATTTAGATATAAGACGTATGTGCACATATTTGTATGTGTTATGTTGTTAGTAGAATTCAAGGATAAACACTTGGTGTAGGCTTTTAAAACTATAGTATGTAAGTATGTGTTATGAATAACTGATGAAGAGAATGCACAATATGGTGCTATAACTTCTTTGATAGTTGACGATGACGAATTTTAAATAAATTAAAACAATTACTCAATATTATAATTTAAAGAAATTTCTGACTGAATCAGTCATTTTAATTCTAAATTTCATCACATACGAGTATACTTTAGTGCTCGAAGATCATTAAATGATTAGTTCCATATTTGCCAACAATAAAAAATGTTAAACTGTGCTCTAGAGAATGAAATTATATCTATGTTTTTAGAATTTTAAATAAAATAGAATAATTACTTACTTGAAGTTGTATATCTGCTATTTTACTCCAAGAAAAGTCGAACTCATTGACAGGAACTCGAGCTTGCTTTAAATACCGAAGAAATCCAAGCTCTTCAGGTCGTAAAATGAGGAGAGCATGGCCACTACTTCCTTCTCCACGTGCAGTTCTTCCCACTCGATGAATATATTCCTAAAAATTAATATTGGTATATTCATTGAGATTCGATCCAGAAAAAAATAAAATATTTGTATTAACTGTATTTAGTAGATAATTACTTTAGGATCATCTGGAGGATCATACTGTACGATCCAATCAACATCAGGAATATCTAAACCTCTAGCAGCAACATCAGTACATAAAAGGATACCTGACGTAGCATTACAAAATTGGAAGAAAGTTGTTGTTCGTTTAGTTTGTTTTTGCTTTCCGTGAATGCTCATCACAGGCAAGTCAATGTAATTTAATAACTCATGATGATACTTAACAGACATACAAGAACTGAAGAAAACCATTACTTTTTTATTTCGATTTTTTTTGAGGAATGTGAATAATAAGAGAAATCGTTTTTCACTAGGACACACGACATATCCCTGTTCTAATCCTTCTACTGTAGCCTTTTCTTTCTCATCATCAACTCCAACATATGCAGGCTCTTTTTTCAAAGCTAGAGCTGTCAAAGATTCAGTTTTTTTCGTCTGTGTTGCACTGAATAACATTGTCTGTCTTCTTTCTAAAAAATCATTAATAAAAAAAAATTAATAAAAACGATATTTATGAAAAAACTCAATGTCCAATAATCAAAATATTAAATTAGTTTACTTGGTAATATGTTGACTATTTGTTTTAATTCTTCTTCAAATCCTATATCAAGAATTCGATCAGCTTCATCAATTATAAGGCATTGAAGATTTTTATAAAGAAAATCTGGAGTATTTTGGAGATGGTCAAGTAATCTACCCGGAGTTGCAACAATAATATTTACTCCTTTAGAGAGTTTTTGAGCTTCTGTTTGTCGACATGCACCACCCATTAATAATCCATAAGTATGATAATGATATTTCATTAATTCTTTCAAAACTCCAAATGTTTGCATTGATAATTCTCTTGTAGGTGAAATAATAATACATCCAGCTCCTGAAAATATTTATATGAGGAGTGAAAAACCATTTTATCATTTGGTAAATAATGCATAATTAATTCAATTTTTGGTTTAGATTTCTAGATATACTCACCATTTCTAGGCATAAATTTTAATTTATAAATAAGTTCAACAGCAGGAATAAGGAAGGCTAAAGTCTTTCCAGAGCCAGTTTTAGCAGCACCAACTAAATCCCGGCCTTCCAAAAGTAGAGGAATAGTTTTTGCTTGAATTTCAGTCATATTCTCGAAACCCATATCTTTTATGGCTTTCAACGTTTGTTCGCAAACTTTGCTTTCTAAAGTTGAAAAAGCCGTATTATTGGTTATCGATAAACCAATGGAAGAGCCTGGTACTTTAATATTAAACAATAAAAATTATTTTTTCATCATAATAAAAACTTGATTAATTGTTTTATAATAAATATTATCTTACAGTTGTCTGTAGTTTCATCCCGTTCTGATGATGAATGTTTATCATTTAAATTTGTAACACCATTAGATTCAGATTCTAACGTCGATGCATCTTCATGATTTTGACGTTTCACTTTAATTTTTTTCTTACTTTCTTTCGGCACCTCATCTAATGGAGGATTTTTTCTTTTTAGTTTTTTAACATTGTTTTTTTCATCTGTTCTTTCGACTTCTGTTTCATCTTCAACAGTTTCATCGTCAACAGTTTCTAAAAGAATTAATTTATATAATTGAATAAATTATTTATATATAAATAAAGTGACTAAATGTCTGCATATAAAAATAATGTACCACTTTTTTCCTTTTCTCGCTGTTTTAAAAATTTGATTTTATTTTTTTCTCGTTTTTTAATTTTACGAACCAACACTTTATCGGCAGAAATCATTGCTTCAAGTTAATATTAATTAAATAAATTATAAAATATTTTGTGATATATTTATTATTTCTATCACTTTCAGACAAAAATAAGTGAGGTTAGGAAACTGAAAAGATAATCACGTGGAACCAGCACATGCAGTTACAATTTAATATACTTTTACAATTAACAGCCGCTAGAAAAAAAGCGATGACTCAATTTTATTGATATATAAGTTCTCGTTTGTTGAATTATTGTTATAAATTTAATTAAAGTATCATTGTTACAGAAATAATGAAATTTTGTACACGAATAACACTACTGCCAATGAACATGTGCGTTGTATGCGAATCAACTCAGTATAATCGAACTAACGAAAGAGTCGACTTCGGGTCTTTACGGAAATCTTTTTTTTTTCGTCCACCTACAGTACTTGGCATGCGCAAAACGAAAAAACTCGTGAGTGAGGGTAAAAACAGTAGTGGAGGGGACTCTTGATAATTCTCTTTTTTCAATTTATCATAAATTTAATTAAAAACCCAATCAACAATAATTTTTTGCAAAATTAATTGATAGCCATTTTAATTTGTCTATTAAAACATTTTCTAACCTTCATAATACATGAAAAGTAGTAGGGGCATTTTAAGTTCTTTTTGTTAGTTTTTCAACTATCCATTGCGTTCTTCTTTACCCACAATTTCGTCAATGGCCAATTTCGTGATAAGCTTCTGTTGAACGTAAAAATGGCTCTATTCGGTGCTCGAATAATTGTAACTCCCGGTGAGTGTGATTTAGATATTAACATTACTTTCTAACAATTGGTAGAGTTGTTGGAATGCTCCAATTTCATCGATTTCATCATTTGTGACAATCTTTCTTGTACATTCTATTTATCAGAAAAACACCGCATGGTGAAGCAAGATTTAAACGAGATTCCAAACCTTTTTTTTAATGAAATCTTATAAAAATAACTTTTATTTTCAGTACTTCGGAGGACTATAAAACAAATTTTATTCAATAGAAATTTAGCAAGATATGTAAGTAATTGTACATCTTCTATTACTACGCAAGATTTAGCTATATATGTAGACACAAAATAGTTTGCATATTTACGTTTTACTGTAATCATTATTACAATCAGTTGTGCAAAAGTATTATTTAATATTTTTTATATTTAGCAACGGAAACATCAAATCTGTGCTCAGTTATATTTACCACAAGTCGAAACACAAAGATTTTATGCTGAAAAAAAAGTATACAATCGTGATAAACCGCATTGTAATGTTGGAACAATTGGTCATGTAGATCATGGAAAAACGACGCTTACTGCTGCCATCACCAGAGGTTTTTATTTCTTCTTATCATTATACATAAAAAAATAGAGTAATCATGTGGAGGTCAGTTAATTTTCACCATCTAATTAAATAATTACAGTTCTTGCTACCAAGAAATTAGCAGAAGCTAAAGAGTATTCAGAAATCGATCATGCTCCTGAAGAAAGAGCCAGAGGAATCACTATTAATGTTGCCCACTTAGAGTATTCAACAGAAAATCGTCATTATGGGCATACAGACTGTCCGGGTCACGCTGATTATATTAAAAATATGATCACAGGAACAGCACAGATGGATGGTGCGATTCTAGTAGTTGCTGCAACTGATGGGGTCATGCCACAAACAAAAGAGCACTTGCTTCTTGCTAAACAAATCGGTATCAAACATCTTGTGGTATTTATTAACAAGGTAATTCTTAAAATTATCAGATAATTACTAAATATTATCATTCAGAATTTAAACGAATAAATAATTTCATTTAATCTGCCTAGATTGATGCTGCTGATGCTGAAATGGGTGAGCTAGTCGAAATGGAAGTACGTGAACTTCTAACAGAAATGGGTTATGATGGTGATAATATACCCATGATTAAGGGCAGCGCTCTTTGTGCATTAGAAGGCGAAAAACCAGAAATTGGAGAAAATGCTGTATTAGAATTATTAAAAGCTGTTGATTCATATATACCAACTCCAGAAAGGGATTTAGATAAACCATTTTTGATGCCAGTTGAAAGCGTTTATTCTATCGCTGGGCGAGGAACAGTAGTCACTGGACGGTTAGAACGAGGAATAGTGAAAAAAGGAATGGAAGCTGAATTCATTGGTTATAATAAAACATTAAAAACTGTCGTTACTGGTATAGAAATGTTCCATCAAATTTTAACAGAAGCCCAAGCCGGTGATCAACTTGGAGCACTTGTAAGAGGCTTAAAGAGAGATGATGTAAAAAGAGGCATGATTATGTGTAAACCGGGTACAATGAAAGCTCATGATCATTTTGAGGCACAAATTTATATTTTAACACCAACAGAAGGAGGCAAGAAGAAACCTATAGCTAATTATAATAAATGTCAAATGTTTAGTAAGACATGGGATTGTACTGCTCAAATTCTTATTCCTGGAAAAGATATGGTGATGCCTGGAGAAGACAGCACGTAGGTTACTGATTATTTATCAGTTAATTCAAATTATTTTTTATATATAACAAATATTCATAATGTTATAATTTACAGGTTTGAATTAAAACTTATTAAACCTATGGTTCTTGAAAAAGGACAGAGATTCACAATCCGAGATGGTTCAGTCACTTTAGGAACAGGTGTTGTTACTAATGTATTAAAAGGTTTAACAGAAAAAGAACGTCTAGGTCTTATGGACGGTAAAAAGAAAAGAGAAAAAGCGGCTGCAGCTGTATCTGCTTCAGCATCTAATTAAATTTCTTTTTAAACTAATTTTTCTAAAGTAACTGTAGTACTAAATTATTTTAAAATACAAATATTTGGTTCATAAAATGAAAGATCAATTACCAACAAAGTAATTTAAAAAAATGCAAAAATAATGATATAATTTTTTTTAGTGATTTCTTGTAAACTTCAATATTCCATCACTTTTTTTTCATAGATCATAGATCCAAACATTTTATTTTATATATAAATAAGTATTTCACCATCATATAATTTCTTTTGATTCAATTAAGGACAATGACGATTTATATTACGTACTATGATAAATGACGTACTATACCGAATGATTTACAAAAAATTATATTAAGTTAATTAAGAATATTTACAAATTAATTTAAAAAATTTGTTGGCATATTATAACTGTATTTGAATTCAGTATAAAATTTTTAAGGTTTATATAAATATGTAAAGGAAATGAAAATAAATCTTTTTATTTCAGTTATATTTTTTATTGATCATGATCATACAATATTGGCTGTATCAAATAAAATCATCAAACGTTCATTCAAAAGCAAACACACTTTTTGATAGTTTCTATCGCGTTCATTCTAAGTGATTTAATTCTATAATTTACATGACACTTTTTGAATGAGAATTTTCCATTTCTTACAGTGATATACTTTCATTGATTATTTTATTACTGAACAACTTTTTATTTTAAAGGAAAAACTAGTGATAATTTAAACAAATTAATAATATTTACTTAGAAAAATAGGAAATTATTTTACTTTAAACAGACTGTCATTTTATATAATTTTAATTGGAATAGTTTTTGAGAATTAAACTGCATTATTGATGCCCGTTTCCTCCAATTTCAAGCACCTGAAAGGATGTTATAATTTAAGTTCTAATTGTTTAAAGTTAATAAATAACTTTAATTATAAATTATTGATCATTTTGTGATAAATAATGATATTCAATTAATTACAAACGGCAATAATAATTAATTTTGTATTATCTACTTTTATTTTATTAAGAAAAAAAGAACAATTATTGAAAAATTTAATAACTGATTAATAATCGAAACAAATATTCCTTATATTATATTAAGAGAAATTTTTTTAGACCAATAAAATGCTGTCAGCTCACTAGATAGTAGAGCATTTGTAATAGGCCATTTTAAAGGCCATACGCACGATTGAATGAACTAAAGGTCCTCATCGTCTTCTGGCAAAGCGGTTTCCTGAGCTTCTTTAAGATCTTTCTCGATCTGTTGTTGCCATTGTGGATCCATAGTAACTTCCGGTGGTAAAAGTGCAGGCATAGCAACAAACTCAAGGTTAGGATCACCAATTAATTTTCTTGCTAACCAGAGGAAAGGTTTCTCAAAGTTATAGTTACTCTTTGCACTAATATCATAGTACTAAAACATTAGAATAAAATTATACAAATACAGATTACTAGAGGATATTTTAAAAACAATTTTTAAAATAGTAAAAACGTTACCTGAAGATTCTTCTTTCTATGAAACACAATGCTTTTGGCTTTTACTTTTCTGTCTTTAATATCAACTTTGTTTCCACATAAAACAATTGGAATATTCTCGCAAACTCTGACTAAATCTCTATGCCAATTGGGTACGTTCTTATATGTGACCCGAGACGTTACATCAAACATAATAACAGCACACTGTCCCTGAATATAATAACCATCTCGTAGACCACCAAACTTCTCTTGGCCAGCTGTATCCCAAACATTAAACCGAATGGGCCCTCGATTTGTGTGGAAAATTAAAGGATGTACTTCAACACCCAAGGTAGCTACATATTTCTTTTCAAATTCACCAGTCAAATGACGTTTAACGAATGTTGTCTTTCCAGTACCTCCATCACCGACAAGCACACATTTGAAAGTTGGTACATCAGCTTCTTGAGCCATTTTTAGTAAACTTGTTCAATTATTCTTGCTCAAATCTGACAAAAAAAAATAATTAAACATACATTTGAATAAATTCATTCTTGTAACATTTATCTACATAACTTAAATAACTTATGTGATCATTTTTAACAAACATTTAACTATATTTTGAATATTTAATAATTTTAATTTAACATCTTGAAATTAACAAAATTTAATAAATTATTGATACAATGGATAGAAATTCGTGAAAGGTTATAGGTTAAAATTTATGAGCAGCTATATATCAAAATATTGACGTATTCGTAACTGTTTATAATTACATATTTCAAAATAGAAAAAATAATCAAAATGGAATCAAACTTGAAAAATACACATTTTTACGTATTGCTTTATATTGAAACTGAAAGCAAAAGTGGAGATTATCGTAAAAAATTCAGAAGCCGGTTGATGAAAATTTATCAGTCAGAATTTTCTAGAAATTATGATTCATAAATATAATACTGACATGGTTACAAAAAATTTAAGTTTAGGTAAAATAAATCACTGTTATTATTCAGTATGAAATGGTGAATTAATTTAATTTTAGAGTAACCAACAAGACCGGGAAACTGTTATCTCGCGCGCTTCTACCACGCTATACTTTAACGAAAAATTTAGAGTACGGCATCTGGAATTGAGCCTCTACAAATGAGGCAATTTAGATTTTAATGAAGTTTTATGTACCAAAAGCACAAACCAACCTTTCTGATTAATAAAATCAATTCATCTACTTATTTTATCAAATATTGTATTAATAATTTAGAGCTAAATTATGCTTTCCCGGGATTTTTTGATGGATGTGAAAATGAACGATCAAACTCACCTTGCACCACAGTCGTTATGGCTCACAATGGCGTTCCTTCAAATGGTGGAGTAAACCACCTCGCACGAATGCGGCAAAAATAATTCTATCTAAAAGTGATTTGAATAGATGTTTAAAATCATAAAAAAATTAACAATTTTATTATTTTCTACAATTTTTTATTAATTTTCAGCTATTTCGTACAATAAAAATTATTTTTTCTCAACGTAATTATTGTAGCGACCTCTATAAATTGAAAATTAATTTCAAAAATACGCTGCGCATTCAAATAATGTTTTATATTGCATTTTTTGATTAAAAAAATATGAATTACATAAATATTGAAACATTCAATTAACAAGAAAAAAATATCATGACGTCATATAATATAGTAGTAGATGAATCAGAATTTGATATAAGAATTAAAATTGTACATTTTAACATTTAATTTCAATAAAAATGTATATGCATGAATACATGCATTTGAGACATCTGTGCTTGATTAAACAAGTTTAAGGTGATAATATTTCTACGTGTGTACATGAACGGCAATACACCTGTATTCTACCAAAAGTGCATTAGTGTGCATAGTCTTTATTCCGTGACTGCAGTTGATTTAAATGAAATCACTTAGCTATTTATTCTATGGTCATAGAAACATACCTACTGACTGGTACCACGGCCGCCACTAACTGCTACTGCCTGTGACTATGTATGCGTATGTGCAGCATCGTGAGTTACTCGATCGAAAAATGGATCTTGTACGGTGTTCGTGTGTGATTTCACGGACTTGGATCGTGGCACGGGGTTTCTAAAATAATATAACGGCATAACGGGTGTGCATTTCACACTAACTAAGTACAAATACTTTTTTATAAGAACAAAAAAAAAATTAGTAAAGTTATTTTCGTTTTACAGATGGTCATCATTGTAAGGAGGGCCAAGTCATCCAATTTCCATTAATAATATCTATAGTACTACCGATTTATTTTTAAATTTACAAGACTCTGAATATAAAAATGCAATTAATAGTCGGCTAAAGACTTTTTTCTGTAAGTTGAATCATCTTTATTTTGTATTATACACATATAATTTAATTTTTTTTTTTACTTTTTTGTGACTCATATATTCTTAGTCGTTACGTGTGGGTGTGTAAGTGCGTTTAGAAATACTTGATGTTAAATGTATTTCTTTTCCTATTTTATACTTGTATCCTGTTTTGTAAGCTTAATAACAAATTTATATATTGCTATAATAACTACTCAAACATAGCATTCTTAACTTACATTATTCATGGAAATCGAATTTAGTTTTTCACTATTTAAATAACTAAATAATTTTTATTTAAACGATAATTGAATTTTCCTTAGTATAAAATACCTTTTTTGATTATTTAAATACCTATTCTAATTTGCAATTTGAATTAAATCTTTACGTTCTTTTATCATCACAAATTATCTAATTAACTCGATCAGTTTTTATTTAGTTGCTAATTAGATTCACATTGAGTGATTTAAAAAATAAAATTACACTTTCCTTTTTCAATTGATTATATGTTCAATGTGAATCTAAATATTTTTAAATCTCATTTCTAATTTAAAATAATTACGATAAATATTGAATAATATTAAGCTACGTAATAACAATAATTTAATAATCCATAATTTTAATAATTAGTTGTCTTGTCTGGTCTAAATTGTCATCATGTTTTTGTCGATAGTGTAATAGTCTAGTCTTCTGTGGGGTTACGGAATTCGGGTAAATTCGTGTGACAATATCATCTGGCATAAAATAATTAAACATAAAAGATATAAAATGGAATCAACAATAGCTGGTCGCAGACGTGCTGCAACTAGACATGCAGCTGAAGATCAAGCTCTTGATCAAATCGCTAAAGAGGTAACTTATTTATTTTAAAATCTGGACATGTAACTGGTACAGATTTACAGTTAGAGATGTGATTGGCATAAATCAAAGATATTCATGATATTTTCACTAATCCACTTATACTTGATAAGTTATATGGTGTAAAAATAATGAATTATATTGTTATCAATATAATAATATTTAACATTCATTTCTCAGGCAGGTGAAAGACTAGCAGCTCGGAGACAAGCAAGAGCAGAAGCTAGAGAAATTCGTATGAAAGAGTTAGAAAGACAGCAAAAAGAAGCTGAAGAAAACGCTGATAGAGTTTACGATATGTGTAATGGTAATTTTTGTCTCTATGATAAATTTATAGAATGATTTTTTTAATTCACATGATTATTTTATTTAATTTATTTATTGTTCACTTTATAAAACAATTGAAGTGAGTCATTTTATTTATTAATCATTTACATATTACCGTAAATACAATGTTGCAATTTTTTAGTTGACGGAACTCGAACTATGAGGGTAACGCCAGACCCAATAAGGGCTTCACGGTTATTAACTAACTCTAACAGTTTTCAATCAAGTCGAAGGTCTTCCGAAGATTCTTTAGAAGAAGCTGGCCTAAGTAGAGATTTAAGAGTATGTTATAAACCAAAATATTTTCGTTTAATACTCGTGTACTTTTTTCATTAACTACATAATTTTTATTCGGTTGAATTTTTTAGTTAGAACTTAAGGAATTAGAAGAGAAGTTTAGAAAAGCAATGATTGCAAATGCTCAGCTTGATAATGAAAAATCATCGTATGTTTATCAAGTTGACTTGTTGAAAGATAAATTAGAAGAAACAGAAGAAGTTGTAGCGACATTACGGAGAGAATTCAGGGAAAAAAATCGAGAGGCTGAACAACTGAAGCGAGTTAATCAAAGATTAAAAGAAGATTATGAGAATTGCAAAGCTCAATTAGAAGAAAGGGATAGGCTGATCCAAGTATTTTAAAACGAATTTAATTATTGCCACAATAATGTTAAATTCAGAATCGATTTAATAAAACATGTTATTGTATTATTTTTTAGGAAAATGGGTTGGTTATTGTTGAAGATGAAGGTAGTGAAGATGAAGGAACTGGGGCATCAAATGGAATTCCAAGAAAAAGAGTACTAGTCAGTACAGAAGCTGCAGAATTATTACAAAATGCTGGAGAAGGATCTCTGGGTATTTATAATTTATTTAGCTTATCTTTTATGATTATTCTTGTAGAAATAATAATAATAATTGACTTTATCATCTAGATGTACGGTTAAGAAAGTTTGCCTCGGAAAAAAAAGAACTAACAGATGAAATCCGACACCTAAGACTAGAATTGGAAGAGGCCAAGAGTCGTCAAAGATCCGAAAGATCATCCGGATCAGTATTAGGTAACTTAGCATAGTATATTAAAAATAATGAATCTGAATTTAATTAAAAGATTTATTGATGTTAAATTATTTATTTAAGGATTAATAGATTCTGAAGATGTTCAGAGAGAAGCAAACAAATTACTGGCAGATTATAAATTTAAATTACAAAAAGCTGAACAAGATATGTCCACACTTCAAGCAAATGTCACGAGATTGGAAACTCAAGTTATTCGATACAAATCAGCAGCAGAAGCATCAGAGAAAGCTGAAGATGAATTGAAAGTTGAGAAAAGAAAACTACAGAGAGAAGTATGTTATACAAAAGTTTTTAATTTTCAACTGGTTAATAATGAAATGGCTGGAATAAAAAATTATGTTTAAATGTTATATTATTTTATAGATTAGAGAAGCACAGAGTCGTGTAGATGAGTTAGAAACAGCGAACAATCATCTTCAACGACGATTAGATAAACTGAAAATGGCAAAATCTACGTTGCTCAAAGAAATTTGACGCGATGGGAATGCCGGGGAGCCGGGTTAAAATATTAATTTTTTATGCCACAATTAAGGTGATACTAGTAGTTTGTACCTTATACACAAAGATGAAGAAGAAGAGATAATGATACAAAATAATCATTCTACACTAACTCGGAACTTTTATGAAGTAAATGTAAAGAGATATATTTATTTGATCCTTCTGTATTTCTAATTCATACTTTGGCATTGTGCAACCAATTTATAGCACCATCTTAGGCGTTATTTCGTTAGACTTTTAGTTTAAATATTATATAATTATCTACAAACTTTTTTTAAATAGTCATATTAACAAATAATTATAGAGTTTCAATTGGCTAGTTGGTTCTTGAACTGAGGCCAGCATTTGGCCGTAAAATTTGAACCGTATTTGTAAAAAAAAAGATTACGCATTTATGCACATAATTAAGAGTCACAAAAAAAACTATTTATAATTATACTTTATTATGATACTTTGTAATTGATGAAACACAGTATATCGATAATGGCAGATATTTATCAATATGATAATTATCTGAAATCTAAATTGTGTTCATTTTAATATGCTTTCTATTTTTTAATTATGAATGAAGAATTTCGCTGAACTTATGATAAATTAAACATATTCATTGATGAATCGCATGTTGTTTATAAATTAAATTTTAATAAAATTTGATTAAATGGTGCATAAGTACTTAGATATCAGTCAGTACAAATGATATTACTACACGTGATCAGTATTTTTAAAATTTTTTTCTTCAACTCGTGCAATTAAATTTAATAATCAAAATCTTGTGACCATTTTCATTGCATTTTAAGAATATTTATATTTAGTAAGAAACTGAATTTCATTGAAAAGACAAATATTTTTTATCAATGGAATTTATAAAAATTAAAAAAATAGTGAAATAAATAAACGAGATAATGCTAAAGATGAATTTTGCCATAAAAACAAAAGATTCTAAGAAGAAAATACTGTCAATTAATCACTGTATGCAATCGGCAAAATTAATGTATTTAATTTTATCATAAAAATATTTATTAAAAAGTGATTAAATAAAAACAATGTTAATGAAGCATTTTCATTGAAAGAAAAAAATTCATCATATGGTTGATTAATAAGCATTATTGTAATTAACATATTTTGGTTAATAGAAAACTCATTCTTTTGACTTTCTATAAGAATTATTAATTGTAAATTGTATATTTTATTATTAGAATTATTAATAATTATCTTTTTAAAATATCGAAAAATAGTAAAATATGAATAAAAGACTTCAGACTTTGAAGTTCGTAATTATTTTTATCAAAATTTATTAAAATGTATAGTCGATTAAGTTTACATAAAATTCAAAAGAATTTATTTAATAATAAATTTTTAAAATGTATTTTGCAAATATTTATTATTTAAGATAATTGTTTCACAAACAATATAAGTATATTTGACTTAAATATAACGAAAATAAGAAATTAACGTCGTGATTGCGTCCAAGCGGGACTTTGAGGTTCAGTAATAGGTCTTGTTGACTTGGCAATTACAAGTGATTTGTAGACAGGCACAGGTCTTGCTTTATGTTCAGCCTGTTTACGTAATTGAGCTATTTCTTCTTGTTCCTTTGCCAGTTTGAGCTCTTGTTCCCGTCGACGACGTGCTTCTTCTTGTTCGAATTTTAATTTCAATTTTTGTTCATATTCTCGGCGAAGTCTTGCTCGTCTTTCACTATGTAATTCAATTGGTTTTAATTTTGGCTTCAATTTAGGCATGTCAGTTACTTTATTATGTTCACCAACATTTAATGATGATGATGATCCAGTTAGTTGTGTTTTTTGGGTCGGAATTGTTCCTTTTGAATTTTGCTGTCTACAATATTTGAAATTATCATGAGATAGTGTACGAAGTACATTCGATTCGTTTACATGATCTTTAGATTTAACATTTTCTGCAGACTTAGTTCTTAAGAAATTTTTATTAGAATTTAAATTTTCCCTTGACGATACTTTCACTGGAATTGGCTTGAAATTAGGTACTGGGTTTGCATGGAAGACTCTTGCTTTTTTTTCTTGTTCCTCAATTTTCTTCCTCATTTCTTCTTTTTTCTTTGCCAATAATCTATCTCGTTTTTCAAAACTGAATGGCATCATTTTTATATGAGAACTAGTTTTGATCCCATTTTCTTTTTGATTTTTAGAATCTTTATTATTAGTTTTGTTAATAGCAATCGATGATATTTTTTCATTAATTTTCAATTTTTCATCTTTCAACTTTTTCATTTTCTTTTCTTTTTCAATTAAATCCTTTTTATTTCGTTGATCGAATTGAAATGGAACTTGTTGAGTTCTTGTTTTTTTAGGCTCTAATTTTGATGAAGTATTAAAGTCTCTTGAAACTGGTATGCTGGAATGTAAAATTTTTTGAGTTTCAACTTTTTGACTGTTAGGCTTTTGAGATGCTGTTTTATTAGGTTTAGATGTGTTCACTTGAGGTGGTTGAGATGATTCCGTTTTCTTTTTAGGTTCAGACAAATTAAACGGTTTAGGAATAGTAATACGTTTCTTCAAAATTTCAGTCTGAGGTTTAGAACCTTTATAAGTAGTTATAGGTCTCTTTTGAACCGTAACTTTATTTGCATTTGTCTGTTTTTCCTGGTTTTGATCTTGTACCATTTTTTTTGTTCGCATTTTGGAATGCCAATTTGGAGAAACTGGAATTGTTCGTTTGAAAGCTTGTTGAGTCGTTTTTTGAATTACTTTTGGTTTTTTAACTCTTTCTGTATTTTTGCTCACAGTATGAAACCGTGTTGGCGTACTACGTTGGAATGCTTTAACACCTTCTGCTAAACTTACATATTTATTTGATCGTTGACGATTAAGAATATTTTTCATTTGAATGCTATTTCTACGAGCTTGACCAGTCAATATAGTGGGTTTTTTAATGTTCCCCAAGGTCTTTTGAGTATACTGAGATTTGAAAACTTTATATTGGTTTTCATCTTCATCAAGAGATTTGCTAAATTCATCAAAAGGTTGAAATTCTGTTTCAACATAATCATCATTATCAGCTGATGATTCAATTTCAGGAATGTTTATTTGCTGATCCTCATTAACCTCATTAATATTTGGAAGTTTCTCTTCATTATAATCATCTTTTTTAGATTCTAAAGAGTTTATATTTTCTGGTCTATTTTCGAAGCTTTTATTTTGCAACGTATTCGAAATAATTTCTTTATTTTCTAAATTAATATTCTCATGGATTTCTGAAACGTTATCATCTGAGCAGTCAAGTTTATAAACCGGTATTTTCGATTGTTTTAAATCCATTGTGCAAGGACTTGTTCTTAAGTTGAAAATTGGAGTTCGATTAATAGGAATGTTTTGATGCATTGAACGACAGATCCTTAATTTTTTTTTAGTAGGATTTTCATCTGCATTTTTTATAGAACTGTAACAGTCAGAAACTCGTAAATTTTTATTTTTTGTGATTATATTTTCACTTTGAATATTTTCTTTGATATTCTCTAGTTCTTCTGACATTTTATTCTCCAAGTTCATATTAATTTCATTTGTCTCATTCACTTTCTGATAGTAATTCTTAGCTTTCGAACTATCTATCAACTTTTCATTCTTAATACTTATATTATTTGAAGATACATCATTTTTTTTATTACAAACATTTCCACGAATCTTTATTATCCTTTTAGCAGGCGTTTGTTCATTAGAAATCTGATTTTGATTATTTACAGTTACTTCATAGAGAGATTTTATAACAGGAGTTTCTCCTCGAGTAGGAGTATCTGGAATTATTTCAATCTTTGGACAAATTGGTTTATTCATATTCTGAGGTTTTGGACGTTTCTTAAGAGAAGAAGCCAATTTTAATCCTTCCATAGCATCACTAAGAATATCATTAACATTATATTCTTTTTGGTACATTTTTTTATTATTCATATTTGGTGATTTTAATTTTAAAGGAGTAATGCAAATATTATCGATATCATCGATGAATTCTGATTGCAATTCCGATTTATTTTGGTCGTTTACTTCAGAACTTTTCACGCTTGACGAAGCTTTATTTTGAAGCCTTGTTGATTTTCTGAGTTGAGTTTTTTGTCGAACAGGAGAAGCTTCAAGACTGTCATGGGTGCGATCGAAAAAATCGTCATTTGTTGAATTATCATGGTTCATCATTTCTTGCAAATCCACCCACTGTGGACCGCTTGTTTCATATGCATAGTCTGCTGACATCTTTTATAGTCCAAGTTATGATAAAATGATAAACAATCAATTAAATATTTCAGGGCTTACTATTTATCCGTTAAAATGTAGAACCAAATTTTTATCCTAAAAATAAATTGTAATAGAAAATTATTTTTACCAAAAAGAGTGAATCTTATCAGCTAATGATTTGATATAACTAAAAATTGTACATGATTAAAAATAATTTTTTAAAAATTTTTATAGAAATTATTTACTTTTCAAGATCAAAATAAGTTGCTATTTACCTCCGTAAGTTGTATGGACCCACGAAGTGTTTGGTAGTCAGTGAATGCCACAGTTAACAGTAAAATGATTCAATATGAAAAAATTTACTACTTAATAATATTCGTTACTTCCTGCGAGCTAGAAAGTAATAAATACTTTATGAATTACCATAAGGAGCCAAGAGAAAACTCAAAATTAGTTTAAAATAATTGTAAAATACTTTGAAAAACCATCTTCGACTGACAACGTTTTTAACCGACAAAATAGACAACAGTGTTCAATTTGAAACTTCAACGGTTGATAATTGGCTACAGTTTAATTTCATAGTACTAAAATGCTGCCAACTTAAAATCGGAACTTTTTTGTTTCTTATATTGAGCAAAAGCCGCGAAAATTCGAATTTTATACGAATGTATTATATTGTTTTTCATAAATTAAAATACAACGTAATCTGGTCATGAAATTAGTTGATTAAAAAATAGTAAATATGCGAAAAGTGTATAATTTGTAATGAATAGATTGAAAAAAATAGCAGAATCATTACTGTATTAACTTTAGTTTGATTGTTATCTACAGTACTGGACATAAATACTGTGTGATTTTCTATAAGACAGTATAGGAAAATTGCATGTATAACCTTCAAAAAATTGAACAGCATTTATATCCGGTACTGTACTATGGACTTAATTTTTTTTGTCCACAATTAATATTCTTGTTGAATAAATTTATGTTAAATATATAACCAGACTTTTTAGTTTGACCGAAAATTATCTTTGGTTACTTGGCAGTTGATTACCCTCTCTCTTAAATTTTTCAACAGACTGTTAATGCGCGCGCACAAAAGAATAGACAAGGGAGTCTAACCTGACAGAGTGAAAGAGCATATTCAGGCATATCAAAAGAGAATTTTTTCAGTAGTCGACTGTACATACAATTATTTAACTTAAAATAATGGATTCGTATGAAAGTGTTTTACTTGTCAAATCTGAAGTTTTTGTGTTTAAAATACCACCAAGAGCACCCAATCGTGGTTATCGGTTAGTTATGATTTTTCTTGATCATCTATTTATTTAACATATTGCTGTGTAGACATTATTGACATCTTATTATTATTATTATTATTCGTTGTATGACAATCAAATTTTACTAGTGATATTTTTTTTAAATAATCAATTATTCTATTTATTTTTTTATCGTAAAACAGTTTACTATAATAATAATTTAGTTAGAAAATGAATCGAATTTAAAGATAAATAAATTACAGAGCAGCAGATTGGAATTTACAAGAACCATCATGGACAGGAAGGATGCGTCTTGTATCTCAAAATGACTCAATAACGATAAAATTAGAAGATAAAATAACTGGTGAACTGTTCGCCAAATGCCCAATAGATAAATATCCTGGAACAGCAGTGGAACCAGTGACTGATTCATCTAGATATTTTGTTATAAAAGTCCAAGATGATGATGGTAGAGCAGCTTTTCTTGGAGTTGGCTTTTTGGATAGATCCGATAGTTTTGATCTAAATGTGGCTCTTCAGGATCATTTCAAATGGTTAAAAAACCGTGATGAAATTGAGAAAGAAAAAGAGCAGCCTAAACCAGAACTTGACTTGAGGTTTAAAGAAGGAGAAACGATTAAAATAAACATGAAAATCACTGTAAGGTTTTTTATTGAACATTAATAATTATATATAAGTTTATTTTAGCGCTAACTACATTTCATAAAATAATTATTATTTATTAAAAATAGAAAAAAGATGGAAGTGAACAAGCTTCAAAAGCTAAACAGCGTGGTCAAGTAAATTTAGGTCTTCCACCACCTCCAGGAGGAATTAAAATTGCTCCACCTCCACCAAAAACACCAACATCATCACCCGCACATAAGCCAGCCCCAAATGCTCAGCAATTGTCTGGTTCTGAATGGGGGGAATTTGCAAGTGCATCCCAAACGCAACAACAACCATCGCCAGCAGCATCGCCGAACTCAACTAATGCCAGTTGGGTACAATTTTAATAATAAAAATATACTTCATGGTTGATATCAAGGTGAAGAAATTATCCAAAGTGAGCAGATGCAAATGTGTTTGCAGAAAAGTAAGACTCCTATATGTATATGTTTGTTAGATTATGTAAATAGTTGCAAAAATATTCGATATATTTGTATTAGAATGAGTACAGCAAAAAAAGCTTCTTCAGAATAATAACGTTAATAATTATTTTTATATTCATTATTAGTGTTATTATTATTATATAATATATTATATATATATATATATATATATATATATATATTATTAACAACAGTAATTATAATGACTGTTTACGTCCGCATAATGCATTTTAAACGAAATTAAGGTATTACTAGTTATAATTATGAAGTTGATTTTTTACTGAGAATTAATAAGAGTACACGAGATGTAGATGTTTTTTTTTTTTTCAATTAATTTATGTACTCTTTTCCCTTTTATCAATAGCTGCTGTACTCATTTTATCTATAATCATTTGAATTTGATTTCTTGGCTATATTATCTACAATTAATATGGGTACATTCTTGTGAAAATCGAAACGAAAAAAAGAAAGTATATTTTATTATTAAAATAGAATTTTAACCGTATAATAAAATTCTAATTAACGAATATTCTTATAATTTTAATGAAACATTTATTCAGCATGTGATGAATATTGTTATATAATTTATTATGATTTTAAAAATTCGTTACTGCCTTGAGAAAACTTCAATGAAAGATATATTAAGGCCTCAGTTGCCTTTGGCATCTGTACATAAGTAGATAATTTAGAAGCAATATTTTATCTTCTTGTTAAAGCCTAATTAAAAACTAAAGATTTTGAGATTTTTGAAGTTTCTCTGAAAATCTCATCTATTGCAATAGATAAAGGTCGTACCATGTGTATGATTGTTATATTTTATTTTCTTTATATTAGATAATGGAAATAAAAATTAAATATTCCTTAAAATACGATTATTATGCGACAATTATGTTTATAATTATTACTTATTATTGATCGGATAAAATGCAAAAATTTGATTGTTTTGTAAATATATTGCTCTTTCCATTGCATCTAAGTTGGTTTCGCTGAATGATATTGTCAATTGTAACCTAATGATTTTGATTTAATATCAACGTAAACGAGATCACAGATAGTCCGTAATGTTATTAATATAATAATTAAATTGACTTAATGAACAATAGATAAAAATGGTTCTAAAAATTATTTTGAATGCAGTTAATAATTGACAAAAATTATACCATTTTCATGTATATTATTTTCAAATAAAAAAATTATTAAATGATACTTTATGCCATCTAATCATTCATAAATCATTCATAATTTCAACCCATCCCATTAATTTTAACGCTTATGAGTCATAAAATACTGTAGACAACTGTTTATTAGACGTTATTGTTCGTTGAAAGAGTTATATATTGTTAACACTGAATAATGTATGAATACTTATTGTCGATCAATAAATCATCAACTGTATATTAAAATAAAAAAAAAAAAAATAATAAAGTACTTAAAGATAGATGTAAAAAGTTGAATAATTGTGAATATTAGTGGTGAGTTAATTATAGCAGATAAATTTTATTTCTATCACATTCTATTGTACTGTATTTGTTTGTTCATTGAATATAATAAATAGTATTATTAGCACACTGAAATATTAAATTTGTTATTGATATAAATAATACTTAAAAGTCATGGCTGTTTAGAATTTATTGATCTATGTATCGTGATTTTTCGAATTTCAGCAAATCGTCAAGATCATTAAAAAATAAATCAACAACGTTTATTGCGTGGTACGTTAAGTCGTAAACTACGCATTGTTATTGTTCGATTAAAGTTCCGTTGTACAGGTCGTTGAAGATGATCATCATTTCCTGATATAGTTTCATCACACTCTACAGTACTCAAAACTACAAGTAATACTCCTAAAACCTAAAAATAACATTATTCATTTAATTATTTATTAATTATCTAAAAGTAGATAAACAAAGTAAATAAAATTATTTTATTTACCAAACACACGATTATTATTAATGTATACACGTGTATACTCGCAGTGGGAAGTGCTTCAACTTCTTTAAGTGCTTCAGCAGCATCTAGAAGGTCAGGTTTTAATTCTAAAGCGTGTCTTAAATGTACAGCTGCTTCTTGAAAATATCCATACGCCTATAAGATAAATATATAAAAAATAGACTTTTAGATTTTTTGTAAGTAAAGTAATGAATATTTTTAATTAGAATTGATATTCATTGATATTACCTTAAAAATTTGGCCTAAAGTAAGATACTGTTCCCACGCATTTCTATCTGGTGGTTGGAGCTCCAAAGACCGTCGAGCTAAGTATGTTGCATCATCCAAGTATTGTAGAACCAATAATACTCTAGCTAAATTCAATAACACTTCAGCATTATGAGGAGAAACTGCAAGGGCTCTCCTGAAGCACTCAATTGATCGTTCGGCATTACCCTTTATACGCCAAAAGTTTCCAATTTGATTGTACAATTGTACTGACTTTGGTTTCTAGAATCAAATTACTCAGTAGAATACTTGTTTATGTCATTGCAAAAAATAGAATCAAAGAATACCTCTCGTTTGGCTTTTTTCAACCGTCTTTCAAGCAAATCAATGTCAACATCTTCAACTTTAGTACTGCCTTTTTTAAACATTAGAGCAACATGTGGTTCTGGTACTAACGGATGTTTATTTCTATTAGCAACTCCCACTAAATTATCATAGTAAGTATAATTAACTGGTTTCCCACAATCCAAGACAATATCTTCACACTGTTGTCCCGCAGCACATACAATTTGATCATTTGATGCTGAGGAGCTTGAAGCTCCTGATTCTGTGTTGTTTGGTGGGTCAATCATGGTGTATGACACAAATCGTCTGCCAAGGGGATGAAAGTTAACGCTTTCATAATTCTGGAAGGACAGCAAGCCACACACAAATACTAACTACGGGCAAAAAAATGGAGAACTACGTTAGAAAATAGTAAAAATATAATAATGTCAGCATTTGCTCCTCTGAAAGAATTCAGTCTATCGTTTGTAACGAATAAAAAGTCTATCAAGGAACATCTTCTTAAATACAAACATATATCAATTGAAACTGAAAGTTTATTTAAAAATAAATAAAAACATTGATATGATTAACAATGGAATAATCAAAAAATACTAAGAGTTACGGCATCAATTTATGCACTGTTATTTATGAGTAAAAGTGAAACATGCAATATTCATTCAAAAAACTGAAAAACATGCAAACAAATACATAAGGCATGCATTTACTTTACCTTTCTGAATTGGAGGCAATAAAATTACTAAACTCATTGCAATAAACTTGCAATTTTTCTGAACTATCAATTGGACCACTTTTACTCCATCCTTGTTCATTGATAGAGTTAATGCTACTGGTTAAGATTTCAAATATTGGATCATCATCAATAGACAGAATAAATTGAGAGGCTTTGACTACACCATCAGTGCTGAGTCTCCAAGAAGTCCTTGAGTTCGATAGCCTAATTTGAAATATCAGTAGACAAATTGCATAAATGGCAATACGACCTTCAGCCCACATGGTGAGAATTAATTATCTGTTCCAATTATAAGTCAACAAAATAACATTTCAAAAATATATTTCAGAAGATTTCAGAATAACCTAATCAATCCTTGAAATATACCATTTAACCATTTACATACTCACGAAACACTAGAGACCTCTGGAAAAATTTTATATGACAATGATAAAAGATATATGCATACATATGCATACAAATGCATATTTATGTTTTGTTTTCCATTTCACTCTACTTTGAAAAAAAAATCAATTTCATTTTTGATCATTTTATTTTGGAGTATGAGGAATATTCTTCTTCATGCACAAATATTTTATTTCTTAAATGTTGAGAAGAACATTTTTAAAAGTGGTATAATATTATTTATTCACTAAAAAATTAAATATGCCAACCTTGAGAATTTTTTTCAATGTCAATAAAATACTTAATTACTTTTATTGGCAATATAAATCGAATTGCAATTTTTTTGAATTTCAATTTTTGCGCCTAAAATATGAGCTTACAACGCTCTCTAGCGTTGTAAGAAGCATGTAAAACATGTTGATACATTATCAGTAGAATTATTGTTCTTATTTATAAATTTTAAATGGTTTTTAAGAAAATTCTTTATTTTTATAAAATAAATAATAATTAAAAATTAATTCTCTATTCAATAAAATAATATTCATAATCGATAAATGATCATTTTCTGTTTCCTATCTCTTAATAAAAAGTTTAATAGGTTAGATAATGCTTGTGACATGTCACTTCCGTTACAAATAATTCTCTACTCTACACTCTAGTTCTCGTGGCACATTGTTCATTGTAGTTTATCCAACAAATACCGAAAGCCATGGGTTTTGGTTGTAATTTATTTTGTTTTCTCTGCATTTTTACATTCGCTAATGCCGGTGGACCAACTTTAGTTCTTCTTGATAATCTTGCTATTAAAGAAACGCATTCAATATTTTTTAAATGGCTTCAAGGTATGAAAAACTCATGTATTATGTTCCACAATGCTTATCATTTATATATTATTTTAACCTGAATTATTATGATAAAAAAAAAATTACTAAAATTTTTATAAAAGAACTATAAGTTGTCAATAATGTTTTTATATTTAGTATAAACATGAGTACCTTTGTGTTAAATTTTAAGTAAACAAATTATTAATATGACAAATAGATATTTACAATTGTTTCCAATTCTTTCAGATCGTGACTACACATTAACTTTCAAGCTTGCAGATGATGCTAATTTAGTTATTTCAAAGTATGGAGAATTCATCTACAATCATTTAATTATCTTTGCACCAAGTGTAGAAGAATTTGGAGGAGCTTTGAATATCGATGCTATCACCGATTTTATAGATAATGGAGGAAATGTTTTGGTAGCAAGTTCATCAAATTCAGGAGATGCTTTGAGAGAATTAGCTAGTGAATGTGGTTTTGAAATTGATGAAGAAAAAGCCACAGTCATTGATCATTTGAATTATGATGTTAGTGATAGTGCATATCATACGAAAATAGTCACTGGTCCTGACAATCTTATAGATGCTCCTGTAATAGTCGGAAGCAAAAATGTTGCTCCATTACTTTATGAAGGAACTGGATTAATTGCGGATCCGGAAAATCCTCTAATCCTCCGTCTTCTCACAGCATCTAATTCTGCATATTCTTATAATCCTGAACACCCAATTAAAGAATATCCTCATGCTGTTGGAAAAAATACATTACTAATTGCTGCTCTTCAAGCAAGAAATAATGCTAGAGTTTTATTCTCTGGATCTCTTTACTTCTTCAGTGATGAAGCCTTCACTAGTCCAGTTCAGAAAGCTAATGATGGTCAAAAATATGATAAATCTGGAAATGAAGTAGTCGCTAAAGAAATGACCCAGTGGGTCTTCAAAGAAAATGGTGTTATTCGAGTATCTACAGTCAGTCACCATAGAATTGGAGAGCACAAGCCTCCAACAGCTTACACTATTATGGATGATGTTATTTATTCAATCACAATTGAAAAATTATCAGGAAACAAGTGGATTCCATATGAAGCAAATGATGTACAGTTGGAATTTGTTAGAATTGATCCATTCGTTCGCATGACTATGACTCCATCAGGTTATGGAAAATACGAAGCTCGTTTTAAAATTCCTGATGTGTATGGAGTTTATCAATTTAAAGTAGACTATAACAGAATTGGTTTAACACATTTATATAGTACAACTCAGGTATCAGTTCGACCATTGCAACATACACAGTATGAACGATTCATTCCAAGTGCATATCCTTACTATGTGAGCGCCTTCTCAATGATGGGTGGCGTATTTCTCTTCTCTTTTGTATTTTTACATTATAAAGACAGTGTTAAGTCTAAGGCTGAATAAACATAACTACTGTATAAAATACTTTAAAGTTATAAATTAAAAAATATTTGGAAACAAAAAATTCTTTTGTTCAAAATACACTTAAGTCCCTTTTGTACTGATATTGTATTTAATCACTCTTAAAATATTTTTTAGCCACGAAAACTAGGATCATAATTGTAATGCTAATTGTGAGAATTAAAAAATAAGGATATTATGTTAAATAAAGTTTAAATAATGATATATTGTCGATGCCATATTTATCAAAATACCCTAAATGTCCGTTTTATAAAAGGTATTATCTATCTAAATACTCAGACCATCAACAACAATATTGTTTCCCGTGTAATCAAATTTAAACTTATCTGAGTTCGCTCGATTATGTATATTATCACATGCTTGAATGGATATTTATTTTCACATGAAATACTTTTTATTATCTTCAGTATTACATTGTGTTCGTCAGATCAGTTGTAATTAAATTCATCCAACAAAATGATTACATTCTTCAAAAAACTTTTTTTAGTTAATTATCATTTTATGTAAACTTGGTCAATAAAAATGCTACCTTCATAAATTTTTTGCCGTCATTATCATAAAGTGTCATGAAAAAGTGCTTTATACATCATGGATGAGGTAGTTTAATCACTGAAAATAAAACTGGAAATAGGGGTAGAAAAACGAGTGGATTTTCATTGCATTCTAATCCCTTGATGAGTAGAAATACGTAGGCAACTCTTGTCACACGGGGTGACAATATTACATTCTTCGATCATGATGAAGATAACAGCTGCTTTTCTACACTATCTACTCTCCCTCGTAATCTACTTTTTTAGCACTTATTGTTACCAAACATTTATTAAATTTTCATGCTGATTTAAGTGTAACATTTTTCGAATTTTTTTTATTTTTATCAGTTTATGAACTCTGTAATTTATAAAATATCACTATTAATTTATCCTACATGGAACATGTCTAAAGTAATCAGTAACAATAGAGATAAAAAAAATTATTTATTTCAATTGAATAAATATTATTCGCTAAATTATTTTACCTTAAATTATCACCGAAATTAATCAAAATTATTATAACAATCCATGAAGTATTTAAATATCATTTTAATTCAGATGAGTAATTTTTTGATCAAAAGACAAAATTATTTTTATCTTTTAGAGTAAATAAGCTGAATGACAATTATTATCGTCATCCTGTACATCAATAACATTTGTAAATATCAGTTGTTTATTTGTTCATTTCATAATTATTAAATAATTCTGAAAATATGTTTCAAAAAATTTCATTAACATTTATTTTGTATTGAGAGTTACAATTTATTTGTGATCATTAACATGCTATCATCAATGTTGAACGCTGGAATGAGCAATTGAGAAGAAAGAGGAGACTATAACTCGTTAAACTCAAAAACGTGAAAACATGACAAACCGAAACAAACACTTACTGGCACGTGACCGTCACGTGGTCAATAGGATATATTACATTCCATGTGCACATACACTTGACATAAATTTAAAGAGTCTAAATGATTACGTCACATCAGTACAACCGCTATTCTTTATCTTTTTGTTCAAGTTAAACTCTTATTTGTTGTTAGTAGGATCATGATAAAACAAAATAATTCAAGAAACTCAACTACGTTTGCTAAACATCTTGTTATATTATATACCATACTTGCTTATAAATATGTATGCATAACAATATGTTCATGCATCAAGTTTTCGCAAAATTGCTGATTCAATTTAACTGAAAAAGCTTATTATTAATTATTCTTAGCAAACTCCAACTTCATCAATTAGAATGTGTCATTGTAGAAGCATGAAAGGGAAGTATAAATAGGTTGTAATTTTATCAAATGGAGAAAAGTATCTCTCTTGAATTACATATTCATATTTATAATAGTTTAAACGTCTTGTTTCTTGTTAGATTGGCTTCGGTTTTCCCATCTGGCAGCCATATTTATATAAGGGGCGTGGCAAGTTCAAGCAGTGTCCATGACAACGGTACTATGTTATTCAGATATTGATTACAACCTGGTGGAGGGTTGCTAGGCATCTATCTGGGAGGGAAAATGTTATCACTGCTTTGTGGCAGTTAAGATAGCAATTCCTACTTGTTCCATTCTTCTTCTTCGTCTTTTCTTTGATATTTTTGTCGTTTATTCTTACATCTTCACTGATACTTATATGTAGACATATATAGCATCTACCTTGCTGGATGTCATCAACTGAGAATGCCTGTCTTGTTCTACTACATTATTGTATGGTGTTTGGAATTTTCGAATGAATGTATGTATGGAATAATGATTGAAGATTTTGCAGCTAAACCTTTTGACATCGAAATATGTTAGATATTTAGGTGGTTAAAAATATTATTAGCTTTATTTATTTTACTTTGAGTTCAATCAAAATTGTTTTATCGTGGTATTGAAAAAGATTTTGGAACAAAAATTATTTTATGTTGGTCCAAGGCATTTCTGTGGCCGGTAACAAATTACTCTAAAATTAAATTTACTCTAAAAATAATCATCCCCAGATTGCAAAGAGTAATACTTTATTTTTATACTTTTTCAACTTCTCATTAAAAATTTATATAAGTTTCTTTTTTATAAAAAAAGTGTTTTAACCTGCACTGTAATTTTTATTAATTTTTTATCCAGCAGTGTAACTAATTATCCATTGAAAATATTTCTCTCTAAAAATTATAAAGCTTTAATCTTTATTGTACAGATGAAAAGTCATCTAGATTATGGCAATTTAGAATAAAACTGCAAAAACATGTATATGACACTAAAATGATTTTAAAGAAGGATTTTAAGGGATATTGACATGAATTACATATTAAGTATCTTTGGTGGAAAATCAAGGAACCATTGTTTATTGTAAGTTGCAACATAAATGGAGGACTTGAAGCCTCCGGCGGAGTCACTGAAACCGAACGACCACAAGCTTTAGAGTAATTATCAAAGTTGACGGTCTAAAGAGGTTCAAAGGAGGACTGGCAGCAGACTGAGGACTTTGGATCAAAAGACTGGAAAATTCTGCAAGTATTCACCAATTTACCATTATTATTCAACCTGCTTATAATTAAAAGTATTTTTTTTGCTCTGAAAGAAATTTGTTTCTAAATCAAAGAGACATAATTCCCTTTGTTATGTAAAGCTTCCACATATTTAGCTAAACCATTAAACTTGAAAAGGCAATGAAACAGGTTCTCTTTAGTATGTGTGAGCAAAATTCAGTCGAACTTTAATTGACAAGTTAGCTAGGGCTTAATATCTCTGCTCAAACTCAAGTTCATTCACCAACTTTTGGATTCCAATTTTTATTTAAATCAGAGTTAATTTTGAAAATAACTTAATGCTAATAAAAATTGTTTTATAGGTACAATATTGTGAACGAATGTCTAAAAAACTTAATGACTATGTCGTGTATTGCAATATTGAAAAAAATCAGTAGATACAACGAGTGGATAAAGTATTTTAAATACTTAAACTAATAGTACTTTATGTAAACATTACTTGTTCGTCTATACATATTCTTATTATTCGCACATCATGTGATCATTCCCACGAGGCTTTACGAAGTAATACTGAGATTGCCTAATGCGTTAAACAAGTAAGTAATGTAGGATAAAGACCTATTAATACAGTTCAATTAAATGTCTTCCTAAAATTATATTTACCAAGATCTGAGAAGAAATAAATCAATCACAGCTTCATGATAAATAATTGCACTGCAAAAAAGTGTTATTTTATCAACACTTTATTCATGTCTAGACATTATCTCAGTTTTTACAAGAATATTATAGAGATTAGAATTAGAAAAGGTATTCTCTTCAGAGCAAAAACAATACCAACTTAAATTAATCCAATTATTTATTATTTTAATATTTTATTGTTTTTCAGATGCAAGGTTTCGTGATGAGTTCAGTAGGTTCATGGTCCTGGAGTGATGAACAAGTGCATTTACCAAAGAGAAAATCAAAGATAAGAGTCAGAAGTCAAATTGCCAGAAAGTAATCAGTAGATTTGATAAATGTATTTCTATTTTTTCCAGAAAAGATACACATAATACAGAGATATGCTAATATTGTACGAAATAGAAGTATATTAGTTTGGTACAATTATGGGAAAATACAATACTAACCTATTGAGTTTATGGTAACAGATGATGAGTATAATGCCGGTGGCTATAGAACAAGTGTACCTCACATAGAGTTTAAATAGAGTAAGAGAAATAAAGAAAAGATCGTTAAGAGCAGGGTATGAATAAAACAATTATAGAACTGTATGAGTGACACACTTGAATGAGCACTGCACCCCTAACTTTTATTCAATGTATGTGATTGAGCACACAATACAAAAGTGTCTACCAATTCTTTATTGTGTGAGGATTGAATCATATTACAAATAGTTTAAGAAAATTAAACCTATATATAGATATATTACTGTCTGCATCCTTTTTTCTATTCGGTTAATAATCTTATGAACTCAAACCTCAATAAAAGGTTATTGTGTTCAATTAAAGGCAACTATGATACACTTGATTTTTAAATAATTGAAAATAAAACATTGATTTTATAATATTCATTATCACTTAAGTCGCAAATTTATTTTAACAAATCATCACTATGAAGCTTGCTAAATTATTTGGCATTATCTTTTTTGTGAAAATAGATATCTGCTAAGAAAATGATCTGACTCATTAGTGTCCATCATGGCAGTCTCTCATTTCCAAGTTTAAATTGAATTTACAAAGCAATTTATGTTATTTGAATAATAATTTTTATTCTTAATTGATTCTTTGGAAATAAAGCTGGAGTTGAATCATTCGATTAATTTCCTTTTTAAACGATCAACGATTATTTCTAAAAATTTTATTACGGTTTTGATGTGATTATCTCAGTAGGGTTGAATAATGTCATTGATATCATTCATTTGTGTAAATTCTGTATTCTTCAATTTAGACGATCAGTATAATGTGATTTTTCAAATAAAAGTCTTTATTTATTTGACTGAAAAATGTATTTAATTTTTAGACTTTTTCTTGATAGATTTTATACCGAAGAAGTAAGGAGCTTGGAGATGCTTAGATGAGGTGTAGTTGATGATGATCTATCATAGGTTTTAGAAAGAAACGTTACCGAAATGTCTGAGTTGAAACTATTTGATAAATAAATTATTTACATATATTAATTTTTTCAAATGATTAGCAATTTGTTTAAAAAAATATAAATTAATTATTTTAGTAGATAAAAATATTGCTGTTAATGCAAAATAAATGGTATTTTTTCAGCAAAATATTTGTCGGCAACATCAGATACTGAAATTGATTATTAAAATTGATAGATTATATTAATAAGAGTGTTTTAAACAAATCTCACCTGGAATGAGTGTATTAAAATATTTTAAATAGTTTCATATGTGTGATGGAAAAGAAATATTTAAATTTTCGATTCTTTATCAAGGTTTATTTGAATTTCTGTTCAAAACTCACAGTGATGATGTTCGGTTCAATGTAATCTCAATAATAATATTGGCTGAGAACATTTATAGAGAAAATAAGATATTATTTTTCGGTAGGGTAAAATTGATTTTAGGAATAATCAAATTTTCGAGGTAAAACTGAATTTATTAAGTGACAGTAATTTTTATCGTGGCAAAGGGCTGTTTTATTTTAATCTTGCGAACGTTGTAAGTCAACTCGAACAGTGGAGCCATTGTTATTCATTATTTATCTTTTGTGTATAAGAATCATCGTAACTATAACTAGAATAAAAATTTTTTTTATAGCAATTTTTTTGATACATAACAGTTTAAATGGCATTATATAATTCGATAATTTTTTCTTATAAAATTTATATCTATTCTAATTTTGAGTCTAAATGGAATTATTTTAATTTATGTCAAATAGAATAGTTTATTTTGTTTATAACTCATAATCATAATTGACACCGTTTGCAAAATAATAATTACAATAAAACTATGTTATATGATGCAGTGTTATGTTATAAAAAAGTTTTTAATATATTTTAACTATTATTAATCTATAATTATATATAACTCTTTTAGAATTTAGTTTATTAAAATAATTAAATTTTGTGCCGACTATAAAGACGTAAAATACGATTATTTTTTGTTTGCCGCATTAATGTTTCGTAAAGCTAAAATAATTAGACTCCCAGATTTTGTCATTAAGATAGGAAATGTTCACAGGTTTTCTATTATTTAATTTACCAATATTTTATCCAATAGTATTAAGTTATTATTAAAGGTGATTTTTTTTATAATTATCAATTTTTGAGTAGGTTATCATTTATACAATTCAAATGTTTTGGAGTAAAAATTATTTTAATATGGTTTCCAATTATAAAATCATCTATCATAAGCTTAATAAGTAATAATAAATTTCAATTTTAATCAAGTAATTCTTTGCCACTAAAATATCACTCTTATCTGTTACTTGATGGAATTTAAAAAATTTTTAAATATCATTTTTACTCCAAAATTTTTTAAATATACAGAAAGAATTCAAATACAAAAACTACTCTGAATTTTGTAGTAAATCTGAATCTTTTTTTTTATAATTTAATGAACTGTTCCAGGATTACTCCAAAATGTAGAGAAGTTTTGTTATTGTAATTCTCTTCATGTATTGCCAGAATTTTCAGTAATTTTTAAGGTATTCTTAAAAAAAAACAATACTCTTACATTAGAGAAAACTTTGATAATATTCTATGACATGTATTTTTTAATACTAATTATCCATATTTTTATTCTTGTTGAGATAAATAAGTTTAATTTTACAGAAACTTTCATCCTTTAAAGTAGATTCATAGCTACATTTATCCAATACAATTTCAGGATTATCTAGACTAAAGGAACATAAAAATAATGAACGCATGATAAATGATAGAACAAAGACAATTAGAAATAGAAGCCATAAAAATATTATTCTGAATAATAATAATAATAATTGTGAAATAATATTAGGTAATTCTTACTTTGCATTGTCTGAAATATATATTTTGATTTCTAGCATTTTTTACCAACTGATACAAGAAATCAGGGTGGAGCTTAGATTGTGGAATACTCTTTCAAGAGCAATGTGGGGGATAAATTTTTTTTTTTACGAAATACTCTGTGATATTTGCTATTCATATGAAAAAAATTGATTTTTTGTTTGCTAATAATTGAGTTAAAATCAATATGCTCCAAACTTTTATTTTCTTTTCTATATATAAAAATATATTCAATATATTAATGAAACAAAAACACCAATACGATTTTTGATTGAACATCTGTTCATAGATTTTGACGTCTGATCAAACTACTGATCGTATTTTAGAGGTATGTTTCAAGTCAAGTCTAATTTTTCCTTCTTTTAAAAATTACTAAATATTTAATTGCACTAATGAATATATTAATATAATATGTTTCATGCAAAATGGCTTATAATTCCAAATGTTTAATCAACTTAACGATGAAGATAAATCTAAAAATTATCTTAACAGTGAACAAAAACGTTTATATATTGCAAATGAAATAATTATAATAATAATAATAACTATTATAATGATGATAATAATAATTAATAGTAATAAGTGTATAATTTTTTACATGTAAGAAATATTATCTCGTATTTTACTTATTTAATATATTCCAGCCATCATCATATCAATATAAACGTTGAGATGTGCAAATAACACATAGATTCATAATTAAATATTTATACTAAAACTGAATTTATTTGATGAATTAAAGAAATGTATAGTAATGGGCATTAAACATGTTATTATTTACCATTAAATATTTTCTTAGATTTATTTATAAGAAACACATACAATCATGTTTTTTGATGAAGTGTAATCGCTCAACCAGTTTAGACCAGTATATATATATATATATATTTATTTATTCATATATATTAGTTTTGTTCAACAATTTTCATAAAGAAAAAAAATTATACTATTCATGAAATAATTTTAGTTTATTTTCTTTATGATTTCACTCATACTAATGTCTCATCTTACAATATCCAAATATTATTCTCATAAAGTTTGAAATGATAAGAAAAAAAAATAATATGAGAAATTGGACTATCAAAGAAACACGAGTTTTGGAATAAATTACGTTATCAATATACATTTTGGTGATTTGATCAATAAGATAGATATGTGAATTTCTGATATAAGCAATTTACAATTTTTAAGCTAAAGTATAAACCTGAGTCTAGCCTAAAATTAAAACATTGAAAACACCCAATCACTTGAAAGAGCCGACCACTAGGCATTATATTTTCATTCTTCAAACAAGCTAAAATTCTTGAGCCTTCCGTGGACATTTTATTTTATCTAAAAACTACATACATTAAACTTTTTGTACGTTTCGTAGAAATATAATGGACTACTAGAGCTACTTATTCGAATGTACTTTTTTGTTTTTTTAAATACATAATAAATATAATAAAATCATTATAAATCAATGATAATATTAGTGGTTAAACAAGGGGTGAAAAAGCAGATACTTGACTTCTTATTTCTCGATGATCTGGAGAACTGAGATCAAGAAGACCAGTTATATTCTGATTGGAATGAGCTTGTTTACCAATGAGAGCATCTATACTGAAACTAGTTTTCTTATCAATGCCTCCTGAATTGATGGATATAGCAAGACGATCAGCGATATTGGTGGTCATCGTGGTTGTTGGAAGTGTTGATGAATTAGTTATAAGTTGACGAATCTGTTGATGAGGTGCAGTGAGTGGCACTGGTTTATAAAGTGGTGGTGGTGGTTCCAAAAATGCACCAAGTTTCAAAGCTTCTAGTGTCGTCGGTGGAAAATCGAAAATTGGAAGTCGTGGTGGTGATGTTATGTATGTTGTAGTACTAGAGTTTGGATACGTTAATCCACCAGTATGATTAACTCCTGGACATGTACTACGATCACCACAGATAGCAAATGTTGCCATTATCGTACGATCTCGTAAGACATAATGTGGTGGTGGCCTTTTGTATCTTTTTCTACGTCGAAGGAAACTACCATTATCAAACATATCTTCAGCTAATGGATCAAGTGTCCAGTAGTTTCCTTTTCCTGGATTACCCGGTTCCCGAGGTATTTTTATAAAACAATCATTTAATGATAGATTGTGTCGAATAGAGTTCTGCCAAGCAGGAAACTTTTCATGATAATAAGGAAAACGTGCCATTATAAATTCACATATGCCACTAAGTGTGAGCTTTTTTTGTGGTGATTGAAGAATCGCCATTGTTATCAAAGCGATGTATGAGTAAGGTGGTTTTATTTGTGTTGATGAAATTCTTTCTGATGGAAATGATGATGATTGGCCAGACTTTTGACTTCCTGAAATGACTGAATAATTTTTTTTAACCACTCTGTTGCGATTCTTCGTAGTCCCACCAATATGCGATGGCATATTCATATTTTTATGTAAATGTGGTGATAAGTCTTTTTGATCAAGACTTACTGGATCCACAATCATACTGCTGCTATCGGAATCTTTGTCACTATCAATACATCCATCACAAGAAGTGTTTGATATCATTAAAGGTTCCATTTCCATATTGACAGTTTTTTTTTATTATTTAATATCTATCAAGGATGAATCATGGAATAAAAATATCACCACCTTGCATTTTAAAATCATAAACTAAAATTACATCTTATACACTGCTTTATTTCTATCACATATTATGATATTTTATTTAAAATCATTGATAAGATGTTTTTTGAAATCTTCTAAAATTATACTAGTGTCATTGTTCAATTGAATCACCCAAAATATTATCTTCATCAACTGGAACTTTTGGATTGTAGCTTCTTCTTTTTCCTACAGTTTCGTAATATTTTATTTCAACTTCCAATAATTTATAATCACTTCTGCAAACACACTCTTCAAATTAATGATTTCATTAAATAATATTTCATCTTATCGATCAACTTTTTTCTCTCAACATCATCTAGTCTTCTTTTTCACACTGCCATCACTACAATAGTCATTCTTGAAACAATCCTTGTCAATTATTGAGCACTACAACCTGGCAATCAGTATCATGCAGATTATTGTCATTATTTGATCTTTTTAACACTGATTTGAAAAACTTGATCGGTGAAAGTGGTATTAGTGGTTGATCGTTAATCGGTTGTTTATTTATTCCTGCAGTTGGTTTGAAATTTTATCAAAAAGTATCAATGTATAATCGCGCTATAAGATGTACTCCTAAAGTAACAGCAAGCAACACGTGAGTGAACAAAAAGTCGATTAAAAAAATAAAATCCGGATTTAAGCGATCTTGCTGATGGTAAGCGTGAACTGTACAAGAGATGGCTTGTGAATTGATTTAGGTTTCATCACTAAGGGGCGGTAACCAAGAGGCGGGTATAATCATAGTCCCCACCATTATTACAAGGGCGGTGACTGTGAGTATCCCCCTCCATATTGAAATTTAAGTGATTTATCAACATAAATTGATTTGCTTAGGGCTTTTTTTTTTATTTTTTAATTAACAATAAATTTTTTAATTAAATATAAGTAAATAATGGATTTAAAATAATTTTTGAAATTGGTTTGAATAATGTTTTAAAAATTGTTACTATTAAAAATCAATAAATGGCTTTATTGAAGTGTCCAAATAAAACAGTAGTTGTGCAAATTACTACACGTCACTTATGCTCTTCAACACCACAAAGAACATTTAAATGAAGGTAAAAGCATAATAGTTGGTTTGAAATAAATTGTTGATATGAAATAGAGAAATTGTGTAAAGATATTGTTTGTCTCCTTGAGACATATTCAGTCAACCATTGAGCTTAAATGTCGAAATATTAAAGCTGCTTTGACTTTCAAGCTTCTGTCATAAAACGTCGACTGAAAAAAAAGGACTCGACTATTGGAAAATAGTTGAAGAAAGGATTGTTTTAGTAAAGAGTATTAATTCCTCGAAAATTTCTATAATTAAATCCTTTTTTTAATTTTTTTTTATTTTGAGGGAGTCAATAGAACTATTTTTTTTTGAAGTAAAGATAGAAGAATAGGCGTGAAAATGATAAAAATAAAGCTTCTACTTAGGACCTGGAAACAATAAAGATTTTTTTTTCTAGTTATGAATGCTGAGTAGGATATCATTCTCCCTTTGGACCCACAGGATGATACTGGTGGAAATTTTTATAGATACGAAATAACTCTGGAAATGGAGTAAAGCAAAAAAACATCAACAGTTTGTATGAATTACAGTTTGTTGACTCGTAATGTCTACTTTTTCAATGATCAATTGTTTGAATTACATTCACTGTTTATTCCAATGTAACGAAAAATTATTTATAATTTTTATTTTTAATCGAAACCAAAATTTTATTATCTGTGCTATCTATTTGTATTTACATCACATTATCTTTTAAATCATAAAATTATCATTGAACACCAAATATTATGTGACGATCACAAAGGAAACATTTTTTATCTAGAATAATCCTCATCAAATCCTCTACAAAAGTATTTTCTATACCAAATTGCAAGTTGAACTATCAAATTGCATTGAATTTCCGATTGTGTTGTTAGCTTTAAAGCTATCGGAATCGGATGAATACAGAGTTGATGACATGTACTCAGCGTCAAAATTATTTATAAATAGGTAGCCAACATATACGCATTTAGTTTCAGTAGTTAGTTGTCGATAATGGCTGAAAAATAATACTGGTTTAGAATAAAACCTTATTAAAAGGCAACGAACCCTTTCCAGTCACCTCGAGTAATGATAAGTTTGCTGGCTGCTATGTCACCCAAACCTCAAAGTTTCAAGCAACTTCCTTTTAGAAGATAAAATTTATAACACTCTTTTCATGGATGATAGAAAAAGGTTCTTCAATATTCTATTAAAAAATATAGTTCTAAAATGGATATTTTGGCAACAAAGCCTTCTATTGTATTGAATAAGTTACAGGTAATTTTCATCTTGGTTTTACGATCAAAGACAAATCGTTAGTAGGGTTGTAATTATTTTAATAAAAGCATTCTGTGTTCAAGTAAACACGATATTCATTTCGATTATTGAAGCAGCATTCAATATATCCTCTCAAAATGAGAAACTGAGAATACATAACCGCTTACTCTACTAAATGTCTCTTTACTTGATTATTGCTTCCGGCACAAACCAATAACGTTCATTGATCTCTCTTCTACTTCTCATCTGCTAACCACATTACAGGTCGTTTTGAATTTTTATATGTTGAAATTTTGGCTTAGATTCTCGTAGTCAATACAATGTAATTATTATTTTTTGGCTACTAGTACGTCAATAAACAAAAATCAAAAAGAAAACTTTTTCAATTTCAGCATCAACTAGTGATAGTTAATGTAATGAAGATGCTCATCTCGAATAAATTTTTGAGTTAGAAATGCTTTGTAAATGATGAACGCCAATCAACTCACCTGTTGCTGAAAGTTTCTATACTGATTATTATAAAATGAAAGCTCACTTGTTCGACATAGCTATTAAAAGATGTTGGTGAATGGATGATTTGGAAAAAATTTTAAAGATTGTGGAATAGTTGATATAAATTTTGGAATACAACATTGTCAAAGTAGCAACTACCTTTTTACATGTTTGGATTTAATGAAAAATCTGTACATATGAGTTTGGTTTTTAGAATTTTATTTCAATAATAATTTAGTTTTTATAAATTTTAATACAGATTCATAACGATAGAATCTAAATTACTTAACAAAAATAATGAAATGTTTTATGCAAAGTAAGTACTAATATTGTTGTAGCGTCAATTTATTATTCAAGGTTTAACTTGAATTAATATAAAAATTTATTATTTATTTGTGTGAACAAAAATTTTTTATATGGTACGGGAAACTTTCGCCGGAATTAAAATCCATTCCCCTCTTTAGATGATAATGACAATTAGCTAGATTAATTTATAATATATCATTTCTGCTTGGTATAACTTGGAACAAAATTTCACACAGTTTATAAGAACTTTTTACAAATAAACCTCTTTGGAATTGTTTTTTGGATAAATCAAATAAATTCTTAAAACCAAATATTTGAAGCATAATTACAAGTAATCAACTACGGTAAACTTCATATAAAATTCTAAATATATTTAGGATCAAATCGAAAATAGCACACTTAGATATAATTTGATGAACCATACGAGTATAAAAAAGTAGGAATTTTTTCAGCTCACGTAAGCCTTTAAAATTTTCCAAATTGCAAGCAAACGTTAAAACTATACGTTTTATTGGAGTGTATTTTACATTTTCATTTAAAAAACTTTATAACATTTAAAATGAATAAAAATGAAAATATTTTTATTAATTGAAGAAATCATCATCATCAAATGGATCATTTTCTCTAATAAAAATATTAACAGACTCAGACTTTTTAATACCATGATGTTCTTTAAATTTATTACTATGACACTTTGTTTGTTTTGGATGTTTTAAATGTACCCCAATATTAGCATCAGTTTCTACATCAGGTTTTAATACAAATACATTTTCGTTGATTTTTATGTCTTTATCTACTGCTGATGCTTTTTGCTCATCTGATACTGAATCATCTATTGGTGGTGAATCCTTAATGTTACTTGGGAAACCATCTAAGCGCGGATTCACATTTGACTCTGGTGCATGTGAACTTGGATCTTCACTAGATGCATTAGAATTCTTTTTTAAGTCACTTTTGAAAAAACTAGATTGTCCGTACATTGATAAATCGTAATTCATACACTCATTAATAGATTGTTCATGACTAGACGACTGCATTCGTTTCAAATTATCTGGACTAGGTTTGCAGTTAATTGGCCCAGTTGATGGTTGTTCTTCTGGTTGAAGAAAATCATCTTCGAAAAGTGAATTTTGGGATTTAATAGATGTTTCTGGTTGTTTATATTTAAGCATTCGTTTACGATTGACACTTTCATTTTTTGATTCAACATCAGCAGGCCAATAAAATTTGTCTCCCCAACTATCAAACTCTTGATCACTATCCCAATAACTTTCACGGCTTCTAGATCTATACGGACGATAATGTTCTAAATCATTATCACTACATTCAGACTTTGATACCCCATATTTAACTCTCGATTCTGTACAAATAACATCGATATGCCTATCTTCATTAGCGCTATTAGGTCTTTTCGGCCAATTTCTTTTCCGAAAACTATACTTATGTGAATGATCAACTTGATGGCAATGATCTTTCTCCCAGCTTAGAGAATATTCGCAAGGTAAATGCTCTCTATTGTTTCTATAATAATGAGGATTGTGTTTCCGATACATTACAGGATAATTTGAATCTGGTACACCATGTCGCCCCCAAAACCTACTATCTTCTTCTCGTCGCTTTTTTTCATACTCTCTTCTTGACCATCTATCGTCATCATCGTAACCCATACTTTCTTGACTACTGAATTTTTCTTGATCCCTGTCATCTTCACTCCAAAGTGGCATTCTTCTTTTGCTTCGATCATTTTCATAAAGTGAATGATCTCGCATTCTATATGCATCTCTTTCTCCCAGCCATGGTGATCTTTGACTATTTCTACATTTTCGATGGGCCATACATTCATCTTCTTCATAAGGATTTTTTCGAAGTGTGTAAATTCTATGTTCATCTTCCCATCGTTCATCTTCATGCCACGGCGAGGAATCTAATCTAAATCGATGATTATATTTATCCCAAGGCATTTCATACATTTCTTTATTCATTCTTTCTCTACAATGTCTTTCTGAATCACTCATTCTTGCCATGCTATCATAATAAACCATTTTCCCACAGCTTGATTTCAATCGTGAATGTTTTCCATTATAAAACCGTCCTTCTTTTGGTATGCCATTACTTTCTTCACTTTCCTCTTCATCCTTCCACTCATTGTCACTTTCTCCAGAATGCCTGTTGGTAGATATTTTAAATACTGATTCACTGCTCATTTCTTTTTCCTCCGGTGACCATGGTGATGTTCCTTTTGAAGAACTGTGCTTTTCATATCGATGTTTGTCTGATTGGAAAGCATCAATATCAAACTTAGCCCAATTGTGATTTTTAGATTCTTTAACAACCTTTTTTGGATTTGTAAACGGACAAAAAACATCTTCAAAGCCACATGCACTTGCACTCATATTTTTTGTATTACCTTTGGAACTACTGTTATTCAACATTTTTATTTCTTCAAAAATATTTGTAGATACAGCTTGTGAGTGCATATTTTTTTGATTATTATTTGTAGGACTTGGAGTCATAGATTGTGAAACTGAAAATATTTTCATTAAATCTTGATCAATATTATTTTTTGTAGTTTCACCAAATGATTCAATTGGATCAAATGACTCCTCATTGATTGGCTCCTTTTCAATTGCAATTTCCCTTAGAGCTGCATACTTATCATTTAGTGCAGTAGAGTTTGATCGACTTTCAGTTTTATCACTACTTTCATTTATAACATCTGTGAAGTAGTCAGTTGTATTTGTTTGTACCGTACTATGTTCAGTTATCGCTTTTTCTGGTTTGGACTCAACATCATCTATTTTTTCTGGCGAATAAACACTTTCGAATCTCGTTGGTACTACATTACTTTCGTCTTTTTTAGGAATTATTTCAGAGTTTTTATGCTTTGTGTCATCACTTTTTAAAACATCAGAATGCGATTCATTACAAGTTTGCATTTTAAATTCAATTTTTTTCTCGTTTTCACATTCTATATTTTCTTCTATTTTATCTTTTTCATCATCTTCAATTACTTGTGGTGTGTCTTTCGGAGCTACATTCTGATCAGTATGTTCAATTTCCAATAATTCTCTGAAAACAGCATACTTGTCATAATTTTCATCATCTTGAGGTTTAGGATCAGGTTTCGAACTTTTCGGTTGCATGAATTGGTCACTATCATTCGTCTCCTTTGAATCATCAACTGGAATAATTGATTGTTGGGAATCACGTAATTGTAATTTAGCTATACATTCACTTAGCTGCTGAAGAGTTAAAGTTGTTAAATCTGAAACATTCATATTCAAATACGTTGCTAACTCAGCAAATTTGGATGATGCAGAATTATTGAGAGAATCATTAAAAGATGAATTTTTTTGAATATTATTTGCGGAATTTAATGATTGATGAACCAATGATGTTAATAGGGAAGATGTCACAGTAGTGACGGAACTTTGTTGAACGGAAGAAGGTATTCTATTCATATTGTCTGTCATTTTGAACTCATCAGTATCTTTAGACATTAACGTAGGTTTATGTGTTTTAAAAATAGTAGTTATATCTTGATGATCTTTTATTTCGTCATTTCTAACTGATGATGATAGCATTTCGTCTTTTTTTAATAAATTATTACCAAAATCATGGGCTGGTCGTGAATATAATGTTGTACTTGTACTGCTTGATGATTGCTTTGGAGGAAGAGGCGGAGGATCAATTGTTACATTAGCAGTTGATCGTGGAGGTGGCTCAGGAACGACGTCAAGTTCTGCACTTGAACTTGACAATCGAGAATTAGCATCAGATGAGCAGGAGCGTAATGGTGAAGCTGGGGAATCATTTATTATTGAGTAATCAATAGGGCAAGATTTATCGATTGAATTATTTTTACAATTGGCCGGTATACTCGAATCTATACTTTTCTTTTCGTTAAAAAATTGGTTATTTGAACTTGACAATTTTTCAAAATTTTGAAAATCATCTGTAACACTTTTTTCTAATACTTCTACAAATTTAGTTGGAGTCCATTTCGACATTGAACTATCTTCTGGTGACAAATTAACAGGTTCTAATAGTGAATCTTTTGTAATTTTCTTTTTATCGTCGATTTCTGTTACTTCATTCCTTAAAGATATATTTTTATCCAAAATTTCAAATTTACCAAAATCAGCAAAATTTTCGTTGCTAATAGATTCTTCGAAATTATTTTTATCAGATATACTTTCACCAGATGTACCTATCGAAACATTAAAATGAGTTGGGAAAATATCACTTGAAGTTGTAGTTACAAGATCCTTTAAAACTCGTTTTGGTGGATTTTTTAAATGTTGAAAGAAATCTTTTTTATCAATATAAGGCTTACTCAATCCTGTTCCTAATGGATCTAACTCCGTAAAAACATCAATCTGTGGACTTTTATCCTGAACTCCGGATAAGACAGAATTGTTCTAAAATACAATAGAAAAGTTTTTATTAGAAAACTCCGAGTCACTTGAGTTTAATAAATTAGACTTACGTGATTTTTTTTCTCATCATAAGCAGTATTTGATATATCTTGAATTTCGTTATCGCACAAATTTTTATCCCTATCTTTTTCTAGCCAATGCTCTGAAGATGGTAATGATGTTTGACTCGTTAACAAGGTTGAATTTTTCGGTAAATTTGAATGCATTGATGAGTGTTGACGATCAGAATGTCCGCGTTTTAATGAAGAAGGTGGAGGAGGTAAAATAGGACGTATTGAATCTTGAACCTAAAAAAATATTAAAAATCCCATTATTTTCATTGCAAAAAAATAATTAACATTTTGTTCGTCATTACACTAGTTTTACCTTCATATTTATAAATGAATCGCCAAATGGATCAGATTCAAATGAATCTTCTAAAGAACTTCGTGGATGATCTGGAGTTAATTTATCCATTTGATGAATGCCTTGTTGTATCGAACTTAACTCAATCTGTAGATCTAGGAGATCAGCCATTACTCCATCACTATCATTGGTTGGTTTATCAATCAATTTTCCACTTTCAGCATTCATTAATCTAACTCGATGCATACAGTTTTCAGCACCAGCTGCACCCTGATAGATAAAAAATCATAAAGTATATTTTTTATCTTAAATATTAATTATTAAATTAAATAATACTACCTTAGTATCTGGCGCTGGTTCTACGAAAATACTATTAGTATGGAATTTTGCACTGTGCTGATCAATGTGATGTTTTGCAAGTTCTATTTCCTTCTTTTTCAATTCAAAAACTACTTGAAATAAATCACGCATTGCAATAACAACCTATTAAAAATCAAAGTAAATATTTTATTAATTTATGTTGAATTGAAACTATGTTATCTTATAAATGGTTATTAAAAGTAATATTTTTTCAATAATTATAATAATATTGATTAATCATACAAACCTGATTCGCTGCTTTATCCGTTTTGATGCCAAAAAATCGATGACCTGTATCGGGAGATCCAAATATGTAACCAAAAGCTCGTGAGTCACTCATGTCTTGAGCAATAAAAGAAATTTTATGAACAGGATGATGATAAAGACATTCCTGAAAAAAAAGAAATATTTAACTCAGTATTTAGAACTTGAAATATCAACATTTTATTGATGTACGCAGTGATTGTCGAAAAAAAAGAGTGGGAGAAGGGCCGAGAGAAGGGGCCTTGAGTGCTATCTCTAGTAGAACACAGACAGGTTTGATCAGCCTTACAGCAGACTGCTCCAAAATCTTACCAAGTGCTATTAAGATGATAAGTAGTGGTAATTACTGGTAAAAAAATATACAAAATCACAATTTTAAAATGAAAAAAAAATGAATCAAAGAAATGTGATAAAGATCCAAAACTGAAAAATTTTTAAAAAATATATTTACCCCAGACTTCTCATCTCGTAATCTTAAGCCATCAATGCTGACTTGAACAGCGATTCGTTGTTTATGTTCTCCAGCGGCTCTTATAGCCATTTTTAAGTCGGCTAAAGCCGCTTGACACATTCTATCACCCCGTGCTTCTGATACTTCTAAAATCCCAATAAGTTTCGCTTTGAATGACACACCTTCCCCGAGAAATCGGGTTGGTTCTTTTTTGTCTGTAACAAAGATTTTATTTACTGATGGAAAAATACTATCACAATGAGGTTTTATAAGAGAGAAGACTTTTGCTTTTTTTTTTAACTCTTACCAGGGTAATTGAAAAATCGAACACTTTAAAATAGAATATAACATCAATTAAAAAAAAAACTTGACAATTTTTCAGATACTTTTAAACTTGTTGAACGTAATTGAAATAATTATTGAATTATCGAGATATTGTTTTTTTTTTATTAAAAATACGAAATTAATTTTGAATGAAAGATAATGTAATTAAAAGAGACAAAGTAATACTTACATTTGCATGGGCTATTTTTTTTTCGCAACGTTTGCATTGAAAATCTGTGAATGACTAATAAAGACGATAAAATAATTAAGTTACTTATTATTAAATTTCATTCATTTTAAAGGCTTTTTAGACACATTTTGTGTATGACAATCACTGTTTTTACCATCATATTTGAAATCTTTTTTCATAACAAAATTCACTAATATTTTTGATTATCTAAAGTACATAATACTATTACTCAATATATTGTCACAATTTAAATTTTCATCGTTGCTTGAATTCGTCAAGATAATAGTATAAAATATAAAATAAATATTGTCAATTTAATTAGAAAAAAATAAAAATTATTTAAGTAACAACAGCTGTCCTTAAACTCAGAATATTTTCTTGTAATCTTTTTTCACTTTTCGCTATCTCTTTCACCCTTTTTAATCCATAAATTTCTCTTTCTTTTTTTCGCGTGCGCGCGCACGCAAACTCCCCCGTTCTATTTTACCAAGTCTATCTCCCTTTAACTACCCTTGATTGATCAATAGTTTTACGCCTTATGCCTTTACCGCACAAATGTAACAAGTTATACTGTCACTAGAAAGCGCTCAAGTATTTCAAATTCAAAATATTATTCTTGAAAAAAAAATAAAAATTTTATAAACAATGAAAGAACCAAGTGGAAAGGATCTTAAATAATTTTTCAACGATTACGAATCTGATAATTCAAGTTTAGACATTTATATGTTGACGAAAATAAAAGATTACTATTGTAGAAGAATATTTAAAAATAATTATCATGATTATTTATTTGAAATTTTATTGATTTACGGATATTTCATTAATCCGCACTTTACGAATTTCAAAAAGAGGTCACACCCCCATTTTTACACGCATTGTAGTGTATGCAAATTTACAATAGTCGTGTTCACCACACACTTTTATGGAGCATGCGCACGAGCTCATTTTTGCGTAATATCATATACATTATTTACTAATATACTGTACCAAATTGCGAAAAAAGTTAGTACTGCACATGCGCTCCGTTTCGCATGCTCCATGAAAATGTGTGACGAACACGACTAATAATTGTGGCTAATTTAATAGATGGCGCTTGCAGTCTGTTAAGGGTCATTTACATCAAAAATGGTAAACGCATTATTGTGGATGCACCTTAAAAGTGAGTCAGCTGTGAGGAAGCGGTTTTTCTCTTAGCTTGTGCTTTCGTTCGTCTGGTACACGTGTTTCTTATTTGGATTATGTGTATGAATTTCTGATTCCACAATATTTACAAATAATAACTTTACTGTTGAATTAACAATTAAGCTCATTGGTAGGTAAATAAATTTCAATGTTTTACATTTCAATGATCAATAATGCTATTCTTTAATTTGTAGATTCTGCAAGAGTGTAGTTTATTTTTTTTAAAAAACACATATAACTACACGTCAAAAATAAAAAAGATTTTTTTGGTCAAAAAAGAGTGATGTGCTAATAAATAACAAAATGAAACATAAAGATACAGATAACTTTGAGGATGAATCAAGTGAAGAGGATGAAAGCTCTTTGAAGAGTTTATTAAATACGTTTCAAAAACGTGATGAAGTTCAGTTATCCACTCAACAATCAGCTGTGATATCCGATGATGATGAAGAAGAAGAAGAAGAAGTTGAAGAAAACAACAGTGATATACTAGGTTCAGATTCTGAGACGAAAGATGAAGAAGAAGAAGAAGAAGAGACTGATTTACAAAAAAAAAGTATAGATGACAATATTGAAAATGAGGAGGAAGAAGCTGATGAAGATGAGTCTGTCCTACAAGATCCATTTGTTATTCATTTGCTTTATGACTTAGCAAATGACTTATATCAAAACATATCAAGTGAATCTCCTAAAATTGAAACCCATTCATTGCAATGGCCCACTCTAGGTAATATTAATGTATATATCCCTAAATCTGAACCTCCGAGTACGAGTCCGCCACAGAAAAAGCAAAAAATATTATTATCTGAAGTAAAACAATTTGCACAACCTGGTAACGTTCCAAATAAAATAAATAAAATTAATTGGAATGGATTACATGTTAAATCTCAAATACGAAATAACCTTACTAAAGCAAATTACATTAATATCAAAGATATGCAGAATATCAATGAAAACATTCTAACACCGATTCAGGCAGAATTATTTTCTATTATAAATAATTATCAAGATTTTCTATTTTGTGAAAGAACAATTTCAAACGATAAGGAAATTATGTTTACATACTGTCTTCATGTCATGAATCATCTTTTAAAGACTAGAAGTAAAATTTTACATCACAATAATAAGTTATCTAAAATGAACAACGGAACGATGAGTGAAATACCAGAAGAATATCGTGATCAAGGTTTAGTGAGACCCAAAGTGCTAATAATTGTACCATTTCGTCATTCATGTTTAAAAATAGTTGAGATGCTCATTGCTATACTATTTGGTGATAATAGTGATGGTTCTGTAATGAATAAAAAACGATTTTTAAAAGAATATGGTGGTGAAACAATATTCATGCCAAAGACAAACCCAAAACCTGAAGATTATGAAATAACCTTCTCAGGAAATACCGACGATACATTTAAAATTGGCATTTCAATTACCAAGAAAACACTTAAACTTTATTCAGAATTTTATTCTTCAGATGTAATAATAGCTTCACCCTTGGGATTAAGATTGCTTATTGGAGCTGCTGGAGAAGAAGATCGTGACTACGACTATTTGGCATCGTTAGAGTTATTAATTATAGATCAAGCTGATATACTGTTAATGCAAAATTGGGATCATTTGATACATATTATGAGCCATTTACATCTTCAACCAAGAAAGTTTCATGGCACAGATTTTTCTCGAGTTAGGAGTTGGAGTGTGAATGGATGGTCTAAATATTATCGACAAACATTAATATTTTCTAGTATACATACACCAGAAATACATGCCTTATTTAACAAAAAATGTGCCAACTATGCAGGTAAAATAAAAGTTATGAATAATGTACAAACAGGTTCTATAAGTCAGGTAATAGTTCAATTACCTCAAGTATTTTATAAATTTAATGCAAGTAGTCATACGCAAGCTATAAATACAAGATTTGATTTTTTTATAAAAAAAATATTACCACAATATAAAGATAGTATGATGAGTCATACTCTTGTATATATACCTTCCTATTTTGATTATGTTAAATTAAGAAATTATTTCAAAAAGGAGGAACTAAATTTTGTACAAATTTGTGAATACTCAAAAGACAATAAAATCGCTCGTGCAAGAGATATGTTCTTTCATGGTTCTGCTCATTTTCTCTTGTATTCTGAGCGATTTCACTTCTTTCGTCGAATCCGTATAAAAGGTATTAAACATATAATATTTTATGCACCACCTTTATTTCCAAATTTTTACACTGAGTTATGTAATTTTATGTTTGAATTTGATCCAAATTCATTAGCAAAGTCTAAAAGTAATATGACAATTTCTACTTTATATTGTAAATATGACGCAATGTACTTATCAGCTGTCGTCGGTACTGATCGGTTTACTAAAATGATTGCCTCTGATAAATCCACTCATACAATAATAACAGGAAATTGATATTTTACTATTATTTTTAATAATAGAAATAGTAATATTAAATATATGAGTATTGATCATAAAAATTAGAAAAAATTATAAATAGTGTATCTAATATAAATTATATTAATTTTAGTTAAGATTTTTCTGCTAATTTATATACTTAAAAAATTTATACGTCAATTATTTACAAGTTTTTGTATCTAATTAATTGGTTATTAAATTATATTTTTAGTTAAAGTTTTTCATCTATATTTTTCTCATGTAATTCCAAAATTCTATTTTTTACAGTTGTGACTACAGGATCAATTGTTGATCTATCATCCAAATTTCTTGATTCTGATTTTTCTAAAGTTCCGTCATGCGTTGATGCACAAATAGTTTTCAATTTATCGATCAATTTTGTTTGATTCGTAGATGACTTTTGAGATGATTTTTCTCCATAAGTTTCTGAAATATAAAATGAGAAATAATGTAGATATCATTGATTATTAAACAACAAAAGTTAAAATGTATGTTTAAAATTAATTTTACCATTTAATATTGTAATAGAATCAAGCGTAGTTTGTACTAATGAAATATTGAAAAAGTCGACTTTAGACGAAACGTTAAACCTATGAGCTAATTTCAATGAAAACTGAGTGTGATCCTTAGGATTCCAAATAAATACATAATAAAGTGATAAAATTATTGCTGCTAAACTAACTGATATAACATATGCAATCACTGTCATAACTCGAAAAGCCTTTTTCCGATGTTTTGGCTCATATAGCTTGTCTTTACTCTCTTCTCCAGCAAATTTTATTTCATTCGATGCTTTCATGTGAGATTCTCTCGCACTACGTGTGCCTAAACTTCGAGTAATACTAGCCATCACATTTTGGGCACTCATTTTTCGAGGTAATTGCATTGTTAATTAATTCAAAAAAATAGATTAATTTTTTTTTATAGAGACACAACCCTCAGTTGAATGATTTATTGCTTTTGTCACTTATAATGTTACGTTTTCAAGTAATGATAGTTTATAGAAACATTCCTAACTATATTTCGTCAGCATTCTATCACCAACATTATAGAACTTGACTTTTCTTTACATTTAATCCGTTTGAAATACCAAAATCTACGTTTCTTTATAAAAACAGTCAAGACTATTTCAAGACTTGCGTGTTTAGGATAGTTTAATGTATACAAAATGCTGGAATATATACAGAATCAAGTTTGATTCTGCGCATTTTCTCGCAAGAATTTTTCGCCCAGTCCTGTCGAAGTTAATGCTTTTATTCATTTTTTTTTAAATGTTATTTGCTGAGATATTCACAGAACATTAGCTTTTAATAATTTTTCTTTGTGATTAAACAAATATTATATACAAGTGTTTAGACAAATTATATTATTAATAATTTTATTGAATTATTTTTGTTATTTACTTAGTAAATAATGTAAATAATTTTTATTCACATTTTTTTTTAATCTGTAATCCTCTAAACGATGATTGAAAAGCTCGTTAATTTGATGTGAAACCTTATATTTACACAATCCAATATTGAGTGTTTATTATATAAGAGTAGATAGATATTTCAATGAGTTCAGTAGGGTACATTAACGAGTATATATGGTCTTTTTTAATTTTTAATTAACTAAGAATATAGAATTAAATTAATTTTTACTACTTATATTATCGAATGTATTGTCTTACCTTGGTTGAGAGGTAGGAGCAACTTTGTGATTGGATGATAGCCTAATGGTGGCAGAGATTTGATGTTTATATTATTGTCTCCAACAACATACTCATGAGAAGCTACATTATTACCGGAAGTTTGAGAACTATTATTATTTCTCGAATTTTTTTTAAGCTGAGTAGTCATCAATAAATATTTAGTTGCATTAATGTAGTTTGATGGAGATGATCTGCTTGTGATTTCAAAATTTTTCTTTGTTTTCAAACCTTCAAATTGATTGTTCATAGAGTTATGGATATTTGATCGTTTATCAAAAATATTATTGTGATTTTCATTTTCATTTATCTGCATAGATGAGTTTTCGAATGTCATCGCTTTAACAATGTTTGGATATGAAGACATTAGTTGAGAAATATTAAATTTCCGCTGTTTAGAATTTTCATTCCAAACAGTTTCCTTAAAAATTTGATCTTTATTTCTTTTATCAATGACTTTTTGTTCTTCAAATGGATTTTGTATTAAAAAATCCGCATGAACACCATCCATTACATGTGCTCGATAAATTAATCGTGGATTTGGTGGTTGCCACAAAAATATATAATACGCACTCAATACAATAGCAATAAAGCTGACAGAAAATAAATACGCCATAACAGTAATAATTCTAATTATTTTTTTGGTACCGGGTCTATCTTCATATATATTATTTTCTTTTTGCAAAGCAGTGGTTGGACCACTTTGATTAGTTGAACTACCCAATGGATCATTTTGTGTACCCATAATGAATCTTTATCAAATTTTTTTTAACAATTAACAAAAATAATAAATAAAAAATCTCATGAGTTTTTCTTGTAAAAGTACTCACTAAGACTAAAGGCACGATACTAAAAGTTTCTATTAAGCTCGTTGTTTCCTTTTCCACGTGTTATAATAACGCGCAGGCGTCCAAGTTACATTACGATCATCAGCAACATATTTACGCAATAGGATATTACATCTTTAATTTGAAGATTAATTTAATAAAACTTCTATATCGAATAATGATACTCAATAATTTTTTGACTTATACGATTTCATAAAGATTCAAAGATATTGATGATTTTAAAGGTACAGAAAGTGACCCACTGAAACGATTCCATCAAGATCATATAAGTTTTTTTAAAAGTTTGAGTATACACCAAAATGAGAATGATTCTATTGAAAGAATAAAAATATGATAAGTTTAATAATATTGAGTGGAGTAGAATAGAATGTTGAGCAAAAATAGATTCGTGAAAACTAAAAAATACCTTTGAAGAACACTATATATGTATATATATATATACATATATGTATATCGTGATTAAAACAATCAATTCTTATGCTATGATTATACTTGACACTATTTCCATTATTATATAATATAAAAAAAGTTTTATCACTTCTATAAGTATTATTACAATAGCAAAATATACTTGTTATTTATATCCTTAAAATGGCCAAAAATGTCCAATTATGTATAGAAAAAACAATCTCGACCAAAAGCAAATTACATTGACCTGAAAAGGGTGTCTTGTATACAATTATACATACATATAGACGTATTTTTACACATGATGGAAGAAATATGCTCTTCATTAAAGCATATTAGTTTCTGTAGAATGAAAGAAAATTGGAACGAGAATAAAATTGAGGTAGTTATTACGTAAAACTGGTTATTGCAAGCTTTTAAATTCATATAGGGCATTTGGTGGTATTATGGTACAATAATTTTTGAATAACTAGTTTAGTATAACAGTTGTACAAAAGAAATTTTTGAATAAAAGTAACTTGAAATTTAGAGTAAACTAAAACATATACCTGAACAATAAATAGAACATTCACTTGGTGAACAGGATGTTTGCGATTGACTGATGCAGATAAAAACTAAATAAAGGATTTATTAGAATTATGTCATAGTTATGCAGAAGTGATATAAAATGATCAATACTTTCAGAAAAGCATTGTTTATTCTTTTAATATTACTTATAATTTACTTATTGATATTATGATAAGATTTTAAATTAAAAGATATCAATTTTGTAGTTGGAAATTCACTTTTAGAATTTATGATTAAATTAAAATATCTATTTTTCTACAGTTTTCATTTTTTTGATTTATTGCTAGTATGGTAACATTTTTCATTATTATAATTGGTATACAAATATTCTGTCTTTTTTATTGTTTACCAAAATTAAAAAATGTCCTCTTTTTCCAATTCTTTTTCTAGCAATAAGTAATTATGATAATCACTATACTTCGATTTGTTTTGTATTATCATATTTAATTTTTATCAACATCATCTGTTTGTAATAAAAATGCTAATATTTTTAGCAATTAACAAAAAAGTGCTCATATAGTACATATTATGTACTGTTCTCAAAGAAATGTAATTCAAAATAAAGCTATATTTGCAAAATGTATGTACAATTCATGTATAAAATGTGAAATATAGTATATTCCAAGATCTAAAATATAGTATGTGTAGTTTGTAAACACTTCTCTTACATTTAATTATGAGGACACAACTATTTTAAAATTTTTTCTATTTGTATTTTAGGTTTTAATAGATAATAATTTTGTGATTCAAGATGTTTACAACCTTTTTAATTATGTACTTAAACTAGTTCGGCAACAATAACTTTATGATGTTGGAATTATTTTTAAAACAAATACAGTTCGATCATTTTTATTCAAAGTGTTTTAACAAGTTTTTTATTTATTCTTGATGAAAAAAAAAGCAGCTAATGATTTTTAGCAAGAATCTCATTTTAGAGTGGTGTCGAAATGAGCTTACTCTTAACAACTGATCAAGGATGGTTGATTTCTCATTTGAATTATTTACATGATATTTACAACAATGTTGATAACAATGATCAAACGTTAGAAATGAAATTTGATTATCGTTTTTTTGCTATAAACTCGCCGTTTTTACGTCAAAACCAAGTTTCTAAATTAAATAATAAAACTTCAGCTGAAAATAAAAGAATACGAAAAAAAAAATCTGCTAATATTTCATCAATAAAATTAGATGAAATTCAATTTATTCGATACTCATTAAAAAAAATGATAAGTAAAGCTATAGAACAGAATTTATTTTCCCACGAAGTTATGAATGATTATAACAAAGAAGCTCGTGAAGTTTCTTCAAAGTTTTACGAAACTCCTTATGATTTTTGTCAATTACATGGAAGCAATCAATTAGAAAGAAATTTAATCGCTAAAATAAATTCTGTTGAGTTTTTGTTTCCAAAAAAGTGTTGTTTTTATGCTGATGACATAAAAAATATTCCTAAAAAACTTACTATGACGAATCAATTTAATTTTATACTTATGGATCCACCTTGGTACAATAAATTTGTAAAAAGAAATAAAAAACAAAAATATAACATGATGAACGATGAAATGTTATGTACAATACCAATAAATAAATTGTTAAGTTCAAATGGAATAATAGCATTATGGTGTACAAATGCTGATAGTCATTTAAAATTTATTTTAAACGTTGTTTTTCCACAATGGAAAGTAAAATTCATTGGTAAATGGTTCTGGGTTAAGGTATGTATAAAATAATGTGAAAAAATTGTTTTTTAGATCTTGTATTTATTTTGAATTACTATTTTATGGAACTAATATATTTTAATGATTTTTCCAACTAGGTAACTCAATTAGGAACACCAATTTGTGAATTCAATGATAAACTAGGAAAACAGCCCTACGAATTATTGATTTTTGGCTCTTTGATTGAATCTTGTACAAAAGTACCTGATAAAAAATTACTTGTTAGTGTTCCAAGTGCAATTCATTCTCATAAACCACCTATCATTGGTAAATATTATAATAATTTTGTACTACATTATTGGAATTATATTTAATATAATAATAATAATTATTTATGCATTGCAGAAGTAATGGAACCTTACCTACCTCCAGAACCAAATTGTTTAGAAATTTTTGCTCGATATCTTTTACCAAACTGGACAAGCTGGGGTTTAGAAGTGTTGAAATTGCAGCAAGCATCTTTTTATAATATTGACTCCAATGATTAAATAATGTATTATACCAAATAATATAAATATTTTAATAATTAACATAAAAAAGTTTTTAAATTCATTTCTATAGGGAATTTCTTTGCTGATGCCAAACATGTAGTAGTGATACCAACACTAAATTACCATCTTGCCAAATTAGTTCTTAAAAAGCGGCAGCACTAATGTTTTGATTCGTAAATGGCACCCTGAGAATCCACCGTGGCAGTATTATGGAGTATTATGATTATTGAAAGTGGTATAAGGATTTTTTATGATCATAAATCAAACTGGGATAAATAATAAATAATTTTACGTATTCATGAAAATCTTAATCAATAATCAAATATTTAGATCTTGGATATAATCAAGGTAAAGCGTTTGAATATAATAGTTGATATATTGTGCATAAATAACCTAACGAGTACTCCAAAATATTGGAGTAGAAAACGAGATTTACAAGTTTGTACTTTTTAATAATCATAGTATAGAATTTGACATATGAAATTATATTTCAGTTGCCCACGGCTGAATAGAATTGTGCACGTACAAGTATTGAGAATTATCACTCAAGATGTCAACGTCAGCTATATATATTTTAGATGTAAAAGGGAAAGTGCTTATATCACGGAACTATCGAGGTGACATTGAAACAGGCGTTATTGAAAAATTCATGCCGCTAGTAATGGAACGTGAAGAAGAAGGAAATTTAACACCAATTATACAAACACCTGAATGCACATATGCATACATAAAATATAATAATCTATATGTTGTTTCAACAACAAAAAAGAATGCAAATATATCGCTTGTATTTGTCTTTTTACATAAAGTTGTACAAGTAATGCAAGAATATTTTAAAGAATTGGAAGAGGAAAGTATAAGAGATAATTTTGTCGTTATTTATGAGTTACTAGATGAGTTACTTGATTTCGGTTACCCTCAAACTACGGATAGCAAAATTCTTCAAGAATATATTACCCAAGAAGGTCATAAATTAGAAATTCAACCTCGAATACCTATGGCAGTAACTAACGCTGTTTCATGGAGATCAGAAGGTATTAAATACCGGAAAAATGAAGTTTTTCTGGATGTTATTGAATCTGTTAATTTATTAGCAAATGCTAATGGAAACGTATTGAGCTCTGAAATTGTTGGAGCTATCAAAATGAGAGTATACTTGTCTGGAATGCCAGAGCTACGACTAGGACTTAATGATAAGGTATTATTTGAATCGACTGGTCGAGGAAAATCGAAATCTGTTGAATTGGAAGATGTCAAATTTCACCAATGTGTACGATTGTCACGATTTGAAAATGATCGTACCATTTCCTTTATTCCTCCTGATGGAGAGTTTGAATTAATGTCATATCGCCTTAATACACATGTAAAACCATTGATATGGATTGAATCTGTAATAGAACGACATGTTCATAGTCGTGTTGAATATATGATTAAAGCCAGGTCTCAATTTAAACGTCGATCAACTGCTAACAATGTTGAAATTGTAATTCCAGTACCTAATGATGCGGATTCTCCAAAATTCAAAACAACTATTGGTAGTGTTAAGTATTCCCCGGAACAAAATGCAATAACTTGGTCTATAAAATCTTTTCCCGGTGGAAAAGAATATCTTATGCGTGCACACTTTGGTTTACCTTCAGTTGTTGGAGAAGATGTTGAAGGAAAACCACCAATACAAGTTAAATTTGAAATCCCTTATTTCACGACATCGGGAATACAAGTTCGTTACTTAAAAATTATTGAAAAAAGTGGCTATCAAGCACTTCCATGGGTTCGATACATAACTCAAAATGGTGATTATCAACTCAGAACAAATTGATCAATTTTATAAAAACGTGGATACAGTGATATATATTTTTAACATGTGAAGCATTTGCATAAATTTTGGAAAATAATTTTACGTCAAAAAATCGCCTAATTTGAAATACAATTTTTTATTGTAGGTATTTCAGTATTAATCAAGAAAAAAATCTTAATTTTTTCAAATACATTTTAAAAACTTTACTCATTTTTTAAATAAACTAAGAATATCGATTACAAAAAGAAAATCATCGTCTGTATTATAAATATAAATATGTATTATTGTTGGAATTTTAAACAAATTGATACTGAAAATTTCAATTGATATAAAAGAGATGTAGACTCTATGTAAACTATATCAGTTGAAATTTCCAGTACTAATACGTAAATGGCATTGAACGTGTGAAAATAACAAATACTATCGAATTAAATCTTGTATAATAGTTATGACTATAAATCAACCATCAAGTTTATATTTTCAAAAAATGTAATGTTTCAATTTTCCTAGTGCATTGATCAATGACTTAGTTACTATCGAAATTAAATTAGATCAAATCAATGATTTTCACCAAAAATTAATTCAGTAACTTTTTTACTGTGCCATGGATAATCTTATAATTAATTTTGAAATATGTATCAGAGGTACTCACAGAATAGAGAGCTTTATTTGATAAATCTATTAAAATCTAGGAAATTGACATAGAAGTGAAATTTAACAAAACTCATCATATTCTAAAGATTGTGATTTACTTTTATTATTGGTATAAATATAGTTTAATAACGTATTGGCTTAAAATTTAATTTATATTGTATTCTCATGAAAGAGTTATATAATAAATACCTACATCATCTGTTTCAACAGATAAGAACAATAAAAAGTTTTACAATTAATTAATGTATCTTAGTACTACGTAAATGAACAAACAAATTGAACATATATTTAGTATTACAATTTTCGGTGTTGATTTATGGAAAATAAATTTTTTGTATAAAAAATAATACTCTCGTCAATACAAACTTAATTTCTGAGTAATGGCTGTTGAAATAAAGTTTCAGTAACAAAATAATAACATGATTGTTTTACGGCATAAATGCCCAATTTCAATTGCTTAGCAGTTAATTTTTTAAATAGTTATTCAAATAAATAAGTCAGCACTGCATGTTTTGAACAGAGTCATTTTCTAACTAGTATTGATTCGAATATTTATAAATAAATAATAATCATCTATTTTAAAAATTTAAAAATAATTCATTATCATTTATAGATGATTGCCTAATCATGCAAAGTTAATTACGTTATTATTTCATCGTTAATATTTTCTGTTTATTTATCAAACCGGTGGCTTTTTACATGTGTCACAAGTATGTTAAAGAAATGTGCGGAATTATTCTACCTTGTAATTAGTTAAGGAACATTCAAAATATGTTCCTGCATATGGGACATGTTGATTTCTGACTGGTGCTGAACCATTTATACTAGAATGAACAAATACCAATGAATTAAAAAAAGTCTTAATAGATTTAGTATACGTAAATATTGTTAATAATTTTATATTTTTTATTTTATTTAAAATATACAGTACTTACCAAACAAGGAGCATGGAATTTCTTTCGACATGTATGGCAAGACAATTTAGGAATTTGATATGTATTGATGTGGAATATGCTAAAGCAAATGTAACACTCTTCGACTCCAGCAAATCTTTTATCTAAATTCTTTTTCCACATTTTTAGACCTTCCCAAATGGAACCATTCTGTAACAGAATAATTTTATATTTTTAACTTTATAACTTACTAATTTTATTTCTGTTATTTTCTATAGTAATAAATACCTGATGGGTAAGAAATATAGAAAGTTGCATATGATAATTTTTCCAATTAATAGCATTATTTACACGTCGTCCAGGTTTTACAGAAACAGCTTCTAAAGGATAGCTCATTGGTAATGTTACATTTAATTCAAGTTGTGTATCATCCATTTGATACAGAGCAATCACTTCCCTCGATGCTCGATGGATTTTGATCTGAAATTAAATTATTTTACATAATTTTTCATAGAATAAATTTTATATCAATTACATGCAGGATAAATCGATTATAAATTGATAACATACTTGCATGTTAGCAAAATCTGATAATTTTTTATCTGATAGTTCTTCTTGACATAATATAGGACTGACGTAAACCGTAGTAACTTTCTCTACAAGATTAGATACTTTACTATTAACTGTACTCCACCATTGTCGAGTTAATACAGGTAAATTTCTGAGACAAATAACATATAACCAACAAACAATATGATCTATTTTTTGTGTTGACATATCATCGTGAAAATCTAAAGAAGGTGGCAATTGGAATAATTTTATAAGACGTGCATTTGGAACTTTAATGTTTGATTCTTCAAATAGATTGGTGGGCATCATTTTGAAGATATTATTCATTAGATACCAAAAGTATTCATTTCTGAAAAATTTTTCATAATTAATAAAATTATTTTTTTAATAATCATAATATATTTTACCATCAGTTACTTACTTTAAAATTTCTGCATACTGACAACGAAGATTAGTATTGGCAATTTCGCACATTTTTAAAATATTAACCCATGTTAAAAAATATCCTAATACATAGGTATATGAATCTGTGTAAGGCTGAATAATGAATTTTACAGAATCGCAGAGCTTAAAATTTTCAAGCATAGGGTTAACGACTTCTTGAAATTGTGAAAGAATATTAAAAAAATCATAAATGTGAGATTTCGTGTAGTCAGGTTCTTCTTCTTTAATCAGGATTTTATCTTGTTCAACTAATGCAGGAACGGAAAAATTTAATATATAATAAGCAGATAGCTGATGACAAGTTATTGGTGATAGCATTAATTCTAAAGATAAATTTTTTAATGATTGTGTCTCCACAGATGTTTCAGAACTGCTGTCAAGTGTCAAGAAATAGCTTTCATCAATTAATCGAATAGCATCGCCAAGGTAATGTAACATCAACAATGAAGTTAAATTGTCACACTTTTTATCGTAAATTTTTCCATAATACATCCATATATTTATAATTTCTCGTTTAAGATCGTGGACGAAGACGTTGTTCCATTCATCGATTAATTCAGAAAGGAGTTGATTCGTACTTGTCTTTTTTTTTTCATTCATTACATTTTGAATTGCACAGAAAAGCTGGCATGAAGCTACAGTTAAACATTGTAGTTTGAGGTCTTGACATAAATTTTTATAATTATTAGAAGATCGTAACCACGATGTTATATATATCATAGCTGAATCCCAAACTTTATTGTCTAATTTTGTCGGTACACTTATAATGGATTGTGTAAATAATCTTATAACTTCCAACGTCAAATTTAATTGAGACCATGATATTAATGATAAATCCTTCGTTAGTATAAAGAAATACTCTTCATTTTTGTGTGCCTTTATTAATCTATTTAAAAGTTCAATAGATAAATGGCTTTCTTCATGATTGTTACTATAATTTAGAATATTTCTTGCTGATAATATTGCATTTATATGATCTATAAAATTTAATGATGTTTCTTCTTGCTTTAAATATGCTTCAAGTATTATTTTCTCACTAGATTTGATTTCTAATAAATAAGAACCATTAAAATATTGTAGATATTGTAAAAATATGCTCCCAAATTCACTCCAACAATGATTGAAATTTATATACGTTGTAAAAATATTGTGCCAAGTGTTCGTTGGTATTAAAGTTTGCAATTTAGCGTACTTCTGTTCCAACTGATTATATATTTCACTTATGGAATTATAGCTGTTAGTAAATTTGTAATGTTTACAATATAATTTGCTAAGACTCATAATTAATAATATGTCGTTTAATACTACGAACATATCAGATAAATTATTATGTAAAAATTGTTCTAATTTTTCAGTTGTATCATGATTAATAAGTTTATTTAAAAAATCGTTCAAAAGCGTTACGTTCAATAATGACCATTGATTACAATGGATTATTTTTTTTGATAAAAATTCAACTTTTACGGCTGTAAAAATAATAGAAGGTGGTTCAAATGATAATGATTTAGTTGGATTTATTGTATAATAATTTCCTTTAATAATTTCTGCATTAGAAATAATATTTTGAAATTGGGATATCCACTCTTTTATGGATGAATTTTTAAAATGATTTACTGTACATAACGCATTTATTGCTTCATAATAATTACAACCACTAGAATATTCAATTAAATGCTGTGCAATTTCAGCAGCATCTTCATTAAACTGATCAGCTGAAAACATTGTTTCATAAATTGTTTCCATGCAGCTTTTTTGAATATGGAGTATTTTCTCTTTTGAAAAGTTCTCATGGATAAATTGCAGTTCATCTATCCAACAATTTCGTAAGAAATTCTTCAAATCTTCTGTGTATGCATTGGTAATATTTACTTGAATGAATATTTTTAACATTTCTAGGTTTGCATCAGTTAGTTGTTCGTGATTCCAAGTAATTCTTAATATGTGAACAAAAAATTCAATTATATTCTGTGAAATATCATCAGATGTTTTGAAAGTATCGCAGATTACATTTATTATATCTTGAATGGCTTCTTTACTGATGCAAAAGTCATTATCAATCATCTGGAAGGCTTGTATGAGTACATTTTTAATAGATTTATTTGAACTATAAGAAATAAATTTTCTGACGATTTCATGAAAACATTCTGTTGCTCGGTTTGATTTGAAAAATTTTCTTATGGCGATATTATGTACATTTTTATCCATCAATCCTTGAGTAATTACATCCATTAATACTTGACTATCGTTAAGTTCAGCGAGTGAATTCAGAACTGTACTTTTTTCCTCGTTCGTCATATATTTGATAAGAGAAAAGATAATTTCTATAGATGATGAACTTCCTTTGCTCTTTTCTATTAAATGTATTAATATAATATTATTGTAAAATTCTAATAAATTTTTGTAGTCATACGAGCTAGCAATTTCTTTAAAAAGAGATTCGCTATCGAACCTTGAGATAATAAGAGTCATTATCGAAATATAGATGTTTATAGAATTTTTATAAATTTCATTAAAATATTTTATACATAATTTATTGACGAAACTTTGAAGTTCTTTGTCAAACTGATCATCATCATCATGATAGATTGGTTTTTCTATATGAGTTAATTTTTCTTTAGAATCACTAGTATCTTGAAATTTCACACATGTATTTTTAGATGATAATAACTTTGGTTTTTGCAAAGAAAATAATAATTCAATTGCCATTTCATGAACCTTAGTTGCTGATTCATAAGTATTATCATTTGTATTGATTATTAACTTCTCGAACATTAATTCAAGTTTATCCCAAAATGTTTTGATTAATTCTTCATAGCATTGACCTTTTTCTGATTTACGATTTTTACTCCAATATCGAACAAGACTTGATATCTCATTAAAAATATCTGCTTTTTTTGATGGATATATTTTAATATGTAATTCTATAGTTGGCATTAATTGTTCTTCGACAAGTTGTTTGTTGAAGTCTACATCATTGCAATTCATCATAAGGGCATAGCGTAGACATTCAATAAATGATTTTGCTATTATTAATCTTTCTGAATAACTGTTTTGTACAGCCTTTATATCAAAACTTTGGCGAATATTATTAAATAAGCTAGTGAAAAAATATTTCATGTCGAAATCAAATTTATAAAATTGATAAATTAATGGTAACAGCGCAGGATAAATTGTATTAGCACAACCATGACCACCATTTTTCAATAAATTCCATAATTTAGGTAACATCATTTTTTCAACATTAATGATTTTATGCCAATCATCATACTTATTCAGTATCGTAAAAAGACATTCCCAAACTGCTACAACAACTCCTGGATCATTTTCGTTCATATTGTTAACAACTGTAGTAATGATTTTTTTTTATCAGTCAGTAAATTTGAGGCATTTTCTATTATCAACATTATAATATTGAAAAAAGTTATTTTAATAACTGCAACATTACATTCAGCAAATTTCCAGAAGTTCGGGCTAGTTATGATTTGTTTATTTATTTCAATAGTATTATTTAATTGTTCTGTTGGAATATTTTTCAAGTAAAAACAGTAACCTTGTAAACAACAAATAAGTATTCTTTGCTGTTTCAATTCAAGTAAATTTGATGAACCATTATTTATTTCATTATTTTTCCTTAATGGTAAAGTATGAAGAGTGATTTCATCACGAATATATGATAAGATTTCATTTTGACAATATATTATAGCATCAGTATATTTTGTCCCAGAAAAAGTTTCTTGAAAAGATTTAGTTGCAGCTGATGCTACAGGAGGATAAGTATCGAATTGACTAGTAAACCAGTATGCTGCAAATTGTTTCAAATGAGCAGCTATACCTTTCCCAACTCGTTTAATGAGTGCACCATGAGCTAGCTGCACAGCTTCTCGTATTTTATGCTCGAAATCTACCGATAGCATACAATAAATTTTGGGCCAGAATGGAATAATAGTTTCAACTGATGAAAGTGGAGAATCATTGCACAATGTAATAAATTCTTGCAAAGCTTTAAATTTTGTTGTTGTATCTTTCTTGTTAAGTTTCTTAAAAACTAATAGAAAAGAAGGATCAATTTCATTGATTGTTGTTTCATTGAAAGATTTTGTTAGTAAAACAGGCAAAATAGAGGTACAACTGCCATCTTTCTCTCCAAGAGTTCCCACAAAGTTAGGTGATGCTTTATATAATAATTCAGCACTACGGTTACTTTTAGAAGGCTGTAAAAAAAATAAATATGTTAAGGATAATGAATTTTCGGAGTACATTGCTAGATATAATTTTTAAATACGTAATCTTAACCTCACTATTTCATTTGAAACTTAGACTTTCATTTATAAAAAATAAACAAAATTAAAAGAATAAAAAACCTTGTTCAATTTCTTTATTTTATAAATGTTTTGATAATATTATAAAACAATATCTTAATTAATTTATAATCATTTAAATATAGAAGATTATCAATATAATTCGATATTATTTTTGAGCATACGGTCTACATATGTTATTTTTCATAGCTTAATATATAATTTCACGTAAATACTATAATTTTTTATCAAATTAATATTTAATAACTTACTTTTACATTATTTTTAGTACGCTGGCCTGTATTTTTACCCATGATTTCAAAAAATATTATCGAATTATCGAAAAATAACACAAAAATATTACACTCTTACTACAACGGAATTGTTTTTCTATAACATTCTATAGTCCCCGTCAATGAAGATGTAACACTTGCATATTTAAAAATAAATTATTATAGTTTCTAACTAGACTTATAAAAATTCCAATAATATATCAAATAACTTGTTATATTCAACTTTAGAATTTTATTATTGTTTGCTATGAATCCAATTATTTTCTATATTTTTTCGCACTGAGATAACCTATTCAATTGATTTTTTCAAATATGCGCGCAAAAAAATAGTTCATAATTACGTCACAAGGATTTTTATGAAGACAATTCATTTATCCAATTGCAAAATTCATTTAAAAGAATTTTGCAATCGCTAATATATTAAAAAAACTAAACGAGTTCTGATTGGATAATGCACTTTGACTCAACAGAAATAAAAATACATATCCTATAGAATTCCACGTCATTTGTGTTATGGTGAGAGGACGCTTTTACAACTGATGCTGCTATATTGAGTGTTTAATATTCAATTGCTCTGTATTTCACATCGGTATAGTCGGACTGAGAAGAGAGTTCCTCAGATAATCTTCATGTGTTCTTGTACGCTTGCGCAGTAGTAAAAAACATGGTAGAAGGGGTAGAAAATGGAAGTCAGTGGTGGGGAGCCCGAAAGCATTGAAGCAACTGAGGAACTCTCTTTTCAGTCCGACTATACTGGCGTCATTTCCGTCTGAGACTTGGGCAGTGTCAATTGTGTGTCTGTAGATATTTTGTCTGTACATTCTCTTCCGGTTATAGTACCAAGCGTTGTAAATTTATTTATATTTAACAAAATTTTTATCTTATTTCATCTTTCAAAATGAAGATTTACAAGGATGTTATTACTGGTAAGTAATGTACCTAAGTTTTTTTACATATTTTATATTTTTAATCTTCGAAAAATGCATAGTTTTCTGGAGTCAATTTCAACTGGTTGTTGACCGTATTTTACGGAAGACGTAACCAGATTGTCGATTTCAATTAAATATATCAATTATTCAATAAAAAATGCTACTTTTTATTATAAGTCAATTCCAATATTATTTATTTTTACAACTTTCTATAATTTTCTCTAATTTATTTCATTTCAATAAAAGGTGATGAGATGTTTTCGGACACATACAAGATGAAGCTGGTTGATGATGTGATTTACGAGGTCTATGGAAGGGTAATGGCTTAATTTATAAATCTATCATTATTTTTGAATTATAATTTTGTTTTCTAATCGCATTTTCTTTTTTTCAGGTAGTGACACGGTCAAATAACGATTTTAAAATTGATGGATTCAACCCATCAGCTGAAGAAGCTGATGAGGGAATTGATAAGACTGTAGAAAGCGGAGTTGATGTAGTTCTTAACCATCGATTAGTCGAAACCTTTTGTTTTGGTGACAAAAAATCATACACCCTTTACCTTAAAGATTATATGAAGAAGTAAGTTTACTTTTTTTTTTTATTAAATAATTTAAAACATCAACTATAATAAATTTTTTTATAGACTTGTAGCAAGATTAGAAGAAAAAGCACCGGATCAAGTTGAAATATTTAAAACAAATATGAATAAGGTCATGAAAGACATATTGTCACGGTTTAACGATCTACAATTCTTTACTGGTGAATCAATGGATTGTGATGGTCAAGTAGCCATGATGGAGTATCGTGAGATTGATGGTAATAGTACACCTGTGCTTATGTTTTTTAAACATGGCCTCGAAGAAGAGAAATTTTAAATAAATATTAGATGATTATCTTTTGAAAATTAATCTAAGTTGTTTTTTTATTACCCATCTTAGAGTATTCATCCTATACATAAAATTAATCATGGCTTAAGTGCATTACCAACTTTAGCCATTGCACACTTATGTTAAAGAAAATTGATGAGGAGATTCTCATTACAATGGCTTAGTTGTAATGACTACCAAATCGCACAGTTACATCAATTAATATAATATATAGCATAAATTATTTCTTATATTTGTAACGATTACAGACTAAATGAGACAACTGCAAATGTGCTGATGAGTTAAATGGATTTACTTAGAAATAAAATGCCATTGAGTCATGTTTTTGTCCCTTTTAACTATTTTCTGTTGGAAATTACGAATGGTTTATTAATTAATGGATTACATGATACTCACACTAAGTAAGATCATTATAGCGTGTTAATACTCTATTCTTTGTTTATTAAATGCTATTTTAAAATTGGAAATTGAAAAATTTGTATTCTTTTATATGTAAATTAATTCTTATTTCAAATTAATACTGATCAAATATAAAACAGACAATAAACAGAAATCTCATAAACAATTTATATTTTAGACATTAAAACGTTTGCCTATTATTATTTTTTTATCTTGAAAATGAATTATTTCATTAGAATGGAAAAAAGATTTAATTATTTATGCAGATAAAGAAATAAACTCTGGACAGTAGAAGAATGATTTCCTATATTGGAAATGGATTCATAACCTCCGACAGTTAACGATTGTCAGGCTTTTAAATGATAAATTAATTACGACAATAACATGAATTTAAAAATCTAGGAATACAGCATGTTTCATAAATACTGTTGAATTTTTTGAAAGTTATACAAGTTATTTCCCTATATCCTTCTATACCTAACTAAAATAACATTTAGAGACAAGATTACGAGGGTTCCCTCCATAAGGATAATTGTTGAATGGAAAGTGTCAACTGACCTTGAAATGACCCTTGTAAGAACAAAGTAAATAAAGATCTCAATGTATTTTAATTCCTCTGGACTCTTTCAAAGTCAAATGATTTCCGTGACAGAAATTATCCTAATGGAGTGGACCCTCTCCGTCTTTTCTTTGTTAAGACAAGGGTAGCAATAAATCTGGGAAAACCTTTCAGTGGTTCATGTGACTCAGGTCAGAAAAAACAAATGTGTATAGATTCTATACTATAGAAGTTCAATGCTGTGTTTTGTTTCAGGATGACCCCAACTGTGCTAAATTCCTACCTGACTATTTAAGGATACATATTAAATTTTTCCCCCACATCAGCCAATTTGAAATAAATTTCTATTTACGTTTCACTTCTCTTATTCATCACTGATGAATGTTGATTAGAGTTATCTGCCTTTAAGTTTATTGAAATAAAATTTAAGTTATTTTTTTTTCAATATTTGTGAGAGTAATTGAAATCTTAATATCTTACACAAATTAATATTCAGAATACAATTGAATGTTCAAGTACGCTAACAGGTTTTAAAATAGATTTGGCACGTTATGTTAGATTAAAAGCTGGAAAAGAATAAATTTGAAACCATACTTTATCTACAAATACGATTCCTGGAGTTCTTGAATTATAAATTTTTCATATTTACTAGATGATTTTCTTTAAATTCATGATATTCAATATAATTACGATCTAAAAATAGGATAATATCTGAGGAGACATCAGCATTACAAACTTTCCTGCTAGTTTCATGAATTACCAAAATTCAAGACTCGTAAAAAGAACTAATAAATAATTTTCTGTTTTATCAAAATATATTTTTCATAGTTGTATGGTTAGTCTATACATTCTTAATATTTTCATAAATAAGCATGTTGATTGTTTAGTAAGTTTTTATTCTTGGAATCGACTCTTACCACGCCTTTAATAAAATACTATCTTGTAAATTAATACTGTACTGTTAGTTTACATCCAAATAAGACTAAAAACTTGAAATTAAATAGGAGAAATATAGAAATTTTATTTGAATTGAGGTAATTTTGGTTAAAAATTTTTCCTTATATATAGTGTTTTGATTTTTTTAATTTACACGTTTCTTTTCTTATTATACTATAATAAAATACATCAAATTGTATTATAAAGTAAATTATTTTTATGATAATTATCAGAAGTAAATATTTAATTTCAATAACATATTTTTTTAAAAATTTACATAAAAAATTAAATTTATCGATAATGGTAAGAAATAGTTTACCATGATAACCACTCAATAATAAAAATAGTAGTAATGAAATATTAACAATTACAATTTAGCAATTATTTTTAAAACAAATGTTTTCTTTTCGACAGTAAGTATTTTATTTTTTACTGCCACAGCTCAAATTTCTGATTTGAAGTCAGTGATAGCTTTGAAGTAACGTTTTTTTTTCTTAGCAATAAAGTGCAGAAATGTAATTTTAATACATATTGAAAAATAGAAAACTTTTTTGTTTTTATCTGTAATGCCCATAAATAAACTCTATACATTTTTTATCTTAAAATCATATGAAATAACATTAAATAAAATAGTTATGTAGAATAAAAATTACAATGTTTACATTGTAAATGTATATCTGTTCATCATTAACTTTCAATTAGTTTACTCTTATATTATTTATTCTAAATAATATAATATAATGATTTTTATTTCATGTTTTATGAACAATACATAAAATTCACACTTCTTCACAAGTTCTTTCAATTTATATGTATCTGTATATATAACATTGTCTCCGTATAATGTAAGATTATCAATAGCATTGAATAAAATCGATTATTTTTAATATAAAACGATCAATAACATAATAGAGACTACAAATTTTTAATCATAGATAGTTTGGACAAAAAACTTCTTTTTTTCATAGTTTTAGCCAGAATTTAAATTTTAATACTTATAATTCTTTATCAATAATTATCTCTTAAAATTTCTTCCTTCTCAACTGTTTTAATGTTTGAGCCAATTTCGATTATTATTCCAAAATATTCTCATTTTCTCATACTAGCTTTTTTTAATCCATAGATTCAATAGTTATTTTACAATTTCATAATTTGGTTGAAGTTCTTACCTTATTTTTTATTCTTCCACACCTCTTGACAATTATATATAGTAAGATATTTAATATTATCTTCTATCTAAATATGATAATTTATTTTGAGATCGAACAAATAGTATTCTTTTGAGACAAATTTTTTTTTGAGTTCAACAATGTTATTCTAAATGTGAGTTCGACTGGAATGTAACTATTCTACGTTAGATTACTTATATTTCTTAAACAATTATTTACATTTTATTATTATTTTGCTATGATTTTGTAAATGAGAACGTTTATTGGCAACTGTTATCATAACTTCCATGTTTCTCATACCTAAATTGATACAATCAAATGATATAATCTGTGTATCTACTGTTTTTTAAAAAAATTGTGAAGATATTGCAGGCGTGGAGGTAAAATAATTTTTTCATGTGGTTTGAGTACACCTGAAATATTTCTCGAAACCTATTTCAAACATACTTGCTGTACGCTGTAACAGTTTTGGAAGAAAGAAATGTATATTTTTTATTCTAAATTTATTTCTTAAAAGCGAAAAAAAATCATTGATCTATTCATTTTTTTAAATTTATCCTTTCAATCTATCTAGCTTTCTAAGAATTCAAAAATTCATAAAACAATGTATAAATATTAACAATATAGTGATTTTATAAAATTTAAAATTATAAAATTAAAAACATAATGATGTCAAATTAAAAAGTGCTAATGTTTCATTTATGTCTTTAAAAGACAAAGTCAATCAACAAATAATCAACTAGTAATTTAATTCCTCAATTTTGATATATCTAAACTCGTGAGGAGCATAGTCTCAACACAATTTTTGAATTTAATTGAAGTCAAATTAATAAAAAATAACATAAGCGAAAATTAAAAATTAAAAAAGTGATTTGAATTTAAAATCAATACAAATCGAATGCATAAAGATCTTCCAGCTATCAAACCTTTTTTATATCTAATTACAATGAAATGTTCATTGTTTTTGAATTTAAAAAAAAAAATTATTTAAAATATTAAATTATATAGTTTTCCAATAATAATTAGTACAATACATCTAATTACAAATTCAATTATCTAAAAATAATTAAATCAGCTTGATTTGAATTTTTTTAAAAACAAATAATTATTTCTTACTCTATTAACTTTTTTAAAAGCTCTATCCACACAATTTTTAATACTTATAAGTTCTCAATCATTTACAAAATCCTCTTCGAAATGAATTGATTAAACTTATCTTAACATGCTTTAATGTAATAACTATCTATTTACCAGTGAGTTTGTGTATGCAATATATCTCTCTTCTTTAAGAATCTGATGGAGATTCTAAAACTTCCATGAGGAAAGAATCAATTGGTACATTAGTAATAAGTTTATAGAAAAACAGATAATCTATACATTTGAGACCAATTGATCGCAATGATGGTAAACGAAGCAAAAGCTTAGCAAATCTGCCTGGTTCACGTGGTCTTGTTACTCTTACATAATCTTCTAATGCAGCATATACTTTTTCACGGAGTAGTTCAACTTCTTGAACTGATTTTAACCCACGTACTTCTGAATTGAATAGAATAATAGCACGAAGGCATCCTAATTCTGTTTTATCCATTTTCATGTCTCGCATTTTTGTAACAAGTTCTGATAGAACACGGTCAAAAATTGGCCCTAAACCTGCTTGTTGAGCAGAATTCCGATGCACTGTTGCACCTGTTGCAAGAACAATTCCATCTGTTACATCTATCGAACGATGTGCAAATGCAGCAATTAGTAACTCATTCCATCCAGCCCTGAGTAATAAGACTTGATCTTCCAACGGAAGAGATGTAAAATGTGGGATGTGTTTAGCCCACTCTACTAGTTGGAATAATTGTTTATTGGTTGCATTCAGAAGATTCGAAAGGTTGTTCTAGAAATAATAAGAATATAAATTGTCTTGTTTGTTGGTTCAATTAATCATTAGAATTACCTATATTTACCTCATAGTTTCCTTGATTTTCTAATTTACATTCAACTCTATTTTCTGCCTCCAAAATTCGTTCAACTGGCATATCAGCATGTAAACTACTAGTGCTTTCCACTTCACCTTGATCACGTTCTTTTGTGCGTTGACGTTCTTCTTGTACAGCTTCACGTTTCATTCCCATTGCCAAACATTTTTGATAACGACAATATTGACAACGATTTCGTTGACGTTTGTCAATAATACATGATTTTTCTTCTCGACAAGCGTAAGATAAATCTTTTCTAACAGTGCGTTTAAAGAAACCTTTGCATCCTTCACAGCTGTAAAAATTATATACTATATTTATTAAATTATTAAATAGTATGCCCTGTCTGCTACATATACAATATTTTAAAATAACTGGATGGTCCTATAATAACGGAGACCTTATACGAATAGTTTCATTTTTTATCGGTTTTAAAATCAATATCAGACTATTTTTAATCCAACTTTTATCGTTATTCGATAATTATTCAACTTGCCCGAATAATTCAAGTGATAATATTTGAAGTCATTAAGAATTGATGATTCTAATTTAGTATGAGTTTTTTTTAAAATTAATTTTACCTGTAAACTCCATAGTGTTTCCCACTAGCACGATCACCACAAATCGAGCATAAGTGTTTACTACCAGATAATGGGTGATTCGGTGGATAAGGAGAATTTGATCCAGTTTTAGTTTGTCCACTTGGTGATGTACTCAGTAGGCTGTTGTAATATCCAACAGAAACAGAGCTAAATTATTATAGGATTAATTTTTTTATTATATGTAAACATATTCACGATGAATTTGAATACAGTTGAATGAATATTTTATGTCATTTATATTTTATAAAATATCATTTAGTTGAAAATGTTTAAATTGATCGTGAATACGCTGAGAATTTTTCAGTACAATCATATCTCCACAAGTTAGGACGAAAAAATTAAGAAAAAACAATGATAATATGTATTGATTTAGGGTGACTTATTCACCTTGGACTATTTGGTTCTGAGGGACTGAAGTTTCCAGAATTCAGAAGACTTGCAGTGTCTGGTTTCATATCTAAGGGACTTTGAGGTCCAACAGAAGACATAGACATATTGCTATTCTCCAAGCCTAACCCTGAAAAATAAAAACAATACATGTAAAATGAAAATTATTTTAATAACAATATTATTTTATTATTTATGAGATAGAAAAAAATTCATCATTGAATGTTAAAATACTTTTAAGCCTGCATTTTATCCCCAGTGTTAATCAATGTAATATAATTATTTCGAGTTTGATCAACTGTTGACAGTGGGGTAATCCTCCCAGTCTATTGAGAGGGAGACTGACTGTCGTCAGGATACAGAAAAAGATACTTATCAATTTCAAACACGTTTATACTTTCAAAGTTTGGATAAAAGTATAAAAGTTCCAATAATCGTAAATGAATTTTCCAAGTAATAATACTAAATAAAATGATCAGCGATATTTTATATAACACAATAAAATAGACATTAATTGTATTGTTAAATAGATAACACGATATAATACTACAGTTTACTGTCATTATTTTTTGTATCTCATCTAATATTGTTTCGCTTATAATAAAAATATTGATTATCTTGTAATTTAAAAAAAAAAAATAGAAAAACGATAGCATTATGATTAATGAAAAGAAAAATGGTTTAATACTTTTTATTTATAATATTAATATTATTCAATTATTTTAGAAGAGTGAAAAAATTAAATTTTTGATTCCATTAAGTTTATAAATAAAATGAGGTCATATTATAAAAATAAAAAAAAATTTCATGTTTTAAAGTCATGAAACTGCTGTTTTTTTTTGTATTTTCTAATAAAAATAGAATTTTTCAATAAAAAATGATTTTTGCATTCATTTTATTCAGTGTTAATTACTCTAAGAGCTAATGATAGATTAGATTCACATATTCAAGCTTAAACCCACACGCACATTATGAGCAGAAATGTGAACCGATCAATGAAGAAACCTTGACCCAGGAATTGAAAAGGTTCTGAGACATCACAAAGTATATAACTTATAGAATTTATACTATATGCAGTTGCACTTTATACAAATATAGTATCATACCACGCGTGGAATAACTCGTTACATACCAGGGTCATTTATAGAAGGTCACAAGGTCAAGTATACTACAGTTACCTTAAAATGACTAAATATGATTTATAATTAGAAATTTTGCATTTATATACATTGAAAAATAAAATTAAAATTAATATATCAAACTATTGATTTATTTTTGATTATTAAAAAATTTATTTAATCAATTCTGTACATAGAACAGTAGGTATACATACGATGAAATCATAAACATAAAACAGTGAAATAAAATTAATCTAAAATAATCTTATCTAGTATTGAACATTTATGAATTTAAAAAATCATCAATAATTCAATACAGTAAAAATTTATAATTATTGTTTATATTAATTGAAGCAGAAACTTAAAAAACTAGTATCAATATTAGCATGTAGTTGCAGTTAGATTATATAACTTTTCCTTAAGCACTTATGAATGCAGAAGGTCAGATTATTAGTCATCATATTTCATTTTATTTTTATTTCTGATTTTATAAACAATTTTATACTAATAAATTGTCAAAAATTAATTAATAAAATCATGTTATTATCAAATCGAAACATCATTATATGTTCAAAAATAGTCCTGCCAATTGATATAATTATTAAAATTATATTGTAACTATTATTCACATATTTTTAGTGATAGATGATATGTTATTAATTTTTTAGTTTCAAAATTATTGATATATCAATTACATACTAAATAATTTGAATGGACTAGTAGATGAATAGAATGACCTTGAATATATACAGGTGAGAACGTACTAATGTAAACATATACAGTGTCTATCTAGAGAGGAATATTGAACCAATTTAAATGATTTGAAGCCTATGAATTGATAAATACATTTGTACATGAATTTTTAAAATTTAACAGCATATATTTCATCGAAATATCTTTATTTTTCAAGATGTTAAATATGAATAAATATATAAAAAATAATAATCACGAGTGAATACAAAAAATATCATGAATATTAACGTACATGCATGTACGTATTATAATTGTGATAATATATATATATATATATATATATATATATATATAAATATATAAATAGCACCAATGATAATATACTAATTTCACTACATAGCCTATATCATAAATGATATTATAAACTTTTGTAGCCAACATTACGTACAAGAATTATTGCGTGTCCAGTGCTGAGCCTGAGCACCTTGAATAATAGCTGTCACTGACATCATAGGTTTCTCTTTCTTCATCATTTTGATACTCAACTGATTCTCTTAATGATTCACTTTTTTACATTGCATAAAAAATTTAATAATTGTAAAATTCCACAAAATAATCAAACACAAATAACACCACGTATTTATTATAATATTGATATATTAAACGATCTTGTGTTATTATACCAATATTTATTACAAATAATAATACAAATTATTTATTATTATACTTTGCATTCAAATAATAAAGCATAAGAAAAATTCAAAAAACAATAAGACTAAAATGTTAACATCATAGCGACATGTAAAGTGGATTTATTATAAATATAAAGAATCTCGACACTTGATAAAAATATTATTCATTTATGTCTTATTCAGGATAACAATAAAACCTGCTTTCTGTCTAATTAATCTAGCTAATAAACTTTGTTATTCGATAACTGACATTGATCCTAATTCGTAACTTTAAGTTCAAGGCCAAGAAGTATTTGCAATTAGTAGAACACAATAGCACTTTATCTTTCTGTCAATGGCATCAAATATTGAAATATATTCAGAATTAGGGTATAGACGTCAACAAATATTCAATATTTATCCAAACTTGATATTCCGTCATTTGGAAATAACGAGAAATAGTCTATTCGACCTCGATGCAACAGAGCGCGCGAGACAACTGCGCAAAAGTCGAGACGCATCGTCTGAATTTGGCTGTGAGTAGAACTCTCCACATTCACTTATCTCAATGCTTTTATTTATTCAATCAGGATTTACAGTTTAAATCTATATTCTTCACATATTGCTTCTTTTATAATCAATTATATTTTAAACGTCAAAGTTCTTCCAAGTTAAAAATTTGAATACATAAATTAACTAAGAATTCTACATTTTGACAGGAAAAATATAATTTAAGAGAACGAAAAAATATTGCAGTAAGTAATAAATTTAAATATATGCATCATGCATTGTATAAAAAAGTTATGGTATATTAATAATTGTCAAATCTATATTTGCATAAAATTTTTGCGTATAAAAGAAGAAAATAATAGCGAGATGCATAAAAAAAAATAAAGTGGGATGAGTTATTTTGCGCACGCGTAATATATGTCAAGTTCTAATACAGTACTTTGTTAAAATAAAAAACAAAAAAAAGCTCAGCTTGGTTGATGGCCTTTTAAATCTAACCGCTCGTCAAAGATAATATATCATGGATGGTTATTATATCATTCAAATGATATCGTGTATTTTTTTTTTTTTCAATTTTAATATACATGTTTAATAAAATTGGAATTATTAAAAACTTTGATCTTTACTCCTAAAATTACTGAATAAATTTCAATTCTTTATGATTACATGAGTATTTAAACAATTTAATATTTTTATTTATATAATTTACAGTATTTCGCAAAAAAAATTATTGAAAACATCATGATGCCTTATTTTAAGAAGAATTGATACGAAATTATTTTTCGGTAAATTATTGCTGATGGGCATCCAATAAATTAAACTCAACAATAAATGAATAATGTCGCAAAGGACCAAGTTGATTTTTGATTTATTTTTGAATAGAAGAATGGAGTAAGAAAAAACTGGGTATCATATTTTAGAAGATGAATAATTATAATGACTTTAAAAGTGAACACCTCGAAATGTTTAATTTATATTTAAAATAACAGAAGCATGATAGAAAATAAATAACAATCAAAATTGTTCTACTCAACAGTAATCATTATTCCACTAAAATATGTATGATATAAGATTTGTGAACTTGATTTCGTCCAATACTTTTGTTTTATTTTTATTTTATACACATACATATGTAGAATACTTGAAACTTAAATATGAATGAGTATTTATTTTTTAAAAGTGATGTTCAATCAACCGTTTTTCCATAAATTACCTTATGCTTGTAAAGTTAAGTAAAGGAGAATTTTTCTCAATGAGGAATGATTTCAGTTGTGATTATGAACTAGTTATGTTCTGACTCTGACACTGCCATTGTGTTTTTTTTACATACAATTTATCATAAAAGCAATTTTGGTAGAAATTCGACATCACTTACCTCGATCACTAGTTTCCATGTTACAATTTATTTAAGATAAACTAATAAAAAAGTTTTTCTATTATTTTTTAATCTTTAAATCACCAGTATCTACACTTCAGTTTTGTTTTTGTCGATTTAAAGACACTTTATTATCAATATGGCCGATTATACGTTATTATAATGGTCTTAAAATCAGATAATGTACCATTATATGATATTGAATTAAGTCAATATTAAACACGCTTATTCTGTTTATAAAAAAACGATATTTTTACAATCAGTTATTATAAAGAGAACTATTATAAATTAAAATAAAATTTTGACAATGATATTTCGATATCAACTTCAATAACTTTCTATTCAGGATACTTTTAAAGATGGCAGCACAATAAAGCTTGTTCTATTTTTGAAAGAAAGATGTGTGGCTGGATTTATTATGTCCCAAATTAAGTATATATAAATTTTCTCATACTTTTAAGTATTTCTAAAAATTACATAAATTTTTTATTACAGAATAGTAATTAATTTTTTATTTCTTACGTCATTCATAACAAGAAAACGGTAAAATACGTCAAAGATTCATAAAAAAAAAGCGAAAGAAGACTTGGTGTGCAGAAATATGTTGGTACGCTGTGAGTGTAAACTTTTAGAATCTAGAAATAATCATCGATCGGTATAATTGTAACCTGTTATAAACAATCCATCATAACCTATTCATTGAATTAGTTTAAAATGTAAGCAAATTGTACTTGTGACAAGTGTGAGAATCTGGGAATAATTTTTATTATAATATGAAAGATTTATTACAATTTAATGAATGTGTAATGTAAAAAGTTGAGCCAATATAAATATTACATATTACACGTATATTAAATCGAAGAAATAAAATAAAAATTGTCACAAAATGATGGATGTTGATTTATTGAGACCAGGCACTGTGCCTATATCACCAGATACTATTCTTTGGTTTGAATTTTTGTTAAATCCTTCGTTATTAAAACAACACATTTCGAAACCACTACCAGGTAAATTATCAAAAATAATATACTAGCATGTTACAGAAAAAATTATTTATTTATTCTATTTATTAATTAATAATATTTATTACATTTAAGATCCATCTCCAACAGATTTAATGATCAAATTTATGTCAATAAACGTTGACACTAAAGATAATGATATTAAAACGATTGATCTGGAACAAAATGATACTAAATTCAATAGTATAAAAAAATATTCTTATAAAAGTATTGCATTAAAAATATTATCTCTCAAAATTGGAGCTTTTCTTAAATGGGATTTAGGTATTTTAGAAAAGAAACTACCATTTCCAATGCAACTAACTTTTTTACAAGATCTCTTTTACATTACTGGTGATATGACTATCGAACTACCTGGTCGTCTTGAATTTTTAATCAATTCTCTTTCTGATCAACTACTTTTTGCACTTGTTTTATATCACAGATGGCATATTAGAGCAATCGTAAATAAAGCTTTAAATAATAAACAATCAAAACCACAGTTTATTCATATACCAGGAATTCAAGAGCCAACTTATGTTGCTCCAGCATTAGTGGAAGATATTTTAAGAAAAATCGAAATAAATACAGCAAATAGCATAAAAGTATTAAATGAAATCTTGAAGTTAGATGACATCAAGCCGAAGACTTTGACTTTCGAAACTTTTCAAATTTTAACTGAAGACAGTACTGAGGTGAAACAAAATTGGGATAATATGCAAGATATTCCAATTGAAGAATTTAAATGTCAGATTCATTTTGATTTAGCGACAATTTATTTAGTAAAAGAAGAGTATCAATTAGCAAAGCATCATATCACATTAGCAAAAGAATTATTTACTTTAGTGAAAGCTCAAAACTCCTGTAATTATTGTACTGTACAAGAAGATGTTCTCAATGGCTATTGCCTCGCAACCGGAGTTAATATCGAAGGAGTAGTAATATCACTAACTCAGCAGCTTTATGATTCTATCAAAAACCAATATAGTGTGAGTTAATATCAATTTATTATCGAAAATACTTCTTAAAAGCAATATAATAATAGTTTGAATTTTTTTTAGAATATATTAGAAATACTGAAAGCTGATAATAGAACCCGAGAAATTCCAATGATTTATAGAGATAATTTAGAATTAGATATTCAAGGAGGTTTAGTCAATAGAAAAATTGTGGTCAATCGTGATTTGTTATTAAAAATTCAGTGTTTGAATTTGGTGAGAAAAATAGTAGACAGCATTCTTGTACACGGAAATTATATCACAGAACTAAAAAATGCTGATACCAAAGGTTTAGACATCTTTTTCTGGGTAATAATATTACTTTAAGTGATAAAACGACTATCATGTAATTTATTATACACAGTACTGATTACTATTTTATTTACAGGCTCTTGATGACATTTTAGATTATACGTCGGATAATGATAAGCACCATATTTCTCGATATTTATTATATTTAATAACAATGATGGATAATACTGATTTACCAAGACGTATCCTTAATTGTGAAAAATATTATTCACTCTTTACAACAGATGAACTTGCAGAAATTAAAGAAGAAGCTAAATGTGAAGAAGTTGAATTACCTCCATTATTGTTGAATAACGATTGGGGTATTTCACCAGTGACTTATAGCCGTAAGTTTCTAAAAATATTTTTTTATGTTATTTTGAATATCTGACACTAAAAAGATTTTATTGCAGAAAGTTCCAAATTTCAAGTATTTGAGTTGGAACGTCGTTTAATACTTTCTTATGATTATCATGAAATTCGAGAATTATTAATAATGCTTGATGGAAAAAACCAAATGAATCCTCCTTGGAGTGGTAACAGTCGATGGGAGTTAGCAATTCCTCTTCAAAGCATTGTTTGTTCTCTTCCTTGTAGTTTATTCCAAAGTTATTCTTACATCTTATTAGCAAAAAGCCGTGAATTAATGATGGCCAAGAATTTTAATCAAGCTAAAGCGCTCTTAATTGCTCTGGAGCAAGAACTGCAGGCACAGCAACAATTGCCTGACAATCTTTCTTATAAATTGTCAAAATTAATCAGCTGGGAACTAATATTAGTAGATATTTGGCAGTATTACAATTCTTCAATAAATATTCAAGAATGTTATCTACCAGAATTGATTGAAAAATGTAAACAATGTCTCGGTGCTTTACAAGCAACAGATCAAGTAATTCCAAGACAAGAAGTAATTGAGTCATGTACTACTTTTCTTTTAAATATGGCAGAATGGGATTATTTAACAAGTTTAGATAAACGTTGGAATCATTGTGAATTTGCAGCGTCGATAAGTTCTATTTGTCAAGAAATAGTTAAATTTAAAGGATCAAGAAAGTTCCCTAGAGAAGCTTGGGATATGCTCCTCGTGGCTTTTGGATCAAATAAAGATCAACCACAAAAGCGTAGCAGCAGTAATAGTAACTCCAATGCAACTAGTTCTACAAAAGATGTGATGGCGAATATTGTATCTGGAACACTTTTAAAACTAAGAGAGCCTACTGCTCTGACTGTGGCCATTTCGTTACTTGCAAGACTTCATAATGTCTTGAAGGATGAATCGAGTCTTGAATTGTATACTCAATATTTAGCTCTTCTTCCAGCAAGTATATCGAAGTAATTTAATTCAATTTGATTTTATATACTACTCCTATAAATATATAATTACTCTATTACTACATTATAATTTTTAAATTTACAGTGCTAATTCCTATAATATGAGAGTAATTAGTGAATTTCTCCTGCATTTATTAACGCATGCATTAAAATACCATCCGACAAATGTCTCTTGGTTGAGAGTAATGGGAGATCTTAATTTCAGTAAGTATTTTCGCAATTGTTCTTTAAATAATAATTGTGTTTTTAAATAGATAATTCTTTATTTATCTATTTGTTTTTTATTTTACAGTATTAGGATATTATGAAAGTGCAATCAAGTATTATTTGGAAGCTATTATGGTCTCCAGCGATTTATTCAGTCAACCAGTACCTCGACCTCTTCAATCCGTTTATTGGCGAATGATCAAATGTTGTGCTCATTTGCAATGTTATACTCAAGCAACAGTTTTATGCCAATTTTTAGATGAAATTAATTATACACTTGCCTTCAAAATGGCATCAAGTGAACAAAAAAATTGTACTACTGCAGATGCGATGGATGCTTATTATTATTGTTTATGGGATACAACCATTTTGGAATATCTTATTTATTTACACTCCAAGCGTGGTGAACATCATAGAAAACAATTGGCTATTAAAGTTATTGGTATGCTAGAATTGAATTCTAATAATAATGAAGAAATTCAACGAGAAGCTGCTAATATTCGCAAAGCTAAATTTTTCCGCGCCTTAGCTAAACAATATGTTTATTGAACTTCTTAATCTAAATAATTAATTAATGATTAGATTTACAGAATATTGTATAAAAAAGAATTTCAAATGATTTTATTTTTTATAACATCAACGTAAATAAGAAAGAAAATATTAATAAAAAAGATTAATAGTTGAAGAAAAATTTTGTATTAATAAATTGTACAATAAAAAATTTGACTTAAATGATTTTTATATCTTTTCACGATGTTTTCTCCATTTTTTTCTGTGTCGCATCATTATGTGTGTCACAGTTTTCAACTTTTTACTATCAGCATCAATGCAGAGTCAATAGAGAGAAAATGAAAAGTCTTCTTGGCTGAGACACTACTCTATTCAATGTACCCCCAAGCGGTACGTCGAGATTTTTAAAATTCCTCCAATCACAGGTAACTTTAGTGTTCTCGTGGTTCATAAATGATGTACAGGTGAAAATATTATTTCAATTTTGAATGCTCCGCATTGTATTATACATTTATTTACTTACAGTCTGTTATAATATAAATGTGACTTGAATAAATCTTAAATCAGTGTTAACTTGTGTTCCATCGCAAAAATGATGCGCTTGATGCGCTGTACGTAATGATTGGTAACGGTCATGTCTTTGGAGTATTTCACTTCACTCAGCCATATTGCAAGCAAAATTATTTGTCAACGATTTATGTGTATTTACTATAAATAAAAATCTGTGCATATATTTAATTATCGTTATACCACTAATAATTTATTTAATATATTTATTATATTGGAATGTTGATAAAAAATAAAAGTTAACTGTAATTTTTAAACATAAAAACATGAATCTTAAACAATAAGAAAAAAAGAAAAAAAAGAAGCCGAAAAGGAGAGCCAGAAGAATTCGGAGTACAATAATAAAATAATTTTTGTTTAGTCATTAACATTTTCTTCTTTAGAATAACTAATAGATAATTTAATCAATTAATTAATTGGTAACTGTCTCCTTGATTAAAACTAGTGTACTTGTACAAAAGATAATAAATCGGTACACGTGTCAATTTGAAGAACTTGAAGAACTATAGTTAAGTGATATATTGATATTTTTATCGATCAAAATTTATAAATCGAATACGATTGTATTGATCAAAATAATTAATATTTTGTGTGTTTTTATTCATCAAATGCTTTAACTATATTATTTATTCAATCATGAAAACGATGATTAAACAAATTTGATTTTGAGAATTTTATTTGACAAATTAATAGGACAAAAATATAATATTATACTGAGTTATATCACAAGACATGGATCATTCTTTTCTTACTTAAATAAGCCGCCATGTCCAATAAAAGTAAATCTCATCAACAACAAGATCAACAACAACAGCAGCAGCAACAACAACAACAACAACAGCAGCTTACAAATCCTGTGAATAAACAAATTGTAGGGATTCCACCACAATATCAACCACCTCCTCAACCAACAATTGGAATTCTTAAAAATTCTGCAGCTATTTCTGTTCCTCCTAGTACGATTTTGAATAGTTTTCCTCAAGCGCAACAACAGCCTCTAAGAATCTCGAATTTGAAGGATGTTCAAGGAGCCAAAATAGGATCGAAAATAGATAATCTTGGTTCACAACCAATGGTTGCCGGAGTAGCATCTAAAAACCCACCGCACCTGTATTATACTTCCAAGATTTCTTCAGGTCAATTTTTACCTGGGAGTAGCTACCCGGGTAGTACAAATCAGACCATTCTGAAGCAAAGAATAAGTGACGAAGAATTTATGAGACTCACTCCTATTGAAATGCTAAAGTTCGTGAGAAAAACTGAAGGCGATATAGCTAGAATTGTTGCAGAACAAAATCGACAAATACAAAGTTTGGTAATATTTAGTTTTTTTTTTTTTATTTTCTTTAGTTTGCTTTAATATAAATATATAATTAAATATTTTTTACTTGGTGATTACAGTTAGCAGAATTACGTGCGTTAAAAGAAGCTAATCAAAGACTGAGCGATGATAATCAAGAATTACGAGACCTTTGTTGCTTTCTCGATGACGATCGACAAAAAGGTAGAAAATTAGCTCGTGAATGGCAACGATTCGGTCGTTATACTGCCAGTGTTATGAGACAAGAAGTTTCAGCATATCAAAACAAATTAAGGCAATTAGATAATAAACAACAAGAGTTAATTAAAGACAATTTAGAACTTAAAGAGCTTTGTTTGTATCTTGATGAGGAGAGGGGTGGAGTTCAGAGAGATGATGGAGATGGTTCGAGTTCTAGTACAAATGCAGAAGAAACTATGACTCCTAGAGTGAGACCAAATTCCATTTTTAATGGTAATGAATTCAGAAATTTTTTTTCTATTTATTTAGTGCTAAAAAATAATTTAAATAAAATATATATAATTATCGATTTAATTAATAGATCAAACAATGCAATACGTAAGGAGCCTTGAGCAACGTGTAAAACAACTCGAGGAAGATAAATGTATGCTTCAAGCAAGAGCTAGATCTTGGGAAGCTGATTCTCAAAGAATTTGGGATAATATTGGAAATACAAATGAAAGCGCTCATAATTTTGGAAGTCGTCCTGAAGCTGTTGTTCAAGCTCTTCAAGTTCTAAAAGTTCGTGAACAGCTGGAAAGAGAAGCTGCTCATGACGGTGAAAAGGCTTTGGTTCGAGAAATGTGTAATGTAAGTTAGAAAACAATTGTTTACCAAATGCATATTTATATAATTTTTTTTTCAATAAATCTAATTAATGAAAATATTTCTTCAGGTTGTTTGGCGGAAATTAGAAGAAGGTCCTCATATAAGACGTTAAAGATGTATCTTAATGGAAAGCTGAAAGTTTATTTATACTATTATCTAAGATAAAATTTAATTATTATGAATAAAATTATGAAATATACTTTATATATTTTATTTTTTTTTATTATTTATTGTATATGTTCATAACTACATATAGATAAACCAACAAATGTATTCGTTACTTTAGTGGTATTTCATCTATTAATTCAATAGAGTTTGTCATTTGTATGATGAAATGTACATCAGAATCAACTTTATAAAGAAAAACTATTATAACAATAAAAGCAGTTTTCATTTGTTAAATACTATCAATGATAATCACCTTTTTTTACATTCTACCAATACCTGTGTGGATAAATCATTTTTACAACTATTGATTTGGTTGTACAACTATTTTAATATATCAGTATAATGTTTTCCAATGGTCATCAATATTAATTTAATTCATTGTTAAAATTGCAGAATAAATCTCATGAGTAAAATGAGATATTTCTGTTGTATTTATACTCGAAGAATAAAATTTCTTTAGTTCATAAAATCACATTATTTCAATTAAATAAATAATTGTAAAAACTAAATTTTTAGAATCTTTGTTCAAATAAATAATAATAAATAACTAATTATACTTAAAAACGTCAATAAAATTTCAATAAATTTAAAATTAATTAAAAGTGTGTTTGCATCTGTTTATATACCAGTATATTTTAAATACTGGCCTTTAAATTGGGACAATTATACCACCCTTTCTTTAAACAGGGTGAGCACTGACTTTTAAGGTCAGAGCCAACAAAATTGAATTCCAATGAGTTATTTCCATTCACTATTACAGTGCATTTAAGTTCTTCTGAATTCCAATTCTTCTTTCTTTTATAAATTTAAAGGCTGTTTATCTGCGCATAAAAACAGGAATTTATGACAATATTCATATCGTCATAAGCAACAGAAAAATAACAGCCTGGTTAACTTCAGCTCTAGTTGTTTTCACTGATTACCAAGACAAAACGAGATTCATATCTCGATAAAATTGAATAAAATACTACGATAAACGTAGCAAAAATTTAATCACTTCAACGTACGTCTCGAATGCGTACAATTTGTTGACTAAGCTCAATATTATGGTCTGTAATATCAACAAATTTTACAGATTTTGATTTTGTAAAGTTATCCAAATTTTCTGAACGACTTTTAGTTTGCAAGTATTCAGAAATAATAAAATTATTGTCCGTATTTGTTGATGTAAGATTTTGTGACGAACGATTTCGAGGACGAGGTATCTTGTCAGCAGGTTTCATTAATGTTGAATGTTTTTTACGTTGATGTTGTAAAAGTTTTGCCTGAAAAGTTATTCTCATAAATATACATCGAAAAAATTTTAATTTAAAGTAAATAATCAACCGTCATGGAGTACTTACCTTACTAGCATACTGTTTATGACACCATTGACAATTTTGTGGAATTGTAGTAACACTTCCAACTGTTTGACTAAACGTAGAATTTATTGATCCTTGTGAATCTACTTCTCGTTGACGCAAATTACTCGGAGGTAAAGCAGCTCCTGGATGATTCTTCACTATGTGAGCTTTTCTTTTACTACTGCTTTTATAAACTTTATCACAATACTGGCAATAATAATCACGAGTTTGTCTTAAAATTGGTAAATTTAATTCTGGTACTGAATCTGGTGAAATATCTGGGTGTCTTTTAGCCAAATGATTAACTAACATTCCTCGTCGTTTGAAACCCACTAGACATTGATGACATTTGTACACAAATCTATTATAATCAGTCGGATTGACTTTTGGAATAAATTTTTTTATTTGTCCATTATTTTGTATAATTTGTTCCCGTTTTATTTTTTGTGAATTATGCATTCTTGTCATATGTTCTTTTAATTTATCTTTTCTCTTAAATTGTTTTTCACAATTTGCGCAGTGAAATTCACGATGATCGGAATGACGAAGTAAATGCATGCGTAATTTGTCAACTGTTGGAAAGCGTTTCGTACAAAATTGACATTTATGTTTCCTCTCATAATGATGTGCTTTAATATGTTTTCTTATTACTGAATATTTGGTAAATGTTCGCTTGCAATCAGGACAAGTAAATGTATTATCTTCATTTTTATGAGTTTCAATGTGTTCTTTCAATAATAAAACTTGACAAAATAATTGCCGACACATTGGACACTCGAAAATCTGTTTATCTTGTCGATGAGTTTTTAAGTGACAAGAGAGAGCAGAATTGTTCATAAATCTTTTAAAACAAATGTTACAAGATAATGGTTTTTGATCATCAGCACCATGAACTAAATAGTGTTGTTGAAGACGTACTTTTGTCGCAAATCGTTTATAACACATCAAACATTTGTATGAAGATCCAGAACTATTCATTTTAGAACTATCGAATTTAATTATTTTTAATTTTCCATGCTTTGAGACGTGATTTATTAAATCGTATTGTGTATTGAACTCTATACTACATTGTGGACATGCACATGATTTTTCTTTGTCAATATTAATTTTATTATCTTTTTCATGCACTAATTTGTGTATATTTAATAAAGCTGCCTTTCCAAATATCAAGTTACAAGAAATACATTTCCATTCATCAGTGTTTTCTCGGCTATTTTCTTTTTCTCTAGTTTCATCACTATGAAATATTTTCATATGCCTGTTACGATTGTAAAGATGTAAAAATTTTTCATCGCATTTTTGACACTCATATCGAGAAGATTTGGAATTTGGATGCATCAGAATGTGTCGTCGTAAACTATAGCTTCGAGGAAATATTTTTGGACAATGGGGACAAGCATAAAGCAATGTTTGATCATCAACAACCTTCAATAATTTATCTGTTTCTAATGTTGAATATTTTTTATCTAGTTTTTTTTCATTTTTGTCAGTAAAATTATCATTATGATTATTATTAGCATAATCATCAAGTTTTTGCGGTGTTTCAAATATATTGTCACAGTCAGAATAAGATAAAACTACGTTTTCACTAGATTGTTTTTTTTCTTTAACTACATCTGCTTGAAAAACAGTTAAATTACGACGAATAGCGTATTGAAGACTTGGTCCAGCTTTTAATTCTTCTTTTGGTAAAATTTCCCGAGTTGTTAAAAATACAATTCCATCATTTTGTTGACAAATTACTAAATTTTGCTCTTCATAATTCAAAGCTGGTCGAACAAACCGCATCCAATTTGAAGTATTTTCATTAGAAATATCAACTCTAAGTAACTTCCCATCATCAGTTTCATAAATAAGAGGCAATTCATTCTCCAATATTCCGGAGTTATAATCACATAAAATACCTTCAATTGGTCCGAATTGAGTTCTTCGTTTAATACTTCGTTTTGCAAAAACACCGTACAATGCTGTAGTACCATTATTAATTGTATTAATTGCTGATAATTTATTGATAGCAAGATATAATACTGGTAATGTTGCTCTAGCACGTGATGGTACTGGTTCATCAGCGATTGTTTGAACATTTTCACATGTACATCCATCCGATTTTATACCTGTTCCGTCACATTCTTCACAGCCTTAAACAACCGATACTATTTTGGTTCAAAGGATATGAAATAATGAAATTTGTCATTTTAAATACTTACATGCATTAATATCTTCATTTAGCTTTTTCGTTTGCTTTTGATACTTTTGAACATTTGTTATATCATCATTTACCACACACATTTTTTCTTGATTCTCATTTAGAATATTATCTGTTCTCATCATAGTTTCTTGAGATAAGTCAATGGAATTTGTTATATTAATAGATGCTTGTTCACTTGAATCATTCACTGGATCTCCAATTGTTTCTGTGTTTCGATTTCTCAATGAATTAACGACATTCAACTGATCATCATGCATTACTAAGAAATCTCGTGTTAATGAAAATTCTCCTCCAGAAATACCAGTAAGAGTAAGTGGGCCTGTTGATGAATCTAAATCATTGTTGGTGCCTAAAGTTGTAATATTCATGTTAGTTATTAGATATTAGATGTAAGAGATATTTTTCTCGTATATATTAGTAAAAAATACCTTGCATTAATATCAGTTCACTGGAAACATTAGTAACCAGTCCTTCTTCATTAGAAGTGTTGACAAAATCTATCGTATTATCGGGTTGTGGTATAACATTGTGTATGATGTTATTTGAATTAGGAATATAACTGATATTTGCCTTCGTGTTATTATCGGGAGGGATAATTAAAGGAGATGGAGGAAGAACAACCACTGAATTTTGAAAACTTGACAGTTGAACAGGTGTAGGAGAATATCTTGCCGTTGAACTCATATTGGGATCCAAAGGACTGACTCTGTGTTCAAAATCAGAGAGTGGAGAGGAAGCCCTGGGTGAAAAAGACACTTGTTCATATGGCGAAAAAACTTTGGAGAAATCTTTACATTGATTATCATCCACATATTCAACCTAAAATCAATAAAAAGAATAGCATTGTATTTTTCTTATAAATTCCATGAAATGATCATTGTAATAAAATGTTAAAAGTTTAGAAAAATAATCAACATACTGTCAAAAATAATAAACGATTGTTATTTTTAACAATACGTTCCTCACTCCAATTTTCCATTGTTTCAGATGATTTATTAATTGTTGAAATAATATCGATTGGGTCTTCAGGGGCCCCCACTCTTTGAGGGGCCCCTAAATTCATTTTTATAGGTTATTTCTTGAATAATACCACTCACTATAGTGATGAACAATCTTCACTGATGTGTATATCTGTAGGAAAATTTAATTAACTTGATAACATAGCACCAATTAAATAAAAAATAATTGAAATAATTACATTTTCACGAATAACAGTAAATGCTAAAAAAATCTATTTCCGAAATATGTGAAACTTTCACTCAACTTATTCTTGTAAATTTTATGTATTATGAAAGAAATCAATAATATTTAAAAAGTGTTTATATATAAAGATATGTATATATACATTTATACACAGTAGGTATGAAAAAATAATCCAACATTAAAATATTTTCCAATTAGAAAGCACTATGCTGTGACGATAGTTATAGAACAGTTTCGTTGAAAACATTGACACCAGAGTTATTAAAGAAATAAACACACAAAATGGAGTAACTTTCTCGTCTACCTCATCTACGTTGTTAGCATTTACTGAAACATTCAATTTGTCATTAAAAGCATTTAAATATTAAAAATGTCATTAGTTGATGAAAGTATGTATGTATTTCGAATGATGAATAGAACTGATAAAATAATTTAATTCAACCTACAAATCTTTTAAAATAGATTTAACTTTTGCAATTTAAATTCCGGAAATCAGAACTGAACGAAACTGCTCACATGGCAGTTTCAATCACTCAACAGTTAACTTTACTTTGTATTGCTATTTTGACATTTGTAGGTATTACACGATTATTGATCAGCGGAAAATTCAATGTATATTGATGTATTTTTATTAATTATTGATCTTCATCTCTGAAAAATCTAATTTCTATTTTATATGAATCAAATTTATATCTGCACTTGTGAAATTTAACTAGAAAATACTTACTACTTTAGTCATTTATAAATGTAACCGTTTTTTATAATTATGAGCACACAAAAAACAATAAACACAAAAATAAATTTCATTATTTCTAAAATACATTTTCTGCCAACTTTTGGCAAATTTAGTCGACAGATTTTTTATAAACTTATTTAACATTTTTACATAAGTCCAGTCATACATATAAATAATATATCATTTTGATAATCATGTTTGATTTTATAATAAATAAAATTAGAATGCATTCAATATTAATCAATAAATATATATTGATGATTGTGATTATACGAAAATAGTTGATGACATGCTCACAACGCATGCGCAGAGCATGCTACGAGCAACAACTCGTTGTCGTTAGTTTCACGAATTCTAGCAAGAGAGCAGCGCAGTCGCATTGTTTTTGTAACCCTGTATGTATATGCTCAGTGTCAAATTTTTTCCCGATTTGACGAGTGTCACATTATTGAAGATTAGCAAATCGTGTTTTTTCTTTACGATTAAAGTAGTTTTATATTTGGGTTAAGTCCTCAAATCGTCATTTTCATAATTAAGCTTGTAAAGCTTTCGCGCCATTTCATCAACGTTTCGTGTAAGGTATGTTTATGATATCATGTAATATTCAACTACTTAGTAAATATAATTATAATTGATGAATTATTATTACTTTTAGAAGATGATGATGAGTATTGATTTAAAATCAATGTATTAACATAATTTTTCAAAGAATGTGGGTAGCCTAATCACTATTGACCTCGAGGCATAACCTCGTTGTGAAAAATTTTCTAGAGATTGATAATGCGTTTTCCAACATAACACATTGTTAGGAAATTTTGTTGCATTAATTAAATTTACATTTGTACACTCATTTTTAACTCATTTCAAAAACGTGAGGAAGCTTTTTGAATTATTTTTTTCTTTCTTATCATTAATAACATAATTGTTTCTAAAAACATTTAGAGAATTCATGCTGAAGTTTAAAGATACACTTGTACGTATATACATATACTAACATACATTCATAGTTATTTAATTATATAGTTATTAACATACAAATCTAAAAATAGATATTCACTGACATTAACCATTTCTATGCAAATAATTATTGTTATTTAAATAATAAAAAATTATTTTGAAAATAATCATTTGAATAGAGAAATGTGTTGTATTTATTTAATTAATAAATTTATTTCATTCAAATCTTTACTTACAATTTTGGTTTTTATCATGTAATTCAGTATAAATTATCTCAGACTGCTTTAATAATCTGTTCACCTTTATTTATGTTCGAAAATTCAGAAATTTAAAATATGATAGGATGAAACCACTAGTAATCATAGCCAGTCTTAAACCAAAAGTCAGTCTTTGTTATTGTGAATAGTAAAAGTAAAAGAGTGAGATTGTAGTATTTAACATAGAAGGTTGACTTCTAGTTTGAGGCTAACTTGGTGACTACCCTATTAGCATCTCCAATTTATCAATATACATTAGTAAGATCAAGTATCTCATTACTAAATTAACATTTTCAGAATCTTCTTTATTACTGATCATTTTTTATTGCATGATGTTTTTCTTTAGATAATAAATTGGGAATATACTTCCTATAATGTTAATTATCAATATTACAACAAATTTTTTTTTGGCTTTTTTATTATTTTGAACCAAGCAAATTTTTAATAAAGCTGTCGGTTTATCAAATGAAAAAGTTGAAATTACATTAATTTTTGTGTGACAAGACTATAGTTATAATAGTATAGTATTTTTGATGATTGATTTATTCAACATGATGTATGTATCTTTATTGTTTATTTATTTCAGGGCACGTGAATATATGTAATCAATCAAAAAAAAAACGATTTTTTTAGTAATTGTCCGAATCGATGAGAGGGGCAAGAAGGGGCAGGTGGTAAATGGAGTGTGTGGTGAAAGTTTAAAAATAATAGTGGAATATGTCCAGTGAACCACCTCCAACGGATAATATTACAGATAAAGGTAATTAATAATAATTTAATCAAATAACTACTATATTATTCAGATTTTTTTAATCCTACATCATCTCAGTATGGTCCTTCAATCAGAGTTAATTGTTTTAATAATATAAAATAAATTTTTAAACGTTATTTTAAAAAAGAAAAAACCGACTGATCAATTAAGGAAAGATTATTCTCATAAAAAATTCACTAGTCAACTGTAAATATTAAAGTGGTATTGATTATTTATAAAAAATTAGTGAATAATTATATTTATTTTCCGTACTATTCATTTAGAAATTTATAATTCACAAATTAGAAAAGTCTGAATAATAGAAATCCTGATAATGAATAAGATTGTCTGTTATTTAAGTATATAATATGATGATTTATTTTTATCAGCTCTCTAGTGAATAAATTGAAATGAAGTTTTAGAGTGATTTTTGTTGATTCTCTAAATGATTTAACATATTGTTTTAACCCATTACAGCATAAAGTTTATTATTGAACTTTCGTTCAAAAACAAAAGCTGCCAAATAATTTAATTAATTGTTTACAATATATAGAATTTTCTAGCGTCCGATTTATCGGACGTTGTGCTGTAATGGGTTAATAGTTATTCAATTGGTGATTGTAAATATTGCGTGTTACTTATTTTCTCAAGCTGGGACAAGGTTACTAGAATTAAATTAGTAATTTTATTGAACCACCAAAAGAATTAGAACAATAGTTAGTTGTGAATTTTTTTAAGTTTTACAACACGTTCCTGTGTAAAACTCTTTACTATAAATAGAACTATAATTGTCGATCGTCTTGCTAACTTTTATGAAATACAGGGTGGGTATTTCTTTTTTGTGGTAGCTTAATCCTATTTTCGATCTATACAGTTTTAAAAGATTTAAGTCAAATACATATTTTTTTGTTGTTATTTTTTAAATGTTTTATTTATGTTTCTTTTTTTTTGTAGATTAAGGGAATTGGTTTTTAAGTGGATTGTGTTGAAGTAAATTACGTTATTCCTTATGAAACTATAAAAATTATTATAATATCTAATCAGCATAATTATTTGGATAATACTAATAATAAGTACAATTAGTATTTTGAAAATTTATGGAACTTTCTATGAAGCTATAAAATAGTTTTGGGTAATATACATTTATTAGTGGCTGTTAAAATAAATAATTTCTTTGAAATGGAAAGTTATTGGAGATATTTGAAAATTAAAACATTTTTTTATCATATTAAAATTAATTAAAATCCAATTAATGGAAACCGTTCAGAGCTTATCGAAAAACAGTTATTATTATTAAAAATCCTATTTTTCTGCAGAAAATGAAGCAATTACTTATTAGAAAAAAACAATTAAATTTATTCAAACTCTTGGACCGATTTTTTTGTTTATGAAACATGTTATTAAAATTCAATTATAAAATACTCATCTTTACAATTTTTTATCTAAAAAATCTCGAAACTTATGAAAAATATGTTTTATTTATTTCTTCATATTCTAGTCAGTGTAAAATTATTTTCATATCTTTATTTGAATGAAAACGATTCTTGGAAGTGAAATAATTTAAATCAAGTACGTAATCTAATAATTTATATTGGATATAAATTAACCTATAGAATGTATATGGGGTGAGTTTGAACCCCAGGCAACTGTCAAGCAAACAACTATTTCTGCTAACGAGAAAAAACTATTCATTGTTCAAGAAATGATGTCTAGTAGCAACATATTTATTTATTTATTTATTGAATTATCATTTATTTATAGTACTCCATTGAAATACAACTTATTCACATAAAGTTTTTCAATGTATGAAATTATACCATTTATTCACTAAACATATATACCATATTATTTCAGCAGTATTCTTATATTATGATTTTCCATTTTTAATTATTCTTTTTTTATTATCATAGAAACGTTGGATTACTGTTGCACAAGACCCTTGCATAACAGTTTCGGAATAAGTCAACTAAGGTATATCCGCAGAGTTATAAATAGAAAAACATGGTTATGTAGACCTTCCTCATCAGCGTAGTTGTGTTACGCATATACCGGTTCCTTATAATATACCTACGCTTTTAGTAAGCATTGAAAATATTGATATAAATTTATGTCATACTTCTCTAACCACATTATGTATTGTTATTAACTTGATTTAATTAGATTTCGCGATCTTTCTCAAGTTATATTTATGTTCAGTCTATTTACCACTATTTCATATCAACTTGAACAGTAAATTAATTATTTTATTATCAATTTCATTTAGATATAGTTTTGTCATTACATTTTAAATATTTCTATTGTGAATCAATGAATGATATGCTTTTTTTCATGAAGAAATGAATAATCATCCATCGACTATGAGTCATAAACAAAAACGAGAACGTTATTTAGAATAAATTGATCATTATATGTTTATGTGTTGAAGTTGGAATAAATATAGCTTTTATAATCTGTAAGGAATTAAATTCTTGTCATTGATTGCAAAAAAAAGAGATTTTATTTTAAATTGTAAATTAATTTTGATCAATTGAGTTGTTTAGCTACTTGATTAATAAGAATGAAGAACAATAATTTTATAAATCATTTGACGTCGTTAATTTTTTTTAATCTCCAACAAAAGTCAACAACTATTATTATTTCAATAGGATAAATATTTTTCAGATCTTTAATGCAATAACATTTTTTTTTACATTGTTTTTCTAGAAGAATCAGAGAAAAATTATCCACTTATTCGTAATACCTTCAGCTGAATGGGACGACGATTGAAATCAAATAGAAAATTATTCATTTTCCAAGAATAACTCAATCAATAATAGGGTTTTTAATTCATTAGACCATTAGAATTGCATCAAATAATTAATAGGTTTTGTCTCAAAATTATTTCAACTATTCACGACCCTATGAAGCGTTCCCTAGCTTTGTATTTATGATCCTAAAAGTGTCTCAATTTTTTTCAAATTCATTCCTTAAAGCATGAATTAAAAAATTTGCAAATTTCTTTTTTAACATTTTTAGAAGGTTGGTTTAAGTTATTAATTTTTTTTGGAGTATGAATTTTTGTGTTATCTATTTAACTTCTCTTCTGATTTTCGCTCCAATAAATCTAGTGTTCCCATAGCAGCATTGACCGCTTCTATT